GCAGAGTGGAAAGGTTTTGTGTGGAAGGGAAAAAAAAAAGATTGCTTCAACTAGACTGAACCAATCGTACCATGATGAATACCATAATGCCGCCCCTCATTCCGTTGTGGACTGAATGACCGTTGAAAACCACGATATTTTTAGTGTCGTCTTTTTTCCATTCTTTGAGTTTGGGGTCACGATACAATTATATAATATTCTAGTAACTAGTGTAACCATAATGTGTAACGACCATTGCTTAGTAGCTATTCTAAAATTTTACCATACTTACTTCCTATGCCAGAATCTTCGATGGTCTTATTGAAAGAGCCCTCAGATACATCCGCTGTATATATACCTTGTGATCAGCATGACGTAGTAGTTCGGGTATCTTGGAGCAAGTTGACTTAATGATTATTCACTTGAAGTGGGAATATAAAAGACATACTTTTACCAACTACCACACGATCAACATCAACGCTTCTTTTACTGTCAAACTTTTTTTTCTTTTATCGCCTATATTCCATTTATTCATTGTCCATTTCTACAACAATCATGTCTTCCTTCGCAGCACTCATTGACGACAAGTTCATCAAAACTGGCAAGGTCACCAAGGCCGCTATCTTGGGCATCGACGGTTCTATCTCTGCCCTCAGCTCTAACTTTGAGCTCAACGAATCCGAGGCCAAGATGATTGTTGCCGCCTTTGACGGTTCCACAGGTGGACTTCGCATTGAGGGCAAGATGTTTGAAGTCGAGAAGTCGCATAAGAAAAATTCTATTCACGCCACCTGCAACGATGAAATCGGTAGCGGTGTGGTCTGCGTCAAGACCGGCATGGTTATCCTTATCGGATATTACGATCATAAAGTCAATCCCATTGAATGCATCGAAGTGGTTGAGAGTGTGGCCGAAGATATGGCTAATGGAAACGTCTAAGACAAAAAGCAATCCTTCATCCCACCATCCCTTGCCAATGTAAAAATAGCGAAGCAAATAAATTAGCAACACATTATTGTATATACAAATATTCTTTTCGATTTCAAAGGCATCGTAACGAAAGGAAGTTGTCTCTTCCGTGATTGCGAACATGAAAATGCATATATATATTAGAGTGTCTTTTAAAGGATTAACAAAAATAAACTAAACAGCTGGCGACACTTGGACTGCAACAGCAGGAATCGAAGCTGGAGTGGCTGCTGATGAGGAGGAGGGTCCAGCCTGATTGAGCTTGGTCGAGTCACTTGGAGACTGGCTTTTAATAAGCTCGAGGAGCTCTTTCTCTGAAATCTCGTCACTGTTTCTGGCAACATCGACTCGTTTTCTATCGTGAAACAACAATAAAGGCGTTTCAGAAACTAGGAATACGAGTGTTTTAAAAAATGAGCACAAAGTGAGGTAGTCGTCCTTACCCATTTCTGATGGCCGTAGCGATGTTTGAAGAATCAGACACACGGTAGACGTCATCTGCAAATGGATCAACAGACGGATCCTGTGATCGACTTAAGAGGGAGTCAACTTCGATTTTGATAGTCGTTTCATTCTGACCAGCAGAATTTGTAGTATGTGTAGTTGGAGAAGGGTTCACGTTTGAAATTGATCCTGAATGCATTGTCGTGGCGCCTACGTGGCTGATAGAATTGGCCCTTGATAATTTATCTTGCTGGCATCGCTGCAGCATCTGCGTGTGAGCTGCAAACGCCCGCAAGAGTTCTTCGTTACAAGACAACAGTGCGGCTGTGAAACAATAGTAATAATAATAATAACAATAATAATATGTAAATTTAAGAAACGGCGTTCGTGAAGCTATAGTATTCATTCGGCCAACAACAGCATTGTTCTGGCTTTACCTAAGCATTCCTCATGTGGATGAGGCGTCTCCATAGCTTTTTGAAGATATATTTGAATGCCACGGTGTAATGTAAAGCATTTTGAATGGAATTCCTAAATTCGTAATATAAAGTAAGATCCGCGTAAATACTAGCTTCCACTTCACAATCTCTCACAGATTGATCTTTGCATTTTTTGATCATTATTAAATAGTTACTTTGATCAGCTCATTCTCCTCAATCGCCTCGATTTCAGGATCCGCAAAGGAGATAGCCTCGATCAGCATTTGAGCGCTGCTCTTAGCCAACTCAGTGTCTTGAAGAATTTGGGTAACCATCTACAAGTTTCAATAAAAAGCAAGTTAAAAACACGTCCCTCATTGTTAAGTTTACAAATATCATTGACATGAATAAAATGACGACCAACCTTGTCTGCGCTTTGCATAACGGGATGTGGGCTGGGTTGTGCTGCAGAATTAATGTTTGGGGCCGCCTGAGAAGAGAGTGTAGCATATACATATATCCTTATAATGATTAAGTATTTTCACCAGATCACAACTTTGAACACAAAGATTGAAAAGTCTTACATTTGAAGCTATGCCGAGGCATAGCATTTGCTTATGAAGTTGAGGAATAATGGCCAGGCCAGGGTCTTGCGAGAACGCCCGAGACCACACAGAAAGACGTTCCATCAAACGGCTCTTGACATGGGGGTTTGTAGACTGATAGAAGTAAAGAACCAAATGAAATTGCATATATGTAAATTGAGTAGGATCTTTGGCCCTGTGTACAAGTCTAGTAAAATAAATTTACCTGCGAGATCAAGACTTGGGAAATTTCAGCAGCAAACTTCTCAGTAGCCAAGTTGGCTGTAAATACAGATATGCATAAAAGGGATCATGTTGACATGTAGTTAGCCATAATTCTGGCAAAACGTGGTCCGTATGAAGACATCTAAATATGTACCTTTAAATTTTGAGCCGCAGCCGTCAATTAGAGACTGGATGATCTGTTTAGATTTACAAGGAGGCGTCAGTCATTTTTGCTCGCTACAAAAACATGGGCGAATTTAACCTTAAAAATGCTTAAATGGCTCCTTACCGATATCACGTTGAGTTGCTGTTGAGGGGTACCAGTACGCAGCTTCTTGCGCAACACTCTGGCTGCTTCTTTTGCTCTACAAAATGGAGCAACATGAAACTCCTCATCAATACCATTTTGATCTGAACGCTCGAAAACATTTCCCTCTAGCCATGTGCCTCCTTCATTCCTTACCCATTATCTTCATTGTTCACATATTGGCATAGGTCATGGACAGATTGCCAGTTTTTAATGACTGCTAGATTGGCAATAATTTCTAAAACAAAACAAAAAAAAGGTGTTTTAAGAATGGGATGGGTATTTTAGAGTGAAAAAAAAGGTCTATAGCCATTGGTACTTCTTTATTGGAAAGATGAATGTACCAATTCGGACAGCGATTGGACTATGGGTTGTAAACAAACCCATGATGTAAAAGATGAATGTTTAAATGAGATGAAAAGACGGCAGGCGAATGTCGAAATGTTCAAAAGAAGGATAGAATGCACAACGGGTGGTCTGCTTTGATCGAGGAGAGCATATTTATATATTAAAATTAAGAGGCCAAAGCAAAGGAAAAACAGCCTAAAGGAACATTGACTGAGCTCTGAGCACAAAAAGCTTAAAAGGCAGTGGTGGCAACGACCAAGAGGTCAATATGGAATGTCAAGAGAGGCAATTGAACTTTGACGGTGGCTAAAGCTGACTCATTTGACTATCTTATGCGCCACCAACGCCGATCCACTCGATTGTAGATGCCAGATTGGCTCGTGTCTACTTCCGCAGTAGTAAATAGATCTCAGGCACGGGTGCAAGGGACGACGCGTTCCCGCTGTGTGTTTGGTCGCGTCTGATGTAATCATCCTTCGTACCTGACAGGCCCACAGAAAAGATTTTTTTTTTTTTATTTTTTTTTTTTACAGCGCCATGCCATGTGTGTAATGGAAAGGGTGTTTGTATTTTTCTGCATGACAGTGAAGTAAGTGTTTCTTTTTTTTTTTTTTTCTACCGCCTATCTGACCGAATGGTTCGATCATGCGCCTGTTCCCATGGACGGATTGTCCCGAGAGACGTCTTTTTCCCTCTTTCTTTCTCTCTCCTGGCAAGGTTTAATGAACCCCCCAGGAGGCTGGGACCTTTTTGCTCTCTCTCTCTTTGGAAATAAGAAAGAGCCAGAAGGAGGAAAAAAAGCGAACATACCATCCCTGTCTCCCGGCGAAAGAGAAAGAGAAGTAGAGAAAGAGAGATGGAGAAATGAAGAGAGACAGAGAGATAGAGAGAGACAGAGAGAGACAAGAATGTATGTGTTTGTTGAATGAGAGCGTGTAATGAATGGATGCATGGGATGATCCCATTCACCCTTTTTTTTTGTCACATTCTCCTGAATTCCCTCCTTCCCAGCCAGCCTCCCATCGTCACTGCCATGGTTTCTTGCTGCCTTTGTTTTGCCACGCTCTTGTCACTGCTTACTTCCTCTCCTTTCATTGCCATCACCTCATCATCTTACCCTCGCTGCATCAATGACCCCGCCAAAGCGCATTGCAGACTACTTCTTCATAGTCGGTCTCAGGGACGACACCATTCTCTGTCCCTCTGACCCCGACGACGACCCTGCAGAGGCTTTGGCTCTGGAGCACCAACAGGAGATCATTCGTAAAGTCAATCGCCCTCGAGCTCTGACCCTCAATGGGCCTGGTTCAGCACCAGGACCCGAACCAGCACCTCGACAGACACATACTTCAAGACAACCCCCTCCTCCACTCCCTCTCCACTTACTACAACAATACCAACAACAACAACAACAACAACAACAACAACAACAACAACAACAACAACAACAACAACAACAGCAACAACAACAGCAACAACAACAGCAGCAACACTCACCACAATCACCACAACCATCACAACCACTACAACCACAACCATCTCAACAACAGCAACATCATCATCATCAACAGCAATATCATCGCCCATTACAAAGCCAGAGTCCACCATCAGCACATATCAATGGTTTTGCTCGTGCAACCTCACCAAAAGCAGTGTTGGACCAGCGGGATGGGAGAAGACTCTCCTATGCCGCTATAGCTGCATCTAACATTGCCAACTCCACAGGGATGCTCCCAATAGGACCACCTTCCGCCCTCGCAAACACATCTGCATTCAAGTCTGCACCCAGTAGAGCACGTTCAAAGTCTATGGCACACTTCCATCCACCTGTCGTTGCGGCAGCGTTAGAGAAACAGGAACCCGAGAACATGGCACAACGAGGTAAAAAGTCTGTCACTCATATGTGCGCTTTTCCCTTCTGTCTTTTGTCCCCCGTTCCTTTCTTTTCTTTTCCCCCTTCTTCCCGCTGTGCTCTGGTTTGGAAATAAGGTGTCTGGATATTTTTTATTTTTTATTTTTTATTTTTTCCGTCGAGTCTTCCTTGTTTTCTTTGTGCGTCTGTTTTCTTTTTTGTTCACACGCCGAAATGCTCTTTGTTATTGTCGGACAGGCCCACACACTGTACAACTTGTGCGACCATCCCGACGGCTGAGTACGGCCTCGATGGTTGGTACACCGCGACGGTCTGTCACTCTCAACAACGTGGCCAATGCCGGGAATACAAGTTTACAGCACAAACCACCAAACTACCGCTATGTTGCCACAAGTAGTCTTCATAAAGTTGTCCCAGAAGGAGTAGAGAGCAACTTTGATGAGGGCGAAACAGATCACAGGTCGATAGATAAGCTAATATCAAATGAGAAACCCGCTCATGGTATGATGCTCTTGATAACGGGAAGATGAAAAAAAAAAAAATACCAACAGTATCATCCTCATGCATGTCAATTTTTTTTTTATATTGACCAAACAAAATCTTAAATTATGCATTGATGCATAACTGCTATTTTATTAGTTTTTACAAATGGCCAGTCTAATATGAGTCCAGGTAGAGCCCAAAGTGACAAGCCGGCCTTGTCTGTACAGGAATCCAGGACACTGTCACCCGTAAGGAATGCCTCAAGAAGGAGTCGGACTAAATCACCAGTACCTGTTACTGACAAATCGGTCGGAACAGCGACGAAAAAAAGTGAAAATGCAAAAGTAGACCAAAAAGAAGTACATCCCGGTGATAGAGTCTTTACACCTACTGTCATCTGCCGTTATCCAGAGACAGATTGGGAGGATGCAGATGTCTTTCCTACGTTTCTCCCAATGGTGAGATTTATATGCTAAGCAGAATTGCAAAGACGTTGGACAGTTTCGGGTTTTTTTTGTGTTTACCACTATTTCACACTACATTTACGATCTAACGCACTCTGCTCCCTCCCGTAATTTTTTCTGGATATGGTAGTTTTGCTTTCCTGCAGAGCTCTCATTCAAATTTTCAGACGAGAAACCGCCTACAACCTTCCATTCATTCGTGCTGACACAGGAATCAGGTGGACGATCCTATGCTATGTGCGTGACTATGTATGAACGCTTACCTCATAAGATGCTCCAGCAATTCGACAAAATCTGCCAACGCTGGACTCGAAGTCGCATGGTGCGTATTTCAATCTCTTTCTTTCATTTCTCTCCTTTATTTTTATTTTATTTATTTTCCTTCCAAATGAATGTTCTTTGCTCAGTGTGGCTAAACTCATTTATGTATAAACTTATATTACACAGTCTGAGAGCGAAATTGAATACGCAAAGGCTATCAAAGAAAAGATTGCTCGGGAGAAAAGAATATTGCAGGATCTTCAGGTTCAGCTGCGCGAAGAGAGGACAACAGGAAATAAGACTAGGCAGACGCAACTCAAGCGGGAAATTCTTGATTCAGAGGAGAAGTTGAGTTTGCTTCATGACCAGATGAAGCCTTGGAAAGGTCAATTCATCGAAATTGATGATGCTTGGATTCCACGGTGTGTTGGGCTCGTAAGCGCAGTTCCCTATCATTATCTTTTACGCGACTGGCTTCTGGCTGTAGCGGTTGCCTGTTCCGGAGGTGTAGAACATCCCGGCATGAATCAGAACTCTTTACGACTTGAAAGGTATTTGTCTATATTTATACACTTTTTTTTTTTTTTTTTTTTTTTCTTCCGAAACTTTGCTTATAGATATGTGTGTTAATTCATTCATTAAACACCTCTAGTTATGTAAGGAATCTAATTAATGAAGTCGATCTGCCGCCGTTCGGTAAAATGGAGATTGGAATCACAATCAACAACAGAATGATCTATGCCTCACGACCTGCACTCAACAGTGTACCAATCGTCAAAAATGTAAGGAAGATGACGGGTATCTTTTTTTTATGTATATGGGTGTGTTTACGTATGTCTTATTGAAAACTAACATACACTTTAAAATGCTTAGTTCTCTCTGTTTCCTCTGTTCCGTTGTTTGGCCGCAGAAGATATAGTTACAGTAATTGAAGTGATTCTATCCGAAGGAAAAGTCATTTTCCTCTCATCATATTTGGGAATGTTGACGCTTGCCAGTGAGAGCTTCCTGTATTTATTATTTCCATTTTACTGGCAAGGAGTCTACATCCCTGTTCTACCTTCTGCTCTGATGACTTGTCTTCAGGCACCAGTCCCTTATATCATTGGAGTCGAGCGTCGTACATGTGATTCTGATTTTCCACCAGAAGAGGTGAGTGTACTCCACTTATTTAGTGTACCATGAATATCACTCACCTTTTAATTTTTTTTTTTATTATCTAACACGAGACTCTAACCCTTTAATAACAATTTATAACGAGAATAGGCATGCATTGTTGATTTGGATAAGGGCGTAATCCAAGTACAACTAGCGCCAACTCCACTTCCACCTCGCCAGAGACGAAAACTCATACAGTCATTGGAGCAATACGCACCAATATCTGCCATTCGACGGACGGCTACAACAACGAATCCAGCCCTAGGCCCACCTGCATATGTTAAAGAGGCGTTTCCTCATTCACGATTAACATTGTTTTGTGGGCTATCCAGGGCTCCACGAAGCAGACGCATTGAGCGACCAGTCTCAACGATCGGGACGGGAAGTTTGCATGGATATGCTGCTGTGGTACAGAGCAACGGCTTGGCAGATCTTCGAATCAACGGATCAACCAACACCTTACCTGCCATGCCCATATCGTCAATGACGAGTGAAAGCATCAAAAGCAACCAGGTTTCAAATCAGCCCCTTACATATTCCAAGGTTGTTGGAGGGATGGCTAGGTCTTCGTCAGAGGGAATTTTGGATAAAGCTCTGGAAATGAATGGAAGCAGTAGCCCCAAGGTAAATGGACCAAAAAGAACATTCACAATGGCCTTTGTCCTTAATGCTACTCTTTGAGATACTAACATACGGCCGTGATCCTCATATGAAATATTATTAGAGTCCTATCAGTCGAGCAGAGTCTATGAAGGAAACATCGCCAATAGCGCAACATGTAATGAGATTGAACTCATTGAGTATTAGATTTCGTATATTGTTGGCAAAAAAAAAAAAAAAAAAAAAAAAACTAACGCGTGTGATAATCTCAACATTATAGCATAATTCAATGGAGTCATTCAAATCCTCAAGAAAAGTTCTTTCGCCGTCTCGGAAACATTCTAGTGTGTTTGAAGGATCCAAGAAATATCAAGAAAGGCAGGCAAAAGAAGAGAACAGCCATTATCCGTCAGTAGGAGGCGCTTGGAACGCACAACTAGGATATCCTGGAGTTAATCGCCAAAATAGCATCACCAGTACACATATGAGCGCCATTCCATCTGGATTTGATGGCCCGGGACTTCGTCACCGTGGCTCCTTTACTTCAATTGACTCATCTAGCTCTAGTATAATGTCGAAATCGCCTGTCTCGACCATAACATCCAACACAATGGTCAGTATTAATGGACACTCATCAATGACTTCTATGGCACCTATTATAAGTCCTGAGGAAGAAGCATCGCTCGCGAGTGCCGCAGACTCGGACAAGACGACTATTGAAGGGCACGTGCTTTCGATTCTCTCGGCCCCGGTACTTGTGTCAACCTTAACCTGCCGGTGCGGAATTTGTTCTCAAGGTCTGGCGTCAACTAACATCGTTTACCGCTGCGAAGGATGTTCACTGTATGTGCATGCCGGATGTCTGGACGAGCTACTGTATCCATGCGTGCCTCGTGGTTTTGATGAGTCAGGTGTTTGCTGGAGTGTATTGCAGATGTGGGCTGGTTTGATGAAAGGCTATCGTTCTGGAATTGTTGCCACGTCATCAACAACAATACAGCACCTGTATAATCAGCAAGGATCGCCAAATCATCACCGTTCACACCAGCAGGGGTATAATCATAACCCTCGTATTCATGGACATGTAAAGCAACCCTCTAACAGTGGAAGCGAAGGAGAACGAGAGGGTAGAGATCGCCTTTCGTGGGCTAGCTTCCAACGGTGGACAGGAAGGAATTCTGGTTCGTCTAATGGAAGCATGAGCAGCAGTGGCATGAATGGTATCGGAAATGGTCATTCTAACTCCAAGGCCTCTACCATCTCCTCAGCCTCGCGCTCATCAACGAGCGTGGATATGACCCACCGGAGCCATGCCGGATCGATCCATTCTTCACGGGCGAGAAATGGTACCGACAACAGCTCTTACAGCGAAACCGTGAGCTTTCATCGCGAGATATTTTTGAAAGGATTTGATAAAGAAGCGAGGGTAAGCTCTATTTTCGATAATTTTCCATATTATGAAAAATGTATTAACAATGTTTCTTCATGATAAACAAGAAACGTCTCTGACTTTTTTTTTTTTTTTTTTTTTTTTTTTTGTTTCTACGCGCGCTTCTAGCCATTCATGTCTGCTTTTACAGAATCACAGACATTTGCACAATTCATTCAGGATCGAATTGATCGGTCATCAGGTGATCCCGAGATTATGTTTTTCGACGAGGTGATCAAAGCTAAAATCAACCGCTCACGATTCCGCATCGGCAAGGAGGAAACCAAGTTTCTCGATGTACGAGGAGACAAACAAACAAAAGATCTTGAGCAATGGTTTTTGTGCATAATCAGTAGATTATTTGGCTTATAATGTTATTTGACTTTCTTGCTTTACAATGCTGTAGGATCCGTCTTATGGTGTTCAAGGAACAGTCAAGGCTACCCCGCCTTCAGGAGACATTATCGTTTATGGTATGCTTGCCTTGTTTTTGTTTTTGCTTTTTGTTTTCATTCTGTATCTCCTAATCGACGGAGGCTTTTTCTTTGATTTATATAGAGGATGAAGAGAGACGGTTTCCAACGAAGCTCGATGCAGCATACCTTTAGAAAAAGGCAAAAAAAAAAAAAAAAAAAAAAAAAAAAACCTAAGAGGGAGTATCCTACTATATGCCATTGATAACACATAGGATCCTCTTCTACACTTTTCAGCACACGAATAACCCTGTCTATTCTGCCTCAATTAGCCTATCTAGCTTGGTTAACCCATTTCAACAACTCTTTGGCACCCACATATATACACACACATCCTTTATACTTATTTAAACCATAGTGGCATATATCTGTACAAATAGCATATTTCTGAACAAACTATCGAGTGAACAATCATATGAGTTTACTATACTATTTTCGCTGGTATTATTAATATTGTCATTCTCTTTTTGGAAGCTATGTTTGAAGGCAAGCTGGGAGATCGGATGAATGGTTTTTAAATTTTAGAGCCGAATCGCCGATAGGCAGTCGGCGGTTTGAGCAGTCAAAGGATCAAGTTGATTCATGACCCATCGAAGCACAACTTTGGAGTTGATCATCGTCACTAAGGGAAAAAAAAAAAAAAAAAAAAAAAAAAAAAGGCAACGAAGAGAAAGTTAGTCTTGACTTGATCAACTTTACCAGTAAGGAAAGCTCTTATTGTCGTCATAGTTGTTATTTGACTTACAGTGTTCATTGATCGAGAGCATGCATTGAGTCTGTAGTAGCGAGTTCAGGACACCGGAGCTGGTTTGGTAACAATTCTTGTAGGGTGTGACCACCTCGTCAAATTTGGTGGCAATGTTAGCGTGAATCACACCAGGGATAGAATCACCGCCGTCATTCAATCTTTTGATGAAGTCGGACGTATCGACTAAAAAAAAAAAAAAAAAAAAAAAACAAAGATGTCAAAGAAATGTTTGGTTTTTAGTTTATGAGCGACAGATAAAACACTTTCTTACCCATCTGATAGAATGAAGGCGCAATTTTGTCAAAGATCGGTTGAGCAGGGTCAAAGATGCGGAGAGCTTTAGCAATGGTGGCGAGACCACTCAAAGTAGTGCCATGATGAATAGGTGCGATACCGATCATTCTTTTTTTTAGAAAAAAAAACAACAACAACAACAACAACATCGGGTTAATATTGTCTGATCCAGGGGTGTTGTTAGCTCATTTTTGCTTGATCAGTAATTTTTTTTTTTTTTTTTTTTTTTTTTTTTACCTGTTGACTTTGCCAGCCCCTCCAAGGTATTTCATCCAATACCTGCCGAGGATACCGCCTTGAGAATGGCCTACATAATCCAGCTGAGTGACATTCATTCTCTTCAGAATGTTATCTGCAAATGTGGCCAATTCTTGAGCTGAATCTTCAATAGGTGCGACCCCTCCTACAAAAGGGATGTTATCGGATCGACCATAGGTCAGAGCAAAGACACAATAGCCCTCACGGATCAAGACTGGTGCGAACGTCCACCAGGAATCTTCCGTCAACAACGTCGCATGAACCAACAACAATGGACGAGGATGAGCAGGAGTCAGCTTGCAATTATAATTATTCAGTCCTGAAATCCCGCGCTTCCGGAGCATCTTGCGGGAAGGGAGCGTCGCTGCTGCGATCGCTTCATCCTTCATCATCGATTCAATCGAACTTGCCCCTACGACAACGCCCTCGGGTAAAGGTAGAGCTGCACCATGAACCATAGTAGCTGCAGCCCATGCAGTGACCGCTGCGGCCCTGAAAATCGAAGCAAATGAAATCCTCATAATCGTTACGAATGGAAGTGTGGTATAGATGTAATGCAATGTATTTACAAGTGGCTGCAAAAAGGAAATAATCAAGAACGGAGGAAGAAGAGATCGTTTGGATTATAACGGACAGGACTATATACAACGACAGGAAGATGATATCGTGGTGGAGGTGGAGACGGAAGGAGGAAGTAATGGGATCACTGGGTCATAACTGACAAAGAACAGAGGAAAAAAGAGGGTAGGAAAAGCCGTTTATAAACGTTTTTTTTTTTTTCCTGATACGGTTGCCGTTTATATGTTTTGCGAATTTAATATTCAGTATAATTGCTCTTTATACAAACAGTAATGCTATTCACAAAAAATAAACAACCGAGGAAGAGAGGAAATAAAAAAGAGAGCATGCGTATGGGAAGTTGTGGAGTACATTCACCCCAAGTGGAGAAATAGGGCAAGTAAACAGAATAGACTAACAGCGAATGGGGGGATTTCTGATCGGAGTCTGCATTCTTCAGGAACCAGAGTTAAGCATGCAGGAACAGATTTACAATTGATTTTCAGACGCCCTGTACCATCCCACCAAACATGATGGTGAAGTTTATCCCATTCCAAATTATATGCATGTATAAACTTATTCTGCCACAAGATATACATCCATACATGCATTTATATAAGTATACATGTATATCATATATACAATCATATATACAAAACACAATAAAAACAAAACCATATCACCACAGACACATGTCTACGACAATAACTTGGTTAGAAATTATGAGCATGAGACTGTTGAACAATAGCTGACTGACCTGACTGAATGATGGAAAAGAAGGAAAGAAAATGCTGAAGTTTTTTTGACGCTTACAAACAAAAGAGTACATTCTCTGATCAGAGAGGCCAACAACCTGTAGGTTGGCTATTGACGGATCTCATGTGCCACTGTGGAGAGGGTAGACGTGAAGTGCAGAGTGGTAAACCGATCACTTTCCTTCATTTGTAAATATATACCAAGGTGGAGGTACTTTTACGCGATATCGGTGCCAATGATATATTATTGAAGGACCATGCGCATGCGACTTTTTATTTTTATTTTTATTTCGACCATCCATTCTGGAAAAAAAAAAAAAAAAAAAAAAAAAAAAAAAGGCAAGCAAACGGCATGGCCTCTTTTTAGTTCATCGCCATCAAATGAAACTCTTTCCTCCTGACGGCGAATTTCATGTGTCAACATGGTTCTTTAATGGCACAAATCAAGCAGATGACCTTTTAGTATGGAATGAAAAGGCAAAGGAGCCCGTTTTCAATCTCTTTCCCTTTCTCATTCTTAATCTTTTTTACTTTTTGGGGTGTTCATGTCAGCAAAGCTGTAGTAAGCATACAGGCCATGACTCCTCCTATTGTTTATTCCCTAAAGGAAAGTATATAATAATAATGATAATAGTATATATATTTTAATAAAGATGCGATGTCAAATGTGGAGAGTGAGAGGCAAAGAGGCAAGAGCGATAATGTTAAATCTGCTCTTGCTCCCATTTTTGTGCTTCCTTCGTCCCTGATATTGGGCAAACGGTTACTTTTCCACATCAAATTATAGAGCCGATGATGAAAAAAGGTACAGGGACAGAGTACGTTCTTTGTAATGCAATATGCTGGCTGGTACTCGTTCGAGAGTACTTTCTTGAACTTTTTTTCCCCTGATTATTACGCCCATATGTAGTCTTTTCTATGCATTCCTGAGAGACTTGATATCTTTTGTAGACTTTGTACCTTAAGGATATCTAGGCTCCTTGCTCCCTCTCTTGGATGTCGCAGGCTGCTTCAGACGCGTAAGGATATCTCCATCGCCTACACTTTTTTTTTTTTTTTTTTTTTTTTTTTTTTTTCGGTCAAGTCTAGATTCGAAAAATGTAATTCACGAAAATAATTGATGTAACAGGAAACATAAATTCCAACCACTCGGGCCTGGGAATGCCCCTGTAGACCCAATGTCTGTTTAATTTATGTATGCCAAAACAGCCTTGTACAAATTAATCATGATGGGCATATACTGAGACTCTCAATCAGACTTTTTTTTTTTTTTTTAATTATTTTTTTGTGGCATCCAGATAAGCATGCAATCAAGGGATTAAGCCCAAAAAAAAAAAAAAAAAAAAGATTCCAGGTTAGAACTTGGCGTAGTCTAGTTCATTTTCAATGAAGCCCGTTCTGCATTTTCACGCGACGAAGGTTTTTTTTTTTTTTTTTTTTTTTTTTTTTTTTTTTTTTTTTTCGCATTGCCAATTGAAACTTTGTTTTAATTAATGCACGGACGTTGCGCATGTTGTTGAGACCAAGATGCAAACAACTCATTTGTTCTAATACTCATGTACATGTACATGTATATATTATTCTAATGTGGTCAAACATTTGTGTGTACGGTTACAGTTGCCGTGGTGGTCGTCGCGTTGTGTACTGTACATGTACAGTATATAAACATTTTCCCCCTGAACTCAATTTTTGAACAATGATAAGGGAAATAGAAGCGCGTGTCATTCCCACACTTTCTCATTGCTCTTGCTCGTGCTCTGGTTATAGCTCCAGATGTTTGTTACTCAATTACGTTTTTATTTGTTTACCCTTCATATTGCACCATTATCAAATATATATTCATATTTCATTCAAGGCTGTAAGAGGATGCAAGCTTGTGGCGCCAGTTCTATCCAGCGAATCATTCACCTAGCCGAATGCTTCTAGTTACGTGCACTATACAAGCTACATGCATACCATGGATCCTACTGTCGATAATGGGTCGATCAGGCTTGACAATATCTGAACCTCTCTCAGTCTCTTCTTGTGATCACAAAATTTATTAAAAAAAAAAAAAAAAAAAAAAAAAAAAGTCACGGCGCGTATGACTACATGTTTCAAGAATATGAGTAGAGTAGCTCCAAGCCAATGGCAAGAACCATCATACAATACGTTCGTGTCATATTTTTTTTAAAAAAAAAAAAAAAAATTGCTATGACTTTTGACTGCTTTGGTAGCAGAAATCAGTCGTGTTACTGAACTGTCATTACTGTTGGCCGAAACGTTCCGACGGAGATGGTTGTCTGGCCATCGTTCTTCATTTGTTATATTTTAGTTACTATTACTATATACATATAATAACTACTATATACTATATACATATATCTATATTATTATTATTATTTTCGTCTCCCGAGAAACAGTAGCATGACTTTAAAAATGGGAATGTGGAGAGTGAAATCTGGCTTTTAATTAGGGTATTACTAATACACGTCTCTCTCCTACTGCCAGCTGCCGTACATTCGCCCATCAAGGATAGTACCAGAGCAAAGGAAGAACATAAACCCACAACGTCAAGGATAAACAATGGAGGATTCGACTTTTCTTGCTCGTTAAGAAAGAACTAGAGGTCTATAGAGAAAGGGATAAGAGAAGTTTTTTTTTTTTTTTTTTTTTTTTTTGTTTTTTCGACTTTAGAAGCTCAGCTGCCTCAACTGATCCAAATCAGCGTCTTTTTGGGCATATTAAACTATGTTTTCTCGATCTCTAAAATGCTCATGGGATCATTATCGTTTCTTTTCTTTTCTTTTCTTTTCTTTTATTATTATTGCTATTATTATTATTAAAGAAAGTTGTTATTTTATTATTCTAATAAATTCAATAGGAATATTACCATGATGTGTATATTTACATTCAATCAAAAACAAAAAATAAAAAAGGAGGTTGATCACTCTTTTTAAAGACGAGCTTGAATAGTTTTGCCTTGCTTTCCTTGAGGGTTCGTGAAAGGCTTAATATATTTCTCATATCCTTCAACGACCTCAGTCTGATTGATTGGTTCCCGCGTCGCCATCTCTGTGTAGGCCTCATAGACTTTGCCATCGAAACGTCCCAAAGCACTGTTGAGGTAATAATCTGGGAATGCAAATGCGTCCACCAATCCAACTGCATTGCGACGGATCTTGTGCTCCATCAAATCCATGATCGCCTGTCCCATCATCGACACCTGCTTAGCATCAATATATCCTGAGGTCAAGAACTCGCCAGGTTGTTTATGGATCTGATGTAATGCAAACAGATCTGACAGATCTGTCAAAGCCTCTTTTGTTGCCGTAGAGATTTCGGGTTCAACAACACCCTCCGGTTGAGGCATGTCACCACGGATACCCAAAATAAAGTTCTGAACCAAGATCAACTGGCAGTGAGCCACAGAGGCGTTGTAAATCTCCACCAACATCGAGTTCCATGAGCGTTTCTCCACATCCAAAGCATGGACAATCTGTGCAATCATATAGGCTGCACGCTGACCATATGCAGCCAACTGGATCTCGGGGTTATGGAACTGAGCCGGGCTGGTAGCCGGGCACTTGAGATCGGGATTGTCCAAGTAAGTGTTGAGGTAGGCCAATGTAGGGTTCGTGATCAAGCTGGCATTGAACTTGCCTGATGCACGCTTAGCAACCAGGTCACGGAAGCACTTGAACAGGTAACGACCTGTCTGCTGTGTAATCATGTAGTTATCTCCCTCCCATGTGACATTAGGTGCATAATCCTGCAACATCAATGGCAAACCTGAGAAAGATGAGAAACCATGTCCTCCGCAGGCACGACGGCACTCTTCAATTGATGCAGCAGCCATAGTAGTGGTGAGTGACTTGAGTCCAGAGCTAGAGGCATGGACATCTGCCAAGAGAGAGAAGTTGCCAGCAGCCATCTCCTTAATATTAAGGTAGTAGAGACGCATCATCTCCTTACTAGTAAAGTGACAGGCATATGCTGCTGCAATGATAGGGAAGAGACGGTATTGCTGCATTGAGTAGTCCAAAACTGGGGTCTCAATCACTTGTTTGCCCATCATCTTGGGCGAATCCTTATCCACGAACTGGCGGCGGACTGCAGAGTAACGAGTAGCAATCGTCACTGCCTTCGAGAGTCCCAAACGGGCTAAACCGACGAGCGAGGCGCGAATAAGAACCATTGTGCCATAGGAGAGTTTGTCGTTGGGGGGTTTGACATATTCGCCTGAACCGGGTTTAACGCTCGAGTATTTTGCCAAAAGCGAGATGCGTGGGACACGGTAGTGATCGAACCACATGCATCCGTTATCTGTGGTGTTGTACCTGTACCACAGCAACAACAAATAGTGAGGTTAGAGAAATAACATTCCTTAAAAAAGCAAACTGGATAAATTTATCGGAATTGATCGAAGCCTAAATATAAAATAAAATAAAAAGACAAAAAAAAAAAAAAAAAAAAAAAAAAAACCTACCCAAACTTAGGGCCAATGTCTCCAGCCATGACACCGGGCAGGAGAGTGTGATCCTCCATAGAACGAATGGGAACACAGAAGGCATGTGGGCCATAATCCTTTCCAGCAGTAATGAGACGGGCCATGACAACTGCATGATTTGCAGCCTTACCAAGGCCTCCGATCCACCACTTGCAAGCCGTCAAGTAAGGCGTATGGATCTCAAACTCATCGCTCTCTGGAATGTATGTGGCTGTAGTCTCAATTCCCTGGACATTGCTTCCATGTCCAATCTCAGTCTGAGCATAACAGCCAATGATTTCATATCTCATCGCAGGCTTCAAAAACTTTTCATACTGTTCCTCTGTTCCTTGAGAGACTAATGTGGGCATGAACATACCACGATGAAGACCGAAGGGGCCAGGCTGATCGATCAAGAGATCGGCCTGTTGGAACTCTTCAGGTCTCCACTTCTGTTCCTGAGACAACTTGACCAATGTGTAATCCTTACGGAGCGCATTAGCAAAACTCTCAGTGCGACCCAAGAAGTAGCGGTCAGACTTGTCGAACGCAGGTTCATTCTCGATCAACTCGAGCATCTTTTGCTGACGTTGAAGGTATTCCTCGCCATAGAGATAAATAGACAGATCGTGGACTGAGAATGTGGCCCTGGCACGTTCTTGGGCAAGGAGATCGCTTCCTTGAGGCTCTGAGGGAGGAAGATTAGGAAAACGAAGGGCAGACATACTTTTTTTTATATTATGCAAGGGGGTCAAGGGATATCAAGGAGGAAGGGATGATCAGATTAAAATGATGAGAATCGGTTGTACAGATTTCAGCACAGCCACACAGATAAAAAAAAAAAAAAAAAAAAAAAGAAAAAGAAAAAAGAAAGTGAAATGAGAATGGAGATGAGAATGATTAGAGTGAAGTGAAGGAATGGAGAAAGTTAGAAAGAAAGGAAAAAGTATACCTTTTTATGAGCCGTATTTATATAGCTCTTTCGGAGGAAGCGAGATCGACCCAGAGACGAGCAAATGACGAGCGTTTCCGACCATTGGGGGTTCCCTGGCAAGTTCAATTTGCACATGATATGAAGTTTATTTGTTAACATTACGGACAAACTGTAAATAGATCTTTTGTGAACAGTGTATGTATACATTCTCCTTTGACAATTTCTTTATTTCATCCTAGTTCACCTATACAACATTTTTTTTTTTTTTTTCCTTTCTATGTTATATGTCAGTCAAGGAATCTAGGAACGAGGTTTATTTTTTCTTTATTCTTTTTTTGCTTGTTCTCTTAACCGGCTTGAATTTATCCTTTATTGATTTTTTATCTCTTTTTCATTCTCCGGATCTGCTCGTCATTGGATCGGAAAGAATAACGTACCTTTACGATGACACCGTTGATGGCACAGTTCCAGATTTGTAATGAACACAGTTCCATTATAGACTATGTAGTGTTTCTCAACATCAATTGTTGGTATATATACACGTATACATGTGCATACGTATATTTTTTATTAATTGTAGGAAAAGTCCTTTTTACAGTGAATTGGTGCTTTTTCTTGTCTACTTTGCTTTCATAATGGTAATCTACAAGTTGTTTTTCCCTTCCCTTCCTTTCAGATATTTACAAAATAGATGGGTTCTTCACTCTATTACTTCCTTCATGAATTATCATCCTTAATATCCTTCAATCGACATGGTAGTCATGGGTCGCTTCTTAGCCTCGTTCGCGAGAAGCGACTCTCGTAGATCCACTGGTAACGCTTCAATCAATAATCGGATCTGGTCTCGGAGCTGTTCTTTTTGTTTCGTCGTTGCCTTAATCGCACTTGCCTCTGGCGCATACCGTTTGTAATCTCTCTCTGGACTGGACTCGCGTGAGTCTTGCTTCAGTGTACTGCTGCTGCTTCCATTACTGTTTCCCAGGGTGTTGTTACTACTGTTATTACCATTATTATTGTTAAATCCCTGCACTTCTCGTTCTCTCTCTCGATTATCAAAATTTAGCGACGAAGATGACGACGAACGAGATGGCGTCGTCCTTGGCGAGCTGCTCGAGCTGAATGATGATGCATTTGAATACTGTCCTTGGCCTAAACTTCCATTGTCCACTCTTCTTCGTGAAGAAGGAATCGCCTTGGGACCTATCGAGCCACTAGTAATCCCGCCATTTGATGTTGGTGCTGAAAGCGAATTTTGGGATCCATTGATAGCTGATGAGCTAGTGATCTTAGATGAGGGGGTGATGGTTGACTCTGTTTCGCTTCCGCTGCTACTGCTGCTCCCACTATCATTACGGTCATTGCGTTGCTGCTGTCGGCCATAACTGTACCGATCATATTGGCTTATCAAATCGTCCGACCATGCGCCGCCATTTCCGCTATCACTATTACCAATTTCAGACTCACTATTTTGGGGGCTATAAGGACTATAGGATCCTTCTCTTGACAGATCTGATCTGGTCCTTGATGATTTTTTTGTTCTTGAAGGGTTTAAATTGAGCAAGTCGGCTTTATCATTGGCAGGATTACCAAGTTCCTCTCTCATCCTGACTAACAGATCAACAAGTTCAACCTCATTCCTTCCTTTCACCCACCCCACCACATCGCCCAAGCTCAATATTTCCAGGTATCGCCTTCGAAGTTCATTCTGAGCTGCAATAGTTCTCAGGCGGAGCCAGGTTGCAAAATTACCACATTTGAGAAAATCCTTATAAAAGCTCTGACAAGCTTCTGAATTAGACTTGAATGTTGAGGTCTTGAAGGAGATAGCGGGTGGATTCTTCGAAAGGAATTTGAGGAACGTTTGTTGCTTGAAGGGCGCAATATGAGGGAATTGAGATGAAGATGACAAGGAGCTACAACCAAATAAATAAAAGACAGAATGCAATTATAAAAAAAAAAAGAAGAAAAAAAAAATCAGCATATATTTCTCTTTTATATCTTGGAAATGAAAGTTTTCTTCATCAAGCCTTACATGTCGCTGGGCACCAATGTTGCAAAGTATCGGTTAAGGGGCACTAGGAACTTTTCCGTCAATGTAGCAAAGTGCTTCCTGAGAATATTATCGAGTAAATACTCTGTAAAAAAATAAAAAAAAAATTTTAAAAAAAAAAAATAGATAGACGAGTAATGTCAGAATATACTTTCAAGGTGTTTTGTCGTACTAGATCAAAAACGGCAATAGAAAAAAGATCATTTTTGCAGTGTACCTGGAGATGATCGGTTAGCTGTTGCCTCAGCCAACATGCAGAGGAGGTTAGTGTCTTTGGCAATGGCTCCTTTCCGTTTGCTCACAACACCCTAATATTAGAAGTAAATAAGAAAAACAAAACGAAATGTATAACGGCTCCGTTAGTTATATTATTACGAGGTTAGCATAGATCCTAAAGATAAATAGCGTTGAATAGCTCAGCCTGTCCTCATTCTCTTACTTGAACAAAATCAAGAGAGCCTGGTTTACCAAGTCGGGGGCTAGCACCAGCTTTTCCGATCGATCCATCATTCATTAGTTTAGTGTTTGGTCTCCTATTCATTGGCTTGCCAATCTTGATGATGTGTGGCCAATGTTCCAGAGTCTTTGCAAAAAAAGGATTTGTCACGCCCAAAACAATACTACTTGGCGGAGAAGATTTGTTGCAGAATGATTTGAAATCTGTGTCCTGGATTGTGAAATAGGGCCGGTAATCTCCACAGTATGGGATCTATTTATTAAACCAGCACAAAGAGCGAAGAACCAAAAATGAAATGGATTCAAACGAGCCTTATCAGTTCCTGTAATACATTCCCTTGACTTTACAATTTGCTTCATAAATATCTTGGCTTTTCTCCTCTCCTTTCATCCTCCATCCTCCTTCATATTGTATGCTTACAGGGTTAATAAGATCGACTAGAGACGCAACTGATTCTGAGCAAACCTCGGGCGATGTTCCAATAAGCATTATGGGTTCTGCAAGTGTCATGAGCTCCCAACACAACCAGAGGTCAGGAACTAAGTCCTGGAAATGTTTATAAAGGCCGCCGTTCATAGGAACTGACGAGAGGATATGGGTATCTGGATGAAACGTTGCAATTTCAAACGGCGCTGTTTCTAATAGTTGTGGTTGATGTGGTTTTGCGAGTTGCACCTGGTACAATGTCCCCATGAATGGTAGTTCCATGATACTATCTGTCGTAGGCGCTCTCCATGTCGCCATATTATGGAAAGCTGCCTCTAGCATGGGTTTGCCTACTTCAAAATATGCTGGTCCTAGTACCGACACAAGTTTTGAAAAGAGTCCAATGAAGGGGTGCTGTGAAAGAAGAACAACTGATTTTTGAAAATAGCCTCTCCGAATGGATGGATCCTGCTTCTGTCTGAAGAATACATATCCATACAAGAATCCAGCATCTGTAGTAGGGCCTAGAGATTTTTTTTTTAAAGCAAATATGTGAGTTATTGGTGTAGATAGAATACATGAATGATACCATTCTCAAACTATCTTGAACGAATCTTTACCAGTGGCAGCACGTCCTGCAGTTGCAGATCGAATACGAAAGTTAAAGACGGTGTCTCCAACATCGAAAGTATTGGAGTCTGGGAAAGAAGAGAAGCAACTATAAAAAAAAAAAAAAAAAAAAAAAAAAAAGTTAGTTTGGAAAGTGAGCAGAATGTGTGCATCTGCATCTCTCTGTTGAATGTGGTCTCCCACGGACTCTTTCCGATGGTCTCGGAGACAAAGAGATCTGTGCCACACATCGGGCATATTTTTTTTTTTTTTTTGTCATAGTGCTGCTTGCATTTTCATATGTGGTTTACACTTACATATTTTTACTTTCCTCGGGAGTGAACTCAGATGGCGGATACACAGCTTCGATAGCTGTAGAAAGCAAAGTATAAAAAGGCAAACAAAATGTTCAAAGTAACATTACAGTTCAGATAGATGGATGAGTATGATGAACATTAATATAACGATTTACAAATGACAATCAGAGGAAAAATAATCGGAACTAGAAAGTAAAAATACTAAATGCAATTAAGCATTGCATTAACAGAAAAGGGTAATGAGATGAAAATAGTCTTTGAGACCATACTCTTCTTCAATGACAGTTATATGAACAATCAAACTCTTTTTGTCTTTCTCTGCTTTTTTTTTTTTTTTTTTTTTTTTTTTTTTTTTTTTTGGTTTTCATTAATTACATCTTCCTTTGCTCAGCTCGGTTCAGTATCATGTTTGAGTGGTTTGTGGGAGTGCATGACCTGATGTGATTTGTGGTGGGTGACAAGATGCAACCATAAAATGAGCGAAACATACTCAATTGTATTCACGCAGGAGCAAACCCTGATCCCACTGGTCACCCTGCTCATCATCCAACACCATGTATGCTCTCTTCTTTTTTTGTTGTGGGTTACAAACACTCTCACTCTCTTTAGTCTCCCTCGTGGTGCATGGTACATAATGCATAAACTGGTGTGCCTGAATGTGTTTGCCATCATCGTACTCTGTGAACAGGGTGGAACATTGTAATGTGCGCTTGTGCGCTTGCTCCCGTATAAAAAAAAAAAAAAAAAAAAAAGTATATTGATAATAAGTCCGATGTTGCTGAGTGGTTTTTATCCTTTGTGTCTTTGTCGCTTGGATCCTCGATAATAATGATAGTAATAAAACTAGTCTTGCTTCTTCCTCGTAATCCACTTTGATAGTAATAAAGAAAGTAAAGACAAGAGATCGCAAAATAAAATAAAATATAATATGATATAATATAATATAATAAAATAAAACGAATGTGTTGGTCACAATGACAATCAATGTACAATTGAGTGTTGGACTTGCCTTGGCCTTTTTCGAGATCAAAGTTGACGACACAGAAACAGACCATCCATTGGCGGAGTTGATCAATGGCAAGCATATCCATGATATCCCAACTGCTCGATCTGCGTGCATGGCCTGCGTCTATTTCAAAACTTTCTGGAATCACATCGATCACAGGCCGTCGTCCGATTGTTGTTGCTGTTGCTGTCGTTACTTTTGCTGGTTTTGCTGATGAGGATGATACGGGTACAGAGGCTAAAGGTGCATTGAGAGTTGTTGCTTTTTGTAAAGATGTAGTTGTAGCGGTATTATCAATAGAAGTAGAAGAAATAGAAGCTGAAATGGACGTAGGGGAAGTTGTCCTGGTTGTTCTAGGTGTTCTTGACCTTGAAACAACGTTAGAGTTGGTGCGCCGGAGAGAAGTAGCACCAAAGAGAGTAGGTAGACTATCAGTGCTGATGGATTGCATATTGTATGGAGTGGAGAGGTGCTTTGACTTTAGGTCAGTACTGCTGGTGGATGATGAGCCTCGGTGAGAGGGACTACTCGTTGGGAGCGAAGGTGTAGGCGCAGGAGGATCGCGGGTATACGACATGACGATGTCCCGTTGGAAATAGAACAACGAATAGGGGAAAGAAGGGAAAGAAGAAGGAGGGAAGAAGGGAAGAAGGGAAGAGGAAGGAGGAAAGAGGGAGGAGGAAAAGTGAAAGTGAAGGCGAGAAAGAAGAGTGAGAAGGAGAAGTCAAGACACAAAGCTAAGACAGAGGATTACAGGAAGGGAAGAATATGTAAGATTAAGGAAAAAGTCAAAAAAAAAAAAAAAAAAAAAAAAGGGTTTAAAGACAATCAGAAACCAGACAAATTAGCCAAAATAGCAGACAGAAATCTGCCCGAATTGAAATTGTAATGAAATGAATGAAATGATGCTTGTGATGAAGAAATGAGCATGAAGAGGAATGAGGTCAGATGATAAAAACCCTTTTTTTATGCACAAAAATCATAAAAATCATAAATCATTAGAATATGTATAATTGGATAAGTATATAAATGCATTACCGTCATCAGCATTAAATTACATGTACATGTATATATTTTATTACTGACCATTTTCTGAAGTCAGAATTGGGTGTTCAATAATGTTCTCATGGTTCTAAGAATACTTTCTTCTCTTGGGGGGCAACTGGGTCGTTAGTGACAATACAACTGTCCCTGATCACTCCAAAAAAAGAAAAAGGAGAAAATGGTCTTCATTTTCACACACAGACAGATCCACAAACACTCAATTGCACACTTTTCTGCGGGAGAAACTCTAGGCCTTCCACTCCTTTTTTATGGTTCAATTTTTGGAGGAAAAAAAAAACGATCGACATCCAAACTAAGAAACAGTGACAATTATAACAATAGTAAGCATCCTCCGTGCTCCTGATGCATTCATCTCTCCTTTTTCGATCCGGCACAACGGCATACACATATTTGTTCTCTCTCACATTCTGGCTCCCACAAATCTGCTATTCCGCATAAAGGATAACTACCGTACTTTAAAAGCATGTTCAAAATAATGCTATTGATTTGTCGTCAATATCCTAGATAACCTGTACCGCAGCAGACAAGCAGAGAAGGCTTAATTTTATATTGCAGCAAGGCATGTTCTTACTGTTGCAATAAAGACAAAACAACCGTGCGTGTTGTGCTTCTAATAACAAGTGAAACATGCGATTTGTTCCTCATAGGACCCACGCTACTCTTGTAAGGAACGCTCTTTTATTCCACTCCACAAACATGCTTTCCTTCAAGGGCATATATTGCACTCTTTAAGCATCGCATCGACACCATCACTAGCAAGTCCTTTTTTTTTTTTTATTTTTTTTATTTTTTTTCCTACTGTATATTTCCCATATCCACATAATTTTCTTCAAAGAACGAGCCCTTACCAACCTTTTCTTTCATGAAGGATGAAAGAACCCTCATCCTCTCACATGAAACCAGGGGACGTATAAAAGGTTGATGATCCACACACAAATTATGCACATTCTGCTTAACCTCTTGTCCTTTCCCATCACTGACTCTCTTTTATTCATACTTTGATCACTAAAAGCAAAAGAACAAGTCCTCCCTTCCTTCTACTTCTTTCCTTTACTTTCCTTTACTTTCCTTTTCCTCTGACCGTTTTCATCCCTCCCAGTCTCTATATACTTTGCTCTTTTACACCCATACCATCGACGACTTATAAGAAAACCTTAACGATACCTTCATAACCACAGCTTCTCTTTTGAAAACATAAAAAGCAAAGAAAAAAAAATGACGGTGTTAAGTGAAAGACTCGACTTTTTATCGACAATTCCTGCACTGGACCCTGCTATCCCTCTGACTCAGTATTTACGAATCTTGGGAGAACTCTCCAGTAGTGCATTCGGACTCCAACAACAATCGAAAGACCTCTTCTTAGCCTACAATCCGTCCCTCAAAAGTGCTGTTAACCCCTGTTTCTCTGCCTCGGACCCTCTTCATCCAGTCTCACCTTCAGGTTCCCTTGCAACGACCAAAGATGCGCTAAATACAGCTGCCCTTACAGCCGATCCTGAACCTGTATCCGCTGAAATGGCCCCTGCTAATGTAGCATCACCATCCTTACTTAAGATGCCCAAACAAGCCGAGGATCTCTTGGACACAAGCATGATTCTTCTCCTACGGTTCTGTAAGGTCTTGATACTCTTGCCCGAGCTGCCAACCTTCCAACGCCATTGCCATGGCGCACTTCTTCAGCCATATGAGAAGCAGGCGTGTCTGTTTATGGATCAGCTACAGCGATACTGCAACCATGGGCCTCTTGAGTATTGGAAATTCAACTATCCTGACCATCCTATCGACGCAATCTCAATAACATCAATGACTTCTCTAGGAAATCAAACTCCCGCTATCATTATCCTCTCACCACCAGCCCTGATGCCAAAATCAGAATTAAGACAGAAATCAATTGCAATGACAAGGAGTGTGCAGACACCTATCAAAAAGGACAGCTCCAGTCGCGATCTCAGTCGCACCGATCGTGACAACGATAACAGCAGCAGTGATGGTAGCCTTGAAAGCGAGCCATTGATCCGCGGCCCTAATGCCGCTACCAGGGCCAGAGCTAGAGCTCTCGAAGATGGCCCCAAGTCTGATACTGCACCTCCGCCATATAATACAGGTGTAGGAATATCTCTCAAACCCACATCCCCGAATCAAGTGGGACCCATCTCAAAAGACGCCTCACCAGCAACCAAGTCAATTCCTTTTCTAGAGCGAGATCGAACTGTCGATACCGTTCCTGCTATGGAAAGCTTCCCGATCTCGCCGCACAACGAGCTTGTTCCATCAGTCACTTCGGGACCTTCGATTACTGCAAATGAGCCGAGCGTGAAGTCAAGACAGTCCTCGCAGGGGACTGTATTACTGACGCAGGCACCATCTCCTTTGGCGTCATCTAGCAATGCCACCATTAGAAGTAGCTCGACTAAAAATGTAGCGGTGCCCATAGTGCAACGCGACAACTGCTCTAATGGCTTTTCCCTTCCTCTCTCTGCAGCTATGTCTCCATCTATAATTGCGAGATCACCTACGTCTTCAACTGCGTCTGATGGACTAATTCCGATAGCAAGCCCTAGGCCTAGACTTACTGACACAAATGCTCTACTTTCTGCGCTTTCGGGGATCCCGAAAGCAAAGCAAGAGTTGTCTTCTTCCTCAACTTCGTCGTTGTCGTCTTTGTCATTGGCTTCGTCGCTACTGTTAACACCACCAGCACAGTCGCCAGAGCAACAAGACTCATTGACACACCTGCAGTCACAGCTGCTCCTGCCGATACCACACGCTGATTCGATTCATCGCGCACAGGTGATTGCCAACAAAGAACATCAAGTCTTGAATATGCCCCTCCCAAGATCTAGTTCTGGGTATTGCTTTGAAGGAAAACAATTAGTGATCCCAAGGCATACTGAGTCAGTATCTGTACACCCTATAGTCAGTAATGCAGACCGACCTCTGCCAGCGACACCTACATCTACAGCATCTGCAACATCATTTCCAGCGCCAGTACCGCCTATCGTCATTGTCACGTCGCCAACCCTTTCAAACTCAGTTATATCATCTATTAACGCATGGTCTCCATCCGATTCTTCTCCTGATTCTGTTGCTTCGCCCTCCCTTTCTTCGTCGAGGTCGACATCGTCATCGAGGTCAACATCCTCTACATCTTCAAATGCTCTTACGATCGAAGCCTTACATGCGCATGCCACGACCTCTACACCTAATCTTCCAGCGTCATCCTTGACTTTCAATACTACAGGTGCTATTGCTTCCAAGAGCATCAGCACCAATCCTCCCCATCCTCAGGCCCAAGTAAGGAGGTCCAGTGTGCACAAATTAATCCAGCTCTACAACGATGGCTCTGTCAATAACCCTGAAACAAACCCATCAAGCTCTACAGGCACAGTTGCTCAACGAGGAAGGGTACTTGAGTCGAGAGTAGGAGGAGGGACCACTAGTGGCAGCAGCAGTGGCAGCGACAGCGGTAGTGAGCGTGAGAACAAGGCCTTATTCGCGGCAGCATCGTCATCGTCGCCCAGATCTCCACTAAATAATTCTATCGATCAAGATCTCTATCGCATCACCCCGGGAGGCCATAACAATCCTCGGTCTCTGTCTCAAATGGAAAAAGGGAAAATGAAGAAGGTCTACAACTCTGGTAATTTGCAGAGTCCCCCAGGGCCAACGGCCATCATCATCACCCCCACCCCCCACACCATACAGATACCACCACGCAGTGCAGCACGGCCTCGGCAAGGAAGACCAACAACGGCGGTAGTAGGAGCAGGCACTGCAAGTGCGGCTGAAGTAGCAAAGCAGCAGCAGCAGCAGCATTTCCAAGGAATTGTTGAAACAGGGAGGAACGACGTCTATTCAAATGATTATCCGCTAGCTTTATCATCTAATCCACCAAGCACAAAGCAACGGCAGCACCCAGCTGATATTAAGATTAATACTGCTGCGCCAAACAACTTCACGAAAGGGTATAAAGAATGCTACGAAGATTGGAATGGCTCCTCCACCTCAGCATCGGCCTCGGCAAGTGAATCATGCTCCAACCCCTCATGTCAAGGTTCGCTTGAGAGGAAAAAGGATAACAAGGTACCAAATCACGTAAAGTCGATTGTACAACAACTAAACGGAGCATCAACACCATCCAGTGATTCTGCGCCGGGATCACCAGGATCAACAACATCCAATCTGAGTTATACTGTCCGGGAGGATTTCACTACCACTGCCACTGTAATGAATGGCACTGTAGTGGCGACGAATCTTGTAGCTGTTAAGGATAGCTATAGCGACAACAGCTATAGCAACACCAGAGCGGAAACGTCTTCAACAGAAACGATTCACAAGACTAATTCCGCTGTTGATGCGTGCCAGAATAACCTTGGTCCCTCGAGTTCGACTTCGAATCCAATATTAACCACCCTCCCTCCTCGAAAGGCATCACATTCTTCGCCGAGGTCCTTCGACCTTGATACTATCAATGAAGAAGAATCAGTGATGTCTTCTCCTCCTTCTTCACTAGTAAAGAGACACTTTTCAACGACTTCAACAGCCACATCAGCGTCTGACTCAAGGGCTCTTGCTCATGACCAAGGTCTACTGCTTCTTACACGAAGAGGGTCTGAAAGCAATGATAAGGTTAGAGTAAAGAGTCATTACTACCAACAGGCCAAAAGTAATGATCATAACTTTGAATATAGCGATAACGAAGGTGATGACGACAATGAGCCGGTCGAGCTGATTCGCATCCCCACCCAAAGCTCCTCTTGGTCATCCCATATGCATCAGTCTACAGTGAGCAGCCGCTCCATTTCCAGAGCCTGTGAAGAAGTCCCACCGACGCATGTAATGGTCATGAGAGAGCGTAGTGATTTCACTACCACCGCTGAGAACGAGGGGTTCCTACAGTATTTGGATGTAGAGCCTCACTGTAGTACTCCTGAATGGCTCAAAAAGCGAAATATCATGGGCACAGATATGGATAGGCAAAGTGCCGTTGATTCAAATGCTGGTATGGTCGATGACTATACAGACAACGATATCGAGAGCGCTGTTGCTGAAGTCTCTTGGCGAGCTGATGAGGATGAGGACGACACTTTCACCCACCACAGACGACAACAGCGAAGGCAAGGAGGAAATGGTTCGAATAGCTGCTATGAAAACAACGCGGTCCTCAGTCTATTGTCTCGTAACACCTCAACGTCTTCGTCATCATCAAGATTATCACGTTCATCTTCTCTTCAAGGTCAATATGACGCGCTCAATTCCCCTCGCATAAAGCCTTCATCGACTCGTGTGTCATTCACTCAAGATCATCTGAATCACCACGAAGCATTTGTTTCATCGACAATGACTGCCGTGAATACTGAAAAGGCCACGAATGCAACTACCCCCAATCGTCCAAGACATCCAAATTACTTGGGTACTAACATTGTTAGTAGTGCTCAGTCTGCTGCAGCAGCATCTACAACTATGTCAAAGTCTTTATCGTCCTCAGTTACATCGGCCACCTCGGCTTTATATCGTCATCTACCTAGAGCCACGTCCACTCCCTCATCTACTGTTCATATTGCTGGGACTTCGGCTTCCTCAAGCTCAACTGCAGCACATTCTCGGGTTAGGACAACAACAGAAACAATATCCTATGAAGGAGTATCAAGTTTAGGTTCGATGCGAAGGACTCAATCACGTGGAACATCCGTCTTGGGAACCACAATTGTGCCCTTCACATCCTCTAGCACTACTGCACTCAACGTCCAACAGGCTTCTATGCTTATTCAGGATAGACTTCAACAAGAGCAGCAACGACGTAAACACCCTCAAACTCATCAAGCTCAAGCTCTTCCTCAAGTTCTAGCCCAACCCCAGCGACCAACCAAAAAGTAGCGTTTTTTTTTTTGTATATTTTTTTGAAACATTTTATTTCAATTATGACTATGATATGTACTATGATACAAAGCTTCCTCCAATAAGAATAAGAATCATACGAAATAAAGTAAATGTCAATAGACAATTAGAGCGAGATATTGGAGTACTAAAGATTGCAAAATTGGATGAATGGGAGAAGAGAATAATAGGGTAAAAGAAGATGGATATACATGTAAAAAGTAAATTGAATACAGGTCAGAAAAAAAATTACACTCTTGTGGATATCATTGACCTTGTTCACTTTTTTTTTTTTTTTTTTTTTTTTTAGCAAAAGTCTACACCTGACACATGTTCAGCCTATGCACGCGCTGAGAGTCCACTCTTGTGCCAAATGGCATACACGCCAATACCCACAAGCATGCATCCGCCAGATACGAGGATTGCTGACTGTAACCATTAACAAAAAAAAAAAAAAAAAAAAAAAAAAAAGCGCTCTTATAAGTATCACAGTCAAAGCCCGTGCGTGTCATCTCAAAAAAAAAAAAAAAAGCTTTAAAAACAAACAACAAACAAGATAGCCCGTTCACTTGCCTGCGGAGGTTGCAGCATGTCCCTTTTGCCTATTGGGAACATAAATTGGGCCCATGAAAACTCGTTGCGCGTTATCAGCTCCTTGGACAATCCTCTACGTGTGCCTGTAGAAGTAGTAGTAGTTGCAGTTTGATTATCGCTCTGACCACGACACTCTGGATTCTTGCAAATTACAGTAGTTGATGTTGGTGAGGTTGGTGTTAATGCGGAGAGCCCTCCCTGAGCGGTGTGGTGCTTTTCTTGCATTTCCTTAAGCTCCTTTTCAGTCTTGGTCACCACAGCCTTTGCCTCTGATAGTTCTTTCTCAGTCTCCACAACCTTTGCTTTAGCCTTCGACAGCTCCTCTTCAGTTTTGGCAGTTACAGCCTTAGCTTCTGACAATTCCTTCTCAGCATTCGCAGCTACAGTCTTTGTCTCTGTAAGTTCCTGAGCAAGTGCAGTCTTCTCGTTTGTCAGTTCTTGGATCATCTTGTGTTGCTCTTCGTTCTTCTCCTGCAATGTACCAACTTCAACCTTTAGAGCCGCAACCTCAGCTCGTAGACGTGATACTTCCTCTGCCTGGATAACCTCGGTTTGAGACGTCGCTGAGGAGAATTCAAGCGCCTTGGACAGCTCATCATGATACCTTGACGCCAACAGTTCCCGTGCTGACGAAGCTTCACGCGCTACGCAGTCCAAGCTTTCCTTATGAACTGTCTCCAATGCAGCCAGGGTAGCCTCATGTTCCTTACGGAGGCATTCCATCGCCTGCTGGTGGTCAGTAATCAATTCGTTCATGCTGTCTTTGGTAAGGTCGCGTTCCAATCTGACTTTTGTCAACTCGGCAATACTCTGAGCAATGTCACGTCTCAGGATTTCGTCCTCCGCAACCAATGGTTCCAAAAGCTGAATTTTTTGAATATACGCCTCCAATTCTGCCTGGGTTTCTTCCAGCACCTTGTTCACTTTAGCAAGCTCTTCAGCATGAGCCTATTAGTTAAGTTGATGACAGGTGGATCAACAATTGTTAGTTCTTTAAACAGCCCGCAAGTCCATGATGTTGGTTGCCTTGATTACAAAAGTTTTATTTTTACCTGATTGTTTTCCTCAATAAGCTTCTGATACTCAATTGCGGGAGTAGACTGAACATTCGCTATCTTCCCATCTTCCTTATTAGGGATAAGGATAGCACGTTCTAGTTCACCCAGACCTTGCTTAAGTGCTCCAAGATCAGCATTGGTTTCTTGTGAACGTGTCAATTCGTTCTGGAGACGCGAGATGATGAGATCAATATTAGTACTCTGACCAGCAACACCGACGCCTGAACCTGAGCTGGATTTGACAGAATTTGGGCCGGATCCTAAAGGAGAGCTAGACTTGAGTTTTGCGTGAGTCCTAGGTAGTTAACAAAATAAATAAAATAAGTATGTGCGACAAACAGATGACGTTTTCTTTTTTAGGATTCATAAGTCAACTACGGATATTATATGCATGTGAACTTACTCTTGAGGTGAGCCTCCAGGAGTGGGATATGACATTCGGGAGATATAAATCTTGCAGGCAACCTTCTCGTGTAGCACTATTGGCATGGACGAATAATCTTTTTAGTTGATCATGTCACAGCAAACAATCCCATGACCATTCACCGCCCATCATTGACCATATACAACACAATAAAAAAAGGAAAAAAAAAGGACGGTATGGCACAAAATGATAGGAATGTCTGTCAGACTAGTGGAGTCCGAGCATAATGACGAACAAGAAAGTTTCTTGATCACATTTATGGATATGTGGCCGTTACCCACAAAGAAACGGCATTTTTTTTTCTTTATATGTATATTCATATTTACATAGACATGACACTTACAGGAGCCATTCTCGTCCATAATGTCGATACCGAATTCGAGATGGTCATTCTGGTTCAGAACAAATGGTTCACTCTCAACATTCTCTGCTGAGAGACGTTTTCCATTCAAGAAAGTACCGTTGCTCGACTTGACATCGCGGATAAAGACCTAATGGATGAAAACAGCGGAAACAGAGACAGGGATGGAAATTTGCTTAGCTCAAGGGGGCGAAGGAAGAGTCTAGACTTTGATTTTTTTTTTTTTTTTTTTTTTTTTTTTGATATTTGGATAATACCTTGCCATTCTCAGCCCAAACTTCGGCATGGACTCTGCTAAGGACTTTGGAGTCAAAATAGCCATTGGATGGGTTAGGTGCCGTGGTAACTCCGGTCTGGCGACCAATTTTGACACGAGTATTTTCTGGTAGCTCAAGTGATTTGAGAGCGAAATTGTCGTTAATGGGTTCCAAGACCAGAATGGGGTTTGTGGTTGCAGTGGATCGACCATGGACAGAGTCGATTGATGCGGAGCTTCCGTTGCTATGATTGGTGTTGAGTCCGTTGGCCATGGTATGTTTGCTAGTGTTGGATGTAGGCGAGGGTGATGGAGTAGCAAAAGCAGCAGAGGAAAGTGAAGAGGTAGCAGAGGCGGTTGAGAGTGTTGGTGCCACTGATACGGGAGCGGCGTGTCTCTTTGGCAATATTCCGGTACTGATTTGTAGCAGATTATGGAAAGGCTGAGTAATAGTCGAGGAAGAACTGACCGAGGATGCTATTTGGTGATGAAGTGATGGGATGGACAACGAAAGAGAGGAAAGAGAGGAAGGAAAGAGATGGAGGAAGAAAAAAAAAAAAAAAAAAAAGATTAACAGCTGCATGGTCCCCTCATTCTCATTCTCTACATCTCAATATGTACATTTTGCATCCTTTTATTTCCCGCGCTCTATTCCTCTATTTTGCTGAGAGTCAATGTTTTTTTTTTTTTTTTGTTTGCATCTGCCAATCCTTATTTCTGAGACGAAAGATGACAAACAATTGCCCTTCCCCAATTGACCAATTGACGGAAGTTATTTTTTTAAACTGTTGTCACTTTTATCCTTTAATTGATGAGATGAAAGAGTCTTGTAAACAGGCATACAGAGAAGTATATTTTATATGCTTTTCATCATTCCAACGACTTTTTTTTTTTTTTTTTTAACCGAATGTGTCTCGCTAATATTGATCTCAATCCATAATATATGCTTTTTAGTCTCCTTTTATATCCTCTTACTTTCAGTCAGCATGCCAGCAATATGACGCCATATTCAAAAAATATGTATATTTGTGTAAAATATCAAAGATCACAAATGGGTCTATAACACTCTCAAGATTGAAATAATAATAATAATAATAATAATAATAATAATAATAATAATAATAATAATAATAATAATAATAATAATAATAAAGAAAAAAGAAAAGAAAGACTCTTCTACTCATCATCATTTAATATGTCCAAACTTACTCCTCGATTTGTTGCGGACAGGGGATGTAGGGAAGTAAGTGGAGGATGTGGGAGAGGTATTAGCAAGTGGGCTTGTATTGCCATTGGCCAGGACAGCCGTAGAAGAGCCTGATGTTAATGCAGTGGCTGCTGCGGTTGTGGTGATTGTGCTGGATGAGGCGAGAAGACTATTGAGGCTATTGACACTGGAAAGACTGGAGCTGCTGTTGCTGTTTGCTCCAGACCCAGTCATTACAGGTGCAGGTGCAAATGCAGAGACGGCCGATTCTTCAGCAATCGGAGGGCTATTGCGACGATATGTCATAATGTATTATAAAAGAAAAAAAAAAGAAAAGAAAAGAAAAAAAAGATAATAATAATAATAAAGGATAAGGAGAGGAAAGGAAAGGAAAGGAAGGAAAGGAAAGAAAATAAAATGTAGAAAGCGAGCCGGATTGAATGTCTTGAAAGGAGAATAGGAGATGACAGAAGAATAGGAGAGTGAGGAAGAAGGAAGTTGAGAAGTGAAGTAGGAGAGCGTTAGAATTGAGAGTCGAGAGTAAGCTGTCGAAAGTGAGAGTCTACACGAGAAAAATGGAATCGAATTCAGGGAGAGACAAGGGAAAAGAAAGAAAAGGGTTACAGATTGACAAATGCATACACAAATACACAAATACAGATAAGCAAGGGAGAAAGAAGGGGAGGAAGAGTAAAGAAGTAAAGAAAAGTGAAGAGAGAAGAGGAGAGAAGCCGCAATCTTCATCAAAACTGACTGAGTAAAGTGATCGAGAACCGAAGCCCGGGGTCTGGTTCTCTCTTTTTTTTTTTTTTTGTTCCAAGTGCTGATTGGGCGTCAGTAATTTTGTTGTTATTTGTTGTGTAGTTGTGTAGATGAATGTTAATAAAAGTAATAGAGATGAATGTTTGTTGTTGCACATGCATTAATGCATATTCATTTGTCTTTACTTTTCAGATCAATGGCGACTGTTCGATGCTTGTTGGTTTTCCAAATCTGCTCTGATTTCACCATAGTTTAGCAGAATTGATTAGCATCCCCTGAATAGCTGCCATCCAAAGGGATTAACTTCGAATGGACAGGATTTACTGTGTTGTTCAAAACAATAAAACTTGACTGAAAGTCTGCTAATCCTCAAACTATGAGGCAAATAATGCCTCTGAACGCTTCAATAGGATTATGGCGAGCTTTTGGGGTGCAGAAAAGACAAGATTGTCTCTTTTGAGCAATGAAGGATATAGGATTTGTTCCTTGGAGGCAAACTTTTTTAAAACCACGCTTGTTGCTAGTAAAAACACAAATGGTTCCCGTTTTCCGCATACTTTCAGCGCTTCCACAATCCAAGGGCTGTAATGTAGCCATTAAATGTTACATGTTTGTCGAAGTGTTGACACATCCCTTGCAAAAGTTCAGATGTATGCTAAGAATATTGTTTAAGGGACGTAGAGTGGTCAATAGCATGTGGCAGTATTCAGGTGTTTATACAGTATCAGATGGAGTCCGAACAGTCGCCATATTCGGATGGATTGTAAATTGAAGTGAATATTTGAATAGGTAGGATGAAAATAAAGTGAACACATGGAATAATATAGAGGAGTTGTAATAAAGCGCTTTATATCCAATAGCTTGCAAAGAGTATATCTGTATGAGCGCTGTTTCTGAGGAATATGTACGCCTTGTTGAGGCTCAGTGGAGGTTCATGCAAGAGGAGTGGCCAGCTATAAAGAAAGCCAAGTTTCATCGCACAGAGATGAAAGAGATATCTGACGTAACACACGTCAAGTCAATGGCGCTTGACCGTCTAGGATTCATCCCAACGTTCTTTTTTCTGACACAAGTATTTGGAGTGCGTGACTATGGTAGCCCATATCGTAATGTCGAAAAGGGTCTTCTGCTCCTGTATGCACTAATCACAGGAGATTCATTGTCTACAATGTCAAGGTTCATACCAAAGACGTCCTTTTACGACTTGCACAGGGAATTTTATCTTCGGGACCCTGTGAAACTACATGATGACATAACCTCAATGATGAGAGATATGTGCTCGAGTTTGAAGCTACGATTGCTACTTGCCAAGAACAACCCTGATCCATTCAAGCATGTGACATTGAATCTAGACGGACATGACACAAGAGTCAGCTACATCGGTGCTGACAAGCCAAGTCTCTACTCTTATAAACTCAAGAAGTCGGGTTTTCGTATTCAAGTGTGTTCAGACATGAACAATATCATATTGTTTGCATCCAAGCCAGCTCCTTGTCGAGATTTCAATGATGGGACTATGCTTGTGAAGATGAACATTGCATCGCATATACACAAGCTGGACTGTGTTGCTCTTGACGGTGGCTACAGTGGGTTCGTTAGACAAATTGTCGAACCATCAGATGCACTGTCCTACGAAAATTTCTCTTATCCTGTGCGCAAGACTAGGGGGATCGCCATGACAGACCAAGAGTTACATTACAATAAAGCGTTTGGTGGGTTTCGGTCAAGCATCGAAGGGTGCTTTGGAGACATGCAATCCACCTTCTCCAAGTTCACACACGACGCTCCCATCCGTTTCTCAGACGCAAAGACGTTTGATCTCCAATTCAAGCTTTGTTGCCTGCTTATGAATATCAAGAGAGTCGTGTCAATCCATAATATCCCCACTCAGACGCACCACACATTCTGGATGCAAGATGCGTTTGACTTTCCAGACAATAATGAGTATCAGGTTGCTTATGAGAAGCTTCCCAGCATCAAAGTCAAACTAAATCATGGTCGAAGTCTTTTAGAACTACAAGAAGCGTTCCTATCTGTAGCTAGTTCGCAGCCTAACACACTAGACATTGCAGATGAGACTATGGCAGAGACAGCGCAGGAGGGATACGAGGTTGCTAGGATTTTAGACCATCGCGGGGAAGGTGAGGACATGGAGTTTCTGGTTCAATGGGAAGGCTTTGATATCTCTGAGGCAACATGGGTGGCTCTACAGCATTCCAACTACAAACAGTGCATCCAAGACTATTGGAGAACCAAAATCAGCTTCTAGAGACCGATTGCACGTACTTTCAAAAACCATCATGACGCGCACAGACCATGGGGGCGACTTTCCAAATTCTTTTATAGAGATGAAATCCAAAGTCGCCCCCGGTTAAATATTAATCCATGACTTTTCAAAAAGAATACAATATCGTAATCTGCTCAAGCCCTCCGTTATATTCATTTAGTTCCATCATTGAAGAAACCTTCCCAATTCTTCCCTACTTCCCTCATGTATTTTATATGATAGCTTGTGGCTTTCTTGTTAGTTCCAACTATATGAATACCAAAAACCTCATTCAAGACAGAGTTGACAAAGTTCTGCCGGTTTCTGAAGTTCCAGTTGCTATGAGATGGGTACGGGATTAGAAGTTGTGTGCAAATATTCCGCATGTTTGACGATAGCGATTCCCATTGCTCATCCAGGCTTGATTTGAGAGCAGTGGATGCTCTACATTTGGGATCAAATGGGGAGTCATAACCACAGGCAAAGAGGATGTCTTTTGCATACTTTAGTTTGGTATACTTTGATTGATGTAGTCTATGTAGTATGGCGCCAGTGTCCCTCCTTTCTTGATCTTTCCCCAGAGGATACGAGTCGCTCTGCTTTGTCATCTTCAACTCTGGGTCGTTCTTCAAGGCTCGCAGATTCTGAAAGACCTTCATCTCTTTTGGGTTACTGTAGGTCTGCACCCATTCAGGCGTAAGGATAGATGGGTCCTCAATGCCGTAGGCGTCCATAATCCTGAATTTTTGTACTGCGTAATACTCTTCAGTAGAAAGGTCTGACCTTGTTTCCAGTCGTAGTAATTCTTCGTAATCAATTACCTTGGCCTCCGATATCCCTGTATACTTGGCTTGAAGTAGGGTGGCTGTCCTCTGTTTCAGAGATTCAGAAACCTTAAGGTCCTTGGGCTGATTAGATAGCCCAACAACTCTGCAGCCAGCCTGAACCATTTGAGCAATGAAACGCTGAAGAAAATCATTCATTGATAGATGCTTCTTTATCAGTGCATTGATGAATATTGTGTAGTAAATATCGCCAACATCATGCTTCACTCCAGGACCTTGCCCTACCCTCAGATCAAACGGAAAGCCATTCGTATCCATAGCGCATCCCTTGATTTGAACCTCTTGGCTGCAAAGATACCTGACTATTTCGTTGTGTGTTGTTGGAAGATTGTTTATTGAATTGCTGATATAGACAAGGTATTCTTTTTGCTGGACGTGCCGTACTCTTCTGAGCATTTGCCTACATGTCTCTACATTGACTTTACTTTGTGACATGAAAAATCCTGCAACATAATCAAAGTGTTGCATGTTACAATCAAGCCCAACTGTGATGGTTGGAGTATGAATAAAATAGTCGAGAGTTGGTGCGATTTCATTAATATTCTGTGCAAATGCCCTCTTCTCCAACTCCAGGGAATTCGCAGTGATGCACATCCCAATGAACCCCATATCCTTCAATTCACTATGTAAACTTTCAGCATCTTCAGCCTTCTGTGTGCTACATATCCACACTTTCTTTCCAGACTTGACTAAGTTAATAACCTTTAACTTCAGAGAAGCCTCATTCTCATAAAGAGAGACGAGATCTCCTTGCTGTGGCTTGAATGTATTATGGATAACGTGGACATCATCTCGAAGCTCCTTGATGACCTGAACGTCTCGGTCTGTTAGATCAGCATCCAAGGCAATCACCTTCCTGGATACCTTAATGAAGTCTCGTAATATATCATTATTGGCCTTGTGGAAGCCCCTCATGGTGGCGACACTTGTCATCTGATCAAAGATAGATGACACTTCATCCAGAACCAGAACAACATCCATGGTGTAGTATGCAAGATCCAGTTTATGTAAAGATTCGGCTTGTATGACAATCTTCTGACCTTTGATATAAGTGGAGGGAAAATCCAAATAGCTTTTAAACCCGAGTCTCTTCTCTAGACTGGAGGCTAGTGTCTGTCTTGGAGATATTGCAAGATACGTCAACTTTGGGTTCATTTGAATAAACTGCTCCAAGAATGTCGTTTTTCCAGTGCCAGTCTCGCTCCTTATCAAGAGACTCATCGGTGATTTGTGGTATTTGATGTAGGGTGACGCATACACTTCGCCTGGATGCAAGTGCTGATCTGTGTCCAACGTAGCAAGATGTTGTCTCAGGACAATCTTTTCGCCGAAATCCAATTCCCCGACGAGGATATTGCGGGATAAACCCTCGGCAATAGCTCTGTAGCAATACAGCGTCACTCTTCCATTTCGACTCACTTGAAGATAGCCATTCTCGTTGTCATGTCTTCTCTTGCATACATCGCATTGACCAGATTGAACTCGTTGCAGCTTATAGATCCCACCTTGGCCATCATACTGTATTCTGTATAGGTTTGCATGCTTGTATTGTGCAAATATTCTATGTACAGCATCAGAGACGACAGATACGGACAACTGGTGTGGTAATGTCATATCTCTAGATGCATCTCCAAGTGCTGCTGAAATTGACGGTATCTGGTTACGCTGGCGCCTTGAGAACCTGTCGGCAGCTGGAGATTTTTCCACTTTGATACTATTGGGCTGAACATTGGTGATGAAAAATTCTGCATCCAATGCATGCATAGATGGCTGATGCCATGGGGTACGGATGAAACGTCTGGTTATGTCTCTACGTTTCGAGCTTCCGAGACATCGGATGCTTCTGCTTCTTGAGTATACACCTGAATCAATGTACTTGAGCAGATTACCTTCATTCTGATCCTGGTCAGCTTTGATATCCTTGAAAAAATCAAGCAGGAATGTCCGAAGGTGTCTGTGATTGTTCTCGAATGTGTACGTTGGTATCATGACATGCAATGATATCTTTTTATGAGTGGATGAAGTCAAGATTCGGCATTGATTCTCGGTGATGGGATATTTCGGTGCATATTGGTTGCGAGCAGCAAGAAACTCACCAAACACTCGTCTTTCAAGTTGCGCAATAGCATCGATGCCCTCGCTAGGGACGAGTGGACTAGCGCCGTCTTCGAGTGAAGGAGGATCGGTGTTTCCCTTGGAGGTCGTAGTAAGTTTCCAGTCAATGTCGTAGTACTCACAACAGGGATTTCCTTCTCGGATTTGCTCGAAAAAGCATCTGTAAGGGTTCGGGAGTTTGTTATATATATCCAAAAATGTAGGTAGATCCTTGTAGCTTGCAAACTCATAAGACGACTTCTTGCCATCCGGAGAAAGGCCACTTTCGTACATCACAAAGAAAGTATTACTGTTCGCATCAGCCCATTCGTGAGCCCTTGCTTGTGGACCCAAGGTTTGCTTCTTGTCAGCAGCAAAGTAAACTGATTCAAATTTTTTGTAAGTCCGGTTTGTATTTTCAGACATAGTAGGTAATATGTTGATAGTTTATAGTATATGAGTAGCAATTTCATTTTATTTTGTTATCGAGTGAACAATAGACTATCATGGGAATGATTCTTATTTTTCCTGAGTATGAGTGTTAAAGACCTTTTGAACATAAACGATCATCTCCTCCTCAGTCTTGCTATCCTTGAGAACGAAGTTGCGGCGGCTGAAGTCGATTGGTGCAACGTCATCTTTCATCTGTAGGTAAACGTTTTCGCCTCTTGGAGAACGATCAGATCGCAACTCTGCAATCTCAACGGGGTCGAGGTCAGGATTGTCAGCAATGAACTGGTCCAAGGTACGATCGACAGCCTTGCGCTGCAGCGCAAAGAGACGATAGCCTCCAATAGGCAATGGCTGAGGCTGCTGGAGCTTCAAAATAGCAAAGACCTCCTGCTTTCCATAAGGGCGACTCAACACTCGGTCACGGTTGGCCTCCAGGCGTGCACGCTCGCTATTGGCAAGAGCATCCTTAGTGTTCTTCAGCTCAAGTTGAGTTTCAGAAAGACAGGATAGGGTGCCCTCAAGTTGTGCCTGTGATATTTCAAGATCGTCCTTTGCATCTGCGAGTTCAAGCGAAATAGCAGCAAGCCGCTTGCGCAGTATCTCGATGGTAGTGGGTTCGCGCACTGTTTATGAATTGGAGAGTATTAGTTTAAGAGCAAGCTTCATTGGTGCGCGCAGAAAGCATGTACGTACTGGTTGTCTTGGTTTATAGCGACCTGGTGGAGGAATTCAGGGAGCGAAGGGAAAGGGATGGAGGAAGGAAAGGAATAAAATGGATGTTTCTCATGGCGATGAAAGTGTTTTAACATTTTGTGATGTGATAAGGAAAAGGGATGAGATGGCATGATTTCATTGGATGGAAAATAAATCGCATGACCCTTTGACCTTATGCTCTTTATTTAAAAAAAAGCCACACCGCCCCATCTGCAGGACTTTATCAGATGTGGTGACACGGCGGCGCAGATGGGGTCTGTGCACGGACCATGGGGGCGACTTTTCAAATTCTTTTATAGAGATGAAATCCAAAGTCGCCCCCGGCTAAACATTCTGCCGCGGCATGGCTCTGGTGGTCGCTCACCAGAACGACAATTATAAAGAAAAAATATTCCTCAGTCCTGGCTTAAAAGGAACAATTGTCACTCCTTTCCTTCGTCACGCAAACAACTTTTTTTTTCCTCCCTCAACTTCATCTTCACAGCCTACATTGTCACAATTTTGAAGCATCCTGCTACTGAATTAACATCCTTTAACATTTTTATCAAACTTTTCCTATTTTCTGCCTTCTGTCCATTTCATCCTTGTTTTTAAAAAGGTTTGAAATCACAATGAGAAAGACCGGAACATCATCTCGAAACGTATCACCTCGATCTAATCTGTATGAAGAGGGTTCAAGCACCAGTGGGCCTAAAATCCCTGAGCGAACTGAACTAAAGATTTTTTGCATTGTTGAGGGAGAAGCAACGCCTTTTCCTGTCAAGATTCCTTCCAATTGTTCGGTCGGCGAACTCCAGCAAGCCATCAAGGCACGGAAATCCAATGCATTTAAGGATATCGATGCTGACAAGCTCACCCTCTACAAGGTTTCCATCCCTGACGAAGGCAACACCGTGCTTGAGTCAGAAATCGAGTCAAAAGAGGCTCTCGCAATCGCGTCAATGGAGCTTTGGGAGATATTTACTTCTGAACTTCCAAGGAAAACTATCCATATTTTTGTTAAGCTGCCGCCGCAAGGCATGTATTTAGCTCTTGATGGACTGATATTTTCAAATTGATGAAGCTTATTTTCTTTCATGACGTCATTGATTTGACTTCTGAAAGATAACCCTTTATGTTTGAGATGTATCTTAATTAGTTCCTGCTCCATTACCTGTTGTTCAACCTAGATACCCAACACCCCGAGATTGCAGCTTTGCGTAAACAGCTGTCGGACCTCGAGGCATTGACGAAGAATACCTCCATATGTAAGTGTGGATAGATGTGGATAGAATGAATTAGCAATTTTTTTTATCGTTACAGCTTGGAAAGACGGAATTATAACCACTTTTTATGTCTTTTTTATTTTTATTTTTATTTTTTGCATTCTATTGCGTTGCAGCATTGAGAATCATCGACAAAAGAGGAGGAAAGAAGATTGTTTGCACCTTCGTGACGGATACCAAGACGGCAACTCTCGCTGAATTTCATCTTTTCCTTGAGAAGTACTTTGACCAGTTTGCTGAGGACAAGGACCTCAAGATATTCTTGCATCTGCCGGGTAGCTCAATACCGACAATGCTCATTAGCGATCCCCAACTTCGGTCTATTTTGGCGATTGCAAAGGAGAGTAGCTGGAAAAACCTTGTCATATCCCTGGACAATCCTGGAAAGAGTTTTTCGAAATTCACTTGGAAAGAAGTGATGGAAGAATACAACGTCGGTAAAGGCCCTGAGTTTCTCCCACTGTTTGATATTGAACCAAGGGCGATGACTGACGATGAGAAGCTGATGTTGGAGGAAATAATCAAAGAATGCAGCCGGAAAAACGAGGCCTACATTTTTGGTCCTAGCTCTAGCGAGTTCACAAGGAACTCGATCGTCGACTCTTTCATGGTTGGAGCCATGCAGTTCTACAAAGCGGATATGTATCTTGAGCAACAAGAACTGATAACCGGCCTACGGGGACATGGACCGGTGGATTTTGCTGTGTTGGATCGTATCCACCAGTCGCAAGTTCTTGGAGTCACGGAGGTGAAAAAGGACGATCATGTGAAAGGTATGGCTCAAAATATAGTACAGCTCGACGTCGCACTTCAACAAAAAAAACGAAAGCGGACTGAGGCGGATGACGATGGACAAGAGAGGCCCGCCACACGCATCAAGTCATTCGGCATTGTAACCGACGCATTCAAATGGACTTTCGTAGAGTGCACGATGGAGGAAGACGACTCATTGACGTACAAAGCCAAGGAGGTTTTGAGAGATCTAAGACTCAAGGAGGAGGAGACGCTAAGAGAGGATGCAGAAACTCTCTTTTGTTATGTTCTTTCTCTGTACGATCGCATGAAAGATGAGATTGTAAACAGATTCAGCTATAATAGCCCTGTAGTCTCACGTTCATCTTCAGCATCAGCTTCAGCATCAGCTTCAGCGAACAAGAGGCGTGCCTCAGGAACTCAATCGTAGTACTCGATCATTATGAAAAATACACCAACGTATTTTGTTCAAATAAAACAGTTCTTCATGATAAAACCCACATAATCACATTGTTTGAATTAAGCTCTTCATAGTCTGGAGGGACATTACAAGTTCTGTTTTCGAGTCATTTATTATGGATAAAGACTGTTTAAAAATACCTATCAATATTTCCGATCATAGAGCGCTTGATAGCCTTGATAGTTTCGGGAAGAGTCGCATCGTTGTTGTCTCTCGTCGTATTGATGAGGCTCGGCGCATTGGACACATCATTGGAACAATGTTTAAAAAAATAAAAATAAAAAATGCTTTATGAAGCCAAATAGGCTTTATTACGTTATATTTACACTTCAGGGACGACTTTGAATTTCTTATAAAAAGAATTTGAAAAGTTGCCCCCATGGCCCGTGCGTATGCTCTGACCTTCACTGTCCTCTCGTGAGGCTTTTTGCTAAGTTTATTTCGGCTCCCCTATCGCATACAGGTACTTTTATCAAGGCCTATCTAACTATCCTCTTGTTGTTTTTTGCGTGGATTTTAAACAGCCCCAAGAAGTCCAAAAAGGAACCTAGAAGACACAGAAGACGAAAAAGGTGAGTTCATCCCACTCATAGTTTTGATGATTCTTGAGGAAGTTTGTTTATTTCATACTCACGTCAGTCTCGCTATTCTTATATGCTCAAAGAGCACCTTGCAAAGCGCTGTCGTTCCTGGAAGCGACATATTGCAGCCGATGGCGAACCCGTAGATTTACCCCTCCATATACTGGATTTGATCGAGAATAACAAGTACGCACCAGAACCCCGCACCAAGTTCCAATCGCTTTTGACGGTGAAGGGTGGAGATCGAATTACTTCAATGGATCTTGGTCAGAGCCCAAAATTCTTTGCGAAAGGCTACCAAGGTCGCGAGTTTTTTGTGACCGAACAGATGATGAAGCTATGGAATGAACTCGAGAACAGTGAGTGGTCTGTCCAGAAGTGTTTATCGGGTCCAATGGGCGTCGGTAAATCATACATTTCATGGTTCCTTGTGGCCAAGGCATACGCACATGGTTGGCCAGTGCTTTATATTGCCGATGCTAGTAAGCTTAGCAATTGTGACACTAAAACTGCCGCATCAAAGCTGATCTGTCAAATCTTCTTATCCATCAACAAAGATATTTTGACAGCCTCAGAGCTCAAAGAAATGGTCGCAATTGAAACATCGAAGGATCCTTATGTGAATAGCGCCACCTGTATCTTTGCTGAACTACTCCAGTCAAGAAGTCAAAAGGCATTATTTGTCGTGGATGAGCATGGTGCACTATTTCCAGAAAGTAGTAAGTCTGCGCCCGAAAGGTTCCCATTTTTAGGGCCTCTACAGACTTTCAACTCCTGGAACAACTCAAATAATGCGAGAGTAGTGTTTAGCAGTACGGTAAGATTTGCAAAGCTCATTCTCAGAGACGCATCACATTATGTCGAGTATGTTGGTCCAATGTCGCCTGATATTTTCAATAAGCTACTGGATGTGATCATAGATAATCGCTACCCAACAGGCCGCCAACATTTGAATGAGCTACGAGGCGAGATTCAAAAAGCCACCGGATGTGTGCCACGGGAACTCAATATTTTTTTTGGCGAAGACATTGAAGGCATTGAGCTCACAGCTAATGGGATCAAGCAACGACTAAAGGATTATGAGGAGGATCGCAAAGAACAATTCTTGGAGATCTTGAAGAACTGTTATAGTAAAATTGAACCGATATTCCAACCAACTACTCGTCAAGCTCTAGTCGATGTGTTTCTGCAAAGCAAGGATCATACAGGACCGCCACTTGATTGGCGATTCTACCATTTTGGAATAATGTATGAGTATCGGAACAAGGGCAGGAGTATGATTATGAAGCGCCCAATTACACCAGCATCTGAGGCGGCACTTTTGGGACTATACAGGCTATGTCCACTCCCCAACGACTACATATGTGCCGCAAGGCAGAATATCTTGCAACCTGCACAATTTTCCGATGTTTTCTTTCAGAAGCTTATCAAGCAAAACAACATAATCTTCAAGTCGACTAACCTCGCTGGGAAGGAGGAACAACTTTTAGAGCTGAGAGTCGATGGCTTTGAACATCTTCAAGATCCACCTAAAAGATTTGGCGATGAGGGCAAGAATATCTTGATACATGGAGGCGAACTACCTCGATTCGATTTTATACTTGGCTACACTTTTATTCAAGTTTCGATTTCTAATTTTCAAAAACACAACGAGGGCACTGCAGCAATTGATTTGGCATTTACAGATCGGAAATATTCTAATGGCAGAAACCAAATCGAGTATTTCCTAGACTACACATACGGCGGAACTCACAGAGCAGAAATGGAAATAACAGAGGTGACCAAAAAGACCCAAGCTAAGAATACTGGCGAAGGAAAATCAGTAATCGATAAAAGGGACTTCAAAGTAACGAGAGATGGTGTGCTGTGTCCGGACTTTATGATTTTGTATATTCGCGGGAAAAATGACTTTGATGACAAAGGCAACGAAGTACATAGACCCAATCACACTGGTAAAGTCCAGGAGTATCCCCAGATAAGACATGTTTGTTGGGACGAAGCTAAAAGGAGCTTATTTGGTGATTCACTTTAATTTCAAATAAAATATTTTTGGGGCAATTCCTTTTTAAAAAGACGTCATATTGCAGGCATATTATATTTGTGGAGTTACGGAGTTACCTGAATTCTTAAGATGGTTGCAAATAGCCGAAGGTCTTCAACACTCATAACTTGGAGAGCCCGACTGCATATTATATTTGCGATAATTATTTCTCTGCCCAGGTTCATGAAGCAATGTTCGAGTACATAGGAATCTCTCTCAATGATGCACTATGCAATAGGTTGAGACTCCACTCAGTAGAAATTGTATTCACATCAACCATCTTATTGCCACTGTCGATCTACTCAAGTCTCCACTCATTACCTTGTTTCGCCTTTATTTTATTGTTCTTCAAGACGAAGGGCCACACTCCTCGGTGGAATGTTTAGCCGGGGGCGACTTTGTATTTCTTATATAAAAAAGAATTTGAAAAGTCGCCCCCATGGTCCATGCGCGTCATAGAGATCCTCGCTCACTTATTAAGGCGACTGTTCGATGCTTGTTGGTTTTCCAAATCTGCTCTGATTTCACCATAGTTTAGCAGAATTGATTAGCATCCCCTGAATAGCTGCCATCCAAAGGGATTAACTTCGAATGGACAGGATTTACTGTGTTGTTCAAAACAATAAAACTTGACTGAAAGTCTGCTAATCCTCAAACTATGAGGCAAATAATGCCTCTGAACGCTTCAATAGGATTATGGCGAGCTTTTGGGGTGCAGAAAAGACAAGATTGTCTCTTTTGAGCAATGAAGGATATAGGATTTGTTCCTTGGAGGCAAACTTTTTTAAAACCACGCTTGTTGCTAGTAAAAACACAAATGGTTCCCGTTTTCCGCATACTTTCAGCGCTTCCACAATCCAAGGGCTGTAATGTAGCCATTAAATGTTACATGTTTGTCGAAGTGTTGACACATCCCTTGCAAAAGTTCAGATGTATGCTAAGAATATTGTTTAAGGGACGTAGAGTGGTCAATAGCATGTGGCAGTATTCAGGTGTTTATACAGTATCAGATGGAGTCCGAACAGTCGCCATTAGACGATTTGACATTCATATTTGCACCTCTCTTTCTCTTTTCCTAATTCTCACACAAATTTGCATGTACTCTCTTTGCTTATTTTTGCTTACGTTGACAGATGATAAACAGATTCAACATTTAAACGGAATAGTTTTTTCTTTTTTTTTTTTTTTATTACTTTTATTCCTACTCGCCCGAGAGAACAGACCACCATGAATGGGAAGACCAGGTCTCAGACATTGCTCCTCTTTTGTTCACTGCGTATGTAATCTGACCGCAAAATCTTGAACCGTGTCTGGCCAAGAGCATTGCTCTTTCCTTTTTTTTTTGTTTGCAAAACCACCCCAAGCATATCAACCACATCAATCACATCAAACATTTCAAACGTATCAAACACAGCAAGCATATCAAACATGTAGAACATTGACACCCTCTCCTACGCCTTCCACAGAAATGATCGTGCATCTTTCTCTTTTCTTTGCTGTGAGCACACTCCAAAAATCCACTTACGTTTCGTTTTGAGCAAAAAAAAAAAGAATAACAAATAAAACTTGCATTTAGTGGTTTAAGTAGATATAGAGTATAATGTCCTGCGCCGACCATGTAAACGACAACAAACAGAAGCACTGCCTCTGGCCGTTCCTACGCGGAGAAAGGCATGGCATTGCCTGTCAGGCCAAATCTATGCAACTTTTGTAATCTTCAAATAGCATTGCTAATTTCAGACGGTGGCGCACGTATGCTCTCTTCAGGGCTGGTTTTTTTTTTTTTTTTTTTGGACTTTAATATCTTTGATTATCAAACATAGGGTGACTCCTCCCTCATATTTTTAATTTTTACAATTTACTCTTCTTCTTATACTTGTCCAAAAGATCATTGACCTTTGGTGGCGCATCCACGTGCTTCAAGTTATGCACATTGTCCTTGCCCTCTGGCCAGCCAATATACGCGGGGATCAAGCTACCTTCAGGATTGAAGGCCATCTCATGACCTTCTGGAAATCCTTTGCTCAACGAGCTACCTCCATCAACTGCAAGATTGACCCCACTGATATAAGATGCAGCCGGAGACAGCAAGAAGACTACACTTGCCGCGATCTCTGACTCGGTACCATAGCGACCGCTTGGGCTCTACAAAGTCAAATAGAAATAAATATTAAGAAAAAAGCTAAAAAAATAAAATAAAAAATAAAATATAAAAAAAAACTTACCATCCAGTCATAGGAAGCAATCATATCAACCACGTTCTCAGGATAATTCTTCATGCCAGAGCTGACAATGGTGCCTGGAGCAACACAGTTGACGCGAATACCATTGTAGGGACCCCACTCAATTGCCAGCGTCTTGGTCATGTTGATAATACCCGATCTAGCAGCGCCCTAAAAAGTGTCGTAAATTCATGTGAATTCAAAAAAAAAAATTCATCAGTTGAAGCTTCTCCCCTCATACCTCCCCCTGGAACATTGCAACACTATGAAAGCAGAGCTTATATCCGTACAGTGTGAGCCATCCTTGGGAATCCGTTGCGACACTCTGCAACAATGTTGACAATCTTTCCACCATGCTCTCCCATGTATCCGTCAAATGCCGCTTTGCACATGTTGAAAGTACCGTTCAAATTCAGATCCACAACCGTTGCAAAGCCCTTGGAGCTCAGCATGCTAGCAGGTGACATGAACTGTCCTCCAGCGTTGTTCTAGAGGTATATGTGCCCCATTTCAGAAGAAAAAGAACCTTGATTTAGAAAACAAGTAAAAGACGGACCAATTCCAGTGATAACTGAAAGTCATGAGTGAAGAACACATACGACTAATGATGTTAATTTCCCATGCTTGGCAACAATAGTTTGGATCAATTCCAATGCTTTGGCTGCATCACGGATATTGATCTGCATCGTGTCGCACTTGCCACCCAGCTTACGAATCTCTTCTGCAGTTGCCGTCAATTGATCCATTTTTCGGGCTGCGATAACCACGGTAGCTCCTAAACTAGAGAATGAAAATTCAAATAAAAAATAAAAAATAATGAATAACATCTTCGAGAGCCACCTGCCAGATCTCTATACTTTATTTTCAAAAAGTCCGAACCTACCTTGCAAGCTCATGGGCAATACATCGACCAATGCCTTGATAGAGAAACACAAATGAATATTAATGGATGTGAATAAGCAAATGGAAATGTTGTCTTAATGAGAAAAAAAAAAAAAAAAAAAAAAAGTTGTTTCCATTACCTGTGCCACCTCCAGTAACGAGGACAACTTCGTCCTTGAAAAGATCTTTCTTGAAGACAGAGCTGTAGCCTTAAAAATTTACAGTAAAATGATAATAGTCGACAAAATGAACTATCAGTATAGGAATGGACGGAGGTTGTAGCACAAGAAAAGGGTCTCTGAGCTCTTTTTCTTTTTTTCTTTTTTTCTTTTTTTTTTTTTGAAGTAGTTTTGTGAGGGTTCCTGATGCTTTATACCTGACATGATTTTTCTTGTTGTTCTCAAGAGATGAAATTTAGTGGTAAAGAGAAAGGAATGGAAAGAATAAAAAAAAAAAAAAAAAAAAAAAAAAGAAAAACTGAATGATGGGATGGAGAAAGAAAAAGAGGAACAAGAGGAAGTCATCTCTTACACTTATTGTATGTATACATTTAATTATACCTCTGCATAGATCAAAAGCTCGGTTCTGCACAAAGTGACACTTTTAAGGATATTCTACTTCCCCACACACAATACGCGCTGTCTTCCTCCCCAGCATTACAATGCTTTTCTTCTATGCTAACCGAGCCAGAGCCTCTAATAATTTGTATCACAAGTCAATTCCAATCAATCTACTGTGCCTATTTGCATAAAACGCGTGCGGTCGTTTTTTTTTTTTTTTTTTTTATTTTTTTTTTTTTTTATTTTTTATTTTTTTTATTGCAGTCATTGAAAGTTTTTGTTTTCGTATGAAAAACATAAAATGATCTCCTCCTGGGATATTTAAGCACCCCACGACTCAGTGGCAACGGGCTCAGCTGCCCAATCAGCAGAGCTAGCCTCAGCGCCCCAGTCGGCATCAGCAGGAGCAGCGGCGGCCTCAGCACCCCATTCAACAGGGTTGGCCTCACCAGGAGCCCAGGAGCCAGCGACATCATCGCCAGCACCCTTCTCGGCAGCAGCAGCAGCGGCCTCCTCCTCAGCCTTCTCTTCGGGATCACGGTAGAAGAACATGTCAACCATGACATCCCAAGGAGCAGAGCGAGAGATGGTACCACGGAGACGGAGGACCTCACGAGCCAACAACCAGTAAGCGAGACCAATGGCGTGCTTGGAGCGGTTGTTGGTAGGGATAGCAACATCGACGTACTTAAGGGGAGACTCGGTATCAGCAAAGGCAATGACAGGGATGTTGACATACGAGGCCTCCTTAATAGCCTGGTGATCGGTCAAAGGATCGGTGACAATGATCAAGCGAGGCTCCTTGAAGGCACGGGTGATATAATTGGTGAAGGTACCAGGGGTGAAGCGACCAGCAATGGCTTGAGCACCGGTGTGCGAGGCGAACTTCAAAGCGGCACGCTGACCGAAAGCGCGAGCAGAGATGACGCAAATATCAGCAGGGTTCTCGATTGCGACGATGATACGGGCAGCGAGAATAATCTTCTCCCAGGTCTTGCCAATGTTAATGATGTGGACACCTATTTTTTTTTTTTTTTTGTAAGATCATTGAAAAAATTGTTATTATAAAGAAGCATCAAAGAGAACTAATACACTAAAGTCTCTCCTGCGGTAGGCAGAAAGGTAATGTTGTCTTTTGCTGATAATGATTCTCAGCTCGCTCCGCTCGCTCAACGCCTTCTTCAAAAAAGGATCGGCCGAATTATCATTTGTGCTATGCACACTCTAGTGATTCTGTAAATATATAGCCATGACCACAATTGTATCCAATTCCATGTATATATTTTTGTTGTAACATTCTGGCTTAGTAGAAGGGCTTTCTGCTGGCGCCGGTATCGAGTATTGGTTTAAAAAAAAAAAAAAAAAAAAAAAAAGTTGACTCATTCAGATCCAAAACTTGATCCAAAACCTGATCTTAATCCTGATCCTGGTCCAAATCCTACTGCATGATCCTGATTCTAATCTTGATCATGTCCTTCTGTTTGAAGAAAAAAAAAAAAAAATAAAAAACTTACCATCAGCACGGCGCTTCCAGACGTAGGGCTCCATGTGAACATCGCAGTTCTTGGTTCCCAAATGGGACTGAGCAGAGAGGAGGAGCTTAATATCCTCCTCAGTGGCTTTAAGAATAGCAGGCAATCCAGACATGGCTATCGATATTATGGTGATAGCTAATGAAATCAGTGATGAGATGGATGGCATGTCAGTGATGAATTCTTACAATGGAAGTAAGCTTCTTCTTCCCTAACCCCCTCACTCCTCCTGTTTGTTTTTCCAGTAATTATCATTTTAGTTGTCCAAAGCCCTGTAAAATATCTTCTTCCTTTGCAAAGTATCAATCACACTGATGGTGGAGAAAAAAGGCTATCAAATCCTTTAGTTGGGATCTGTCGTATCCATCCATTGTAATATCAGAGCAGTAGCAAATATGTCTTTACTATTTGTATTCCTCATTAAAAATATCCCATGCCAGAATAATATCCCACATCAAATCAAGTATTCATCCCAATGGTACCCTTATTCATCTATGCCTCTCATAACAGCAATTTAGTATTCCATACAAGAGAGATCCGGAAATGTGGCCGAAAGAGAGGGAGCTCTGTTTCACAATGCGACCTTCTTTTTCTACCAGATTTCAGTCACGTGCATAATGCTAAAGCAAAGCCACGATAAACAAGTTTTCAGTTCAGTCAATATTTTATTAAAAATGATATGCTGTCTAAGTGATTGAGTTTGTGGTTTGTAATATAATGCTCGATTTACTGCGAAAAAATATAAAAAAAAAGAAGGGAAAATAATGCCGCCCACCTAAACCAAGTAAAAGTATCATATTTAAATCGACTCCTTCCTTCAAATTCCCGCCCATACCCCTTGTCGTCGCAACTGTCAACACTTCCGAACCCATGCTTCCCTTGCTATGAACCATTGTATGCTGTGATGTTGCTCAAGCCGGACCTTTAGAGACGAAATCCAGTTATTTGGTATGTTTGAGCATATACATCATGTCCTTATTTTTCTCTACTTTTTGGGAACGCTCCATCCTTGCGATGATGCTTTGGAATGGTTGGCGCTACCATTTACAAAAGGTTTGGAGGAACTAGGGCCCATTGGTGTTGGTGCAATAGAGCCAGGAGTTGGTACAGACGTCTTTTGATCAGAACGAATATAAAATAAGACATATGCTACACCATCGCTAGATCTACTGGCTGGTACTGATGATGCTGACAGAGCTGCTGCAAGGGCTGCTGATTCTGATACACCGCCGTTGGTCATTGTTCCATTGAGGGTCGGCTTAGCACTATGAGACTCTCCAGCCTCTTCACCGATAACTGTAACGTCTGATTCATTTACAACACTGATGTTGGTATCGTCAATATGAAGCCACTCGTCGTTTTGCCTTAGTACATCACACGTATAATGGCCGCCTGCAGCACTCCGACCATGATGATAAACAACGCCAAAGAGCTTATAGGGAATAGGGGTTGAAGGACGACGCGAAGGAGATATGATATCTAACAGGAATGACCGAAAAAAGAGTTTTAAGATATAAGATTGTGTTTATAAACCGTTATATGCATATACACAGTATTATAGATTCAAAACAATCACCAATTTACCTGGCTGAAGGTTTAGCACTGCCTTGTATCCAACTTGCTTATGTAGCTTTTGTGTACCGCCATCCTTATAGACAAACCGTTTCAAATGAAGGACGAGGACTGGGGGTGCATGCTCAATGAAAATCTTCTTAGTCGCCTCAACGGTAATACCTCCCTTTTCTGAGCTGGTGAAACCGTCAAGAACTTCTGGCGCGGTCGAGTTAAATATGGCATCTTCAATAGTAAGAACATTGTCGGGGGTTAAATCCAGCTGTAGAGCCTGGAATGGTTCAAGTGTGACAGAATCCTTTTGAGACGGGATTCGAAGAATAGAGCGTAACTGGCCCGAGAAAATAGTAGAAATGGGGGTTTCTGAAAACTGGGTTGAACGTGTATAGGATGCCTTGTTTCTAGGTCCGGTGACTTCCATCCACTCATCTTCGCTCACACCGCCTTCACTGTCTTCATGCTCTACAGTTCCATTGGTATCCAATCCTTGCGGCTTCTCTTTCATAGCGGCAAAGAACTCCTCGTGAAGACCATCCAGCAAGAAGCCCAGGAACTCTTGGCAATCTTCCTGTCGACCACGCATGGAATCAAAGCGCTTGAGTCCGCGAAGGGCATCATACACGTATTCTGGTACAAAGGGTGGACCATAATCCGGCTGATTCTTTTTTGAGATATGAAATTCATTCAAAAAGATTATCCTGAGTATGATAAAAGGCCGATTAATAATGTGACTTCTCAATAAACATCAATAGACAACGATCTCACCAGTCAAAACTTACAGGGAATCCACCAAAGGCGTGGTGCTCTTGAAATTGTGCACAGCATGTTTTCTGATTTGTGTGAGAAGGTTGTAGAATGGAGGACAGTGCAGAAGCGGCTGCAAGATCTGTTATTTGAAAAGTAAGAGTCGCAATAATGAAGTCAGGCCCCTGGTCCCTCAATTGTAGTTATAAAATAATAATGATATGGTTCAGATACTGAGAATTTGCACTTACTGCATTCATAAAGCACATATTGCCATTGTTAACCAATCCTCGAGGCTGAATCAAAGGTGAGGTGTACGTGGGTTTGTGTCTGTGCAAGACATCTGCAATACCTTCAAACTTGACACCATTCACATTAGCTACTTTGTGGCTTTGATCTCCTTGCTTCTCTCCTACAGTGCCATTTGGGACTGAGGGCGTTGAGGCTGGCGCTGGATTCTTTGATCGAAGCAATTCAGCCCAACTCTTAGGTTTAACAGGAGCCGCTGGCACAGACGGGCCACTCTCTCCAGCAGTAGTGCCTTGTGGCGGGGGCGTTGAACCGTTGACTGTTGTTGATACACTGTTTTGTCCTGTTCCTACTTCTATTACCGACTCTGAGGAATCGTTGGCACCATGTTGTATTTGCTTCTGTGAATGTTGGCTGGTTGCGAGGGATTGGGTAAGAGGAGAAGCGACTTTTTTCTTTGGTGGAAAGCCATCTAGAATCATATGTTGAACAGACGATTCAATTAACAATCGAGACTTGACACTCGTTCCATCTATCCAAGATCACACGATTACACATCAAGACACAAACCTTTGGGCCTGCGACCGATAGACCAGATAACCTAGAATACAAATAAGAGCAGAAAATAATCAGTAAAACATTTGATCTACATACTGACAAAAGAATATGTCATAAAGTCCCTAATTCATTCTTTTGCTTCAACAATTCTTGGTTAAAATGGATGCATGTGATCTAGTTGATTTGTCATGAGACGCTCACATACCCGATCGACATCATCCTTGCAGACGACTTTGCTGATTTCCTCTCTGGTAAGTTCTCCGAAAGCCGGCCCTTGATGTGGGTCGTAAGACTAAGGAGAATAGAAATAGGGAACAGATTTATTTAGGAATAAATTCGCAGCTATCTTTGAAAATTCCTATTATGCAGTTCCATACCTTGGCCAAGCTTTTCATGAGATAATATAATAATAAAAGAAGAAAGAAAGAGAGAAGGAAAGGAAAGGCGATGCGTATGAAAATACGATTGACTTTTAGGGTGTTAAAAGCGGTGGTTGTTTTTTAAAGCTGTAATTTTAGCAAAGATGAATAAATACAGCCAAAAGGGACAATTGTATCCGTTGGCACACGATCACAAAGTAGAGTGGAGAATAAAAAGCGCCAATAAAAGCAGATTAGGCAAAAAAAGAGCCAATAAAGATGCAAAGGCGAAGGCTGTACAGAAGAAATGCAGAGTTCGTGGCGAGTTATGATCTGAAGATGGCTATTATACAAATGACAGCGGAAATGCTTGGATAAAAAAAAAGGAAAAAACCAATGGATCAAGATCGATCAATTCGAGGGACAGAAAACGAAGAGTGTACTGTACAAAATAAAAACAAAATAAAACAAAGGGAGAATGGGTGAGTAAGCTAGAGAGAGAGTGAGTAAGTTAGAGTGGGTGTGAGTGATGAGGAGAGAAGGGGAGTGTAAGTAAAAGCAGAGATCGCAACAATGGAAGGGAAGAAAGAAAAGAGTGTTGGAGCAAAGGAATGTTGGAGCAAAGGAATGTTGGAGAAAGTTTTTTTTTTTTTTTTTTCGTTGCTGTGTACCGTACACAAGCAGTGTGACATGAGTGGTGGGATTGTTCAGTGTTTGTTGTGGGCTCCTTTACTTGTTAAGCGAGTCATCGATTAGACTGTCCGTTTTCTATTACCGCAGCAGGTCCAACTGGACGATGTAAACGTTATGGCCATATCAGAATCTCTCCTAAACTGTTATCCATCCAATTTACTAGCAATCGGTATCAGTAAGATCCTAATAAAGCTTGATCATGAAGCCAAGGCAATAGGAACAGAGACTACCAAAAATAAAAAATAAAATAAAAAAAAACTACATATTATACTGATTGCATAAACGTTTACTTGCAGCATTATGCTGTCGTAATACAAGTAACCATGCTGCAGTATAAGAGGAAGGAGTAACCGTATATATGAACTCTTTATCGACAACTTAGCCTTGACAGGATCAATACCTCATTGCCAATGATGAATTGCTCTTTATGGAAAATGCATTATATCTCTCCATAGCTACAAGCTTATATATTGATCCTCTGAATAGCGTACACATCGTTACAACTTTGTATAGAAATTCTGATATAAATGAATATTCAAATGTTTGGATCTCAAGGGTACCATTTTTCTATTCATTTGCAGTTGGTATATCTTTCAGAATTTCAAGATAATCTGTTATAACGTGAAACCAGCAAGGTAATGCGATATAATATTCTTATAAACTCTTCAACTTCTTGTTGAAAGAAATAGAAATGCCAGACAAGCGCTAAGGCAAAAGAGAAAACAGTGTTTGATAGTTCATCTCCGTTACTAGAACCTTTAATACACAAAAAAAAAAAAAAAAAAAAAAAATACTACAACAGGGAATAGGATGTTGTAAATCTATCAGCAATCACTTTGGTGGACAAGGTCCAATCGGGCTTGTCATCCTCTTTTCTTGCGCGTAGACTTTTTTTTCTCCTTCAAAAGAGGAATGGAAAAAGTAGAAAAAGGAAGTCTTTAACATGGACATCCAATAAACCTGGTAAAATTTGCCCCGCATGCTGTTTGCAGACCAAATTGAAGTTTTTTTTTTTTTTTTAGCTTTGTCAGGCAGTAAACACTTTATTATAGATCAGCCTCTCCCATGTCATTTGCTGTCATATGATACAAATGGTACACCAGCGCTATTAAATTGGGTAACCAATATGTTAGTTCTTTTACATGGGTGGAGCATTCATGCTGTAGGTCATAAAACGAATTAACAGAATGGTGCCCAGTTGTTTTATTTGCAAGCAATTATACAATTCAAGGATAATAGGACATATGATGCATAAAATGGATCGGTTTTTTGTACTGTCGCTGGATATTCCAACATCCAGTCTTTTTTTCAGAACTAGGAAGAAAGAGAGGAAATGGGAGGGTGAAGGGAATATTCCAAAGATCACTTCCTTTTTTAGTCTAAAAGCTGGGTCTTCTTCAGTGGTTATTTATCGATCATATAATAGAAATGTCAGTGAAGCGCAATATCTTGATTTCTTTTGTAAAAGATCCATGGATGGAGATCTGGTTACTTTAAAAGGTTGTTAGACTCAATAAACTATTCATGATATTGGTCTGTGTTCCAGTCAATTAGACCAAAACAAAAAATAAAAAAAAATAAAAAACAACTTAGTTGAACTTTCAAGCTTTCACTATACACAAGAAGGTCACGTACTGCTACTAGGCTTAGAACCTTCAAGGGCGGTTTCATTTGGGAACTTGGATTTTGACCTGCGCCGCTAACTCGGGTCTATCAGCCTCAAGTTGCTGTAATGTCTTTTGTGCTGCTTCTTTGACATCGTTCTCGTTGCGTTCAACCGTGTTATCCCATAGGCGACACACTAATGCGCATGTCACAAGCAAGACATCATATTATTATATCAGTCATATATGCCAACCAAATGATTTGAAAATTAAATAGTACATCTTATTGAATAAGGCACTTACGCGACTTGTTGTGAGCCGGCTGTCCAGCTGGCGTTTGGTCAAAGTGACTATAGTCCTTAATTTGCATCTTGCAGACATAGCACATTTTCGTGTGGCATTGAGGGCATGTCATCTTATTACACCCTATACAAGTATAACAAGGGCCGATCGAGAGAAAACGTCAGCTACAAAAACACCCGTGGACACATAACTAGTGGGGTATATCATATTTCAACTTGCCTTCAGTCTTAAAGAATCTAGATTTGCACTTTGGACATTCTCGAATGAGGGCCTGCGACATTTGCTCCTCAACTTTGTGTTGCGCGGACAAAACGTTGTTTTTCTCTCGCTCCTTTCGATACTCTATCATCCAATATAGATTGATTATTATTAAATCAAAAAAAAAAAAAAAAAAAAAAAAAAAAAGACGCAATAAGCTTATATTCACTTTTTTACGTTTCTTTACCTTCACACGATAGTGGAACGTGTGTTCGGGCTTTGCAAAGGCGACAAGATACTTTGCGACACTTTGGTGCTTGGCATCGAAACTCCTTATCATCATCATTTTCCACTACTGCTGCATATGTACAAAATGGGCACTCGACAAGAGAATCCAGTCCAGCCTACCACGCACACATAAAGAAAATAATAGTAATGTTATACTCCAAGGACTTGCACAGGTATAAAGTCATGAGATTTAAGTCAGGTACCGAGTTTCATTAAAGCATACCATTTTGAGCTCATTCTGCTGCCGCGCTCGTAAAAGGCCTTGAAAGACAGGCTTCGAGAGGAACTTGATAGCTTCAGAGTCGGAGAACACGGCTGTACACCCGGAGGTCATGCATTTTAAAACAGTACGTTGATATCCAAGCTCCACTTCTGCACCACGACGAGAACATTGCAAACAAAAAAGATGTCCTTCTTCACATTGAGCCACTCGATTTGGAGGCACGTCGTCATAACAACATCCACTATTAAGTGAAACGACATGGCCAAAGAAATAAATTGAAATTGCTATGGATTTGATATGTTATTAAAGAGAACATTCATAACGTGGTCTTTGCATACCATTCGATTAGTTCTTTGCGTTCCTGGTAATATTTGTAGTTCTTCTCCTCTTCTTCGCGTTCCTGCATTTCTGCACGCTGCTTGGCTGAAATGTTCAAAAAAAAAAAAAAAAATACCAAGTTTAAAAATCATTTTAGTACTTTGCCTTTAACTAATTCTCAACAACAACTTCCACGTGGGTCTGTGTAATGACCTATTATAGCGTCCACGAAGTCGATTTCTTTACGAAGCTCCGGATCCATATTCCTTGGATTAAACACCTTTTCACGCCTTCGTTTAGTCATAAAAATCACACTGAGATCTTCCCTATTTGCTTTTGCTTTTGCTTTTCTTTTTGAAGTTGCTTTTTCTGCACCTTCATTTGCTTCCATCTCTTTCACAGCACTACTTAAGTACTCAAATGTTGGTACGTAGTGGTGGTTGAATGCCTTCAGGCATGCGTTAATCGAAAGCGCTTGAACCATGGGAAAGTCCTGTAACAGCCGTTCCGTACTTGAATATCAAACATAAATTATATATACGAATATATCAGTATTGAGAGTAACATCTATTGTATCACAGCATATTATTTTGATCAATCTGACATACCACTGCGTCTCATAAAGTGGGCTCATCCTGGGGCCGCAATTCATGAAATCTCGCTTTTGTGATTGCGAGCTTGATCCAGCAATACTCGAATCCCTATCGCCACTAGATGTCCACCTGTCCCCCTCGTCTTCAGAGAACACAGCCTCGCCATTGTCGTCCACATCATCATTAGACCCACGTTTCCTTTTTAATCTCTCCTTAGGATAGCGGCCTTCGAGCTTGAATATTATCTCTATACATGCATCCACTAGTTCATTATCGCTTGGGATCTTAGGTTGCATTTCTCTCAAGAGGTCCTTCAAGTATACCTCAGATATGTCTTCAAACATATCCTTTGCGATTGTTATGAAATTTGAAACAAGAATGGCTTTTTGGGCCTCAATCTCTGTGTCTCTTTTTGCTATCTGTTCCCTTATTCGTATTTGTTCTTGGTGGAACTCATCAAAATTAGATAAGTGGTTGGACATTATCGCTGTTGAAGCCTCTGCCGGGAGTTGTACACTATCATTTTGATTAGGACGCTGTGAGAAGTCGATGAGGAATGGGTGTCCATTTGCGGATGGTGGCTGATTTTCTTTCTTTTTATTGGTAGTAACATCTTTCTCTTCCTCGTCTGAAGAGTCTTGCGTCAAGTCGAGTACGACGCGGCATTTTGAACAATTAGTTCCGGATATTTCGACTATTTCATATGAATCTCGACGCTGCCGCTTCGTGCTTCGCGTCTGTTCATTTGTTTGAATTGAGGATACATATCGTGTTCCAGCATGGATTGGTTCAGAATATACTTTGAGAAAATCATAGTCCACTGCATAGTAGGGAGGCCTGGGTGTATCTTTTCTGAAAGGTTCATTTGTGGCGAGCCCAATATCTCTTCCTGAGTATTTAGGCGCGGGTGTCTCTGACCTGGATTGATCTCTTGTTGTTGCAGTTATAGATGGTGTTGAATTTAATATTGCATCGATTGCAAACTCAAGAATACCGCCTGCGCGGTCTAAGTAGTGCTGTAGGTCCGCTCGACTTTGAGAAGGAAAGAGTTGAACCAAATGCTCCATTGCAAGGGACAGATCGAATGATGTTTACTCTCAAGAAGAATACGCCTTTGCCACTGCCACTTCTTTTCTTTTTGATGAAAGATGAAATGCAGTCACGTTTTCACCTACGCGTGTGAAATTCGACTGGACTTGGAATTTGTGCACAAATGCCAAACCTTGTCCTCCAAAACGATCACTTTGCCGTGTTGTCATCTAGTTCAACTGAAAGCCAGCTTTTTATCTTCTCATACATTTCTCCACTTAATTCATTGTACAGGAAGCATTGCAATAAGCGTGGACTACAAGCCATCATATTATATACCAATTGGAAGTAGAGAGAAAATGGCAATGCCAGAAACACTCGCCAATAGTCAGAACAGCTTAGTCTCAGAGAAAGACTATGCAGGTGCATCCGACGAGGAGGAATACGAAAGCATGGACACACCTATTGCTTTCACAGCCCCTGTGCCCATTAAGCAACATTCAGCTCAAATGCAGGCCCAGGCACAAGTACAGGCACAAGTACAGGCACAAGCACAGGCACAGGCACAAGCACAGGCACAAGCACAGGCACAAGCACAGGTACAAGCACAGGCGAAAGTGCAGAACCAATCCAAGAGCATGTCCTTGATCGCCCCAAAAACTTCCTCCCATCTAATTCAACCTCCCAGTGATGATTTAAATGTTCAACAGCCCTCGGAACATCATGCCACCTCACTGCAGCCTGGATCAATGCTGAAAAGTAGGACCAAACAGGACCAAACCTCTTTATCTATACCTCTGAACACATCTCTGTTTGCTCAGGAAGGAGTTGCCTCTCGCGCCCAACCCCGGTCACTGCGACCATCATATGGGAGGGCATCAGTCCTTGATAAGGGTATGGAAGCATCAGATCAGCATGAACAACCTAACGAGCATTCAATGCAGCCCTCAGACTCTTCAGGAATCCTTTCACACTCTGATCACCAAAAGAGCTCACCTCCTGGCAGCGGAACAAGATTTATGGGGCAGCATTCGTCTAATTCATACCCTGGGCCGGCTTTTCCCGCTGACCGTGGACAAGGCCAAACCCCTATTAATTCAAAAGACGCTGGTCGTGGCTGGGGCTCTTTTAGTTCATGGATCAATACTGCAGTTAGCACCGTCAGCGAGGTCATCGAGAATCCAAACGTGGTCGTATCAAAAGCGCATACAATTGGTTTGTGAAGCCAAAAAACCTTTACGTATTTTGTCTGTACCAACGCTTTACATTGAAGAGCATGTATAGTGCATTTCTCTGACCTTGATTATCAAAAAAAAAAAAAAAAAAAAAAAAAAAAAATCATGAATGTGTGAAATAGGACAGGGGATCCGTAATGTTGCAACAGAGCATATTGATCGGGTTTACGAATCCCTCGACCCCGAATACGAATATGAGCGTGAGCGGCGAAATGGACAACTACAGGCACAGCAAGGGCTGCAAAACCAAGCACTGTTAAACCCGCCTTTGGGCGACTCACGGCAACACCCTCCATTACTATTTCGCCAAACATCATCGCATAAACAACAAACTCCCCAGGAGTCAGACACAAGCGATATTTCTGATCTGCTGGGAGCTTCGCCACTTCAAGATGAAGCACCATCCATGACGCCCGCCCACAACACCTCAAAGCAGATGCAAGCCCAGAATATACCATCTCATTCCTCAGCAGCACTAAGAAGCAAGCTCGCCTACCAAGAAGATGAAGGTGTTTTGAAGGAAGATGCTTGGAATGATGATGCTTGGGGAGACGACTGGGATGACCATGCTCTTAAGGAGGAAGAGAAGGTAGTAGCTGTATCATCGCCATCACCAAACCAATCTTATATGTCTAATCGAGAACATGACTTGCCAAAGGCTTCATTGCTAGTGCAAGAGCCGACCCTCGGCTATTCTGAGGATCACTCAAAAAACGTAAGGGATCTATTCACTTCAGACCCAAAGCCTACTTTGAAAGAGCTTAAACAAGGCTCTAGTACCAACGATGCACTTGCTGTTCCATCCCTCTTTGATGGAGACAATCGAGCAGAACAATCCCCTCCGAGAAGGCCGTCTGCCGATGTAATACTTTCTTTTTATAGCGATCTATAAATATTGATTGCTCCACGTGTGATAGAAAATATTAACTTCTATTTTTTTTTTGCTTAATGCTGATCTCTATTGACAACCGAATTTAGCTGCGGCCTACAGATACACTGTTCTCAACATTTGATTTCGCATCTAATGCTCTTGGAAGTGCTGTTCTTGGAGTGCATCGTAAGGTTACTCAGGCAAGTCAGGCTCAACCATCTAAAAGCACGTTGGCTGTTGATCGCCAGCAAACAAGGTCTACATCCCCAGTCTGGGGAGGCGGTAGTTATCAGCAGCAACCTTCGACAGAGACGTTTAATTCAAAGCAATCGCCAGGAAAATTAGACCGATCGGCTTTGACAAATCCGTCTTTGGAAGTTGTGGGTGGTAATGTTGTCAGCACAGGATTGGGTGCTCTGGAAATTTTGGGCAAGAAAGCCGTTGATGTTATTTCGGATGTGGTAAGGGCTTTGTTCTTTCCCTGTACACTTGTCAATTAGTTCATGTTTTACATTGACCCAATGTACTGAACTGGTGTTGTAGAGGCGTGCCGGCCAAAACTCACATCCCCAAGGAGGGTTTCATAGCTCGTCTGAGCAATCCGATGGTAATGGTCCGTTTAAGGTAAGATACATGTGGGCAAATAGCCGTCATGCTCTTTTACGTATTAGGAGGAAGCTTAGCAACAAAGCACTAAATGATGACTTAACCACCACTATCTATTCTCTATATATCTGAAGATCCCGTCTAAAATGAATATGGTAACACTTTTCCAAGAGGGCGGAGGCCAGGCGCGATTGCAATCTTTGCGAATGGTGGCTTCATCTTCTCTATCTCGCGTCGCAGACCTGACGTCTAGCAGATCGGATTTACTCGAAATGGGACAGCTGAATGACCTTGAACAGCTCTTGGGTCCTGAGAGTCTGGAAACTGTTGTAGGTGAAATATCGGCTGATTTGATGGCCGGACACAAGGACTTCCGAGTCATGGTGACGCTGCTCGATAGCATGGGGACTCAAGGTACTTCTCATCTTCGACAACTTCGAAACTGTACTCGCAAACTAAGCACCCTTGTTCCAGATAGCGTAAATGGGTTTGAACTAGGTAATGCCCAATTGGTTTTCCACATAATTGAGGATTAGAAATGAACAAATGAACAAGATGAAGCAGGTTGCAACCATTATCCTCGTATTATGCTGAGAAAACAATTGTATTTTACCCTCCCGCTCTCTCTCTCCTTTAGAATGGCACAATCATCAGTCAAGAGCAAGTGAGCGCGATTTTTTCGCCAGGGCACCCATCAAAAAGTTCTTCGAGTCCAGACTTATATCTTTATACTCAGATGCGCTTCGAACGCTTTGTCAATTCACAGATCGAACTTGTGAACAAGCATTAAAGCTTGCAGAAAACTTTAGTATCCGTCTTGCTGAAAAATCTGGAGGCTCTACTGATATGACTGTTAGCAGTGGTGTTGGCTATGATAGCCAGGCAAAGCCATCACCATTGGCTCTAGCTCAAACGCTACGACAGTTTCTTGGAAGCTTAATATCAGTAAGTTCACCTGTTGTTACTGTTGAAGCGAATCGTCTTGCTCCTTTTTTTTTTTTTTTTTTTTTTTTTGACCAAAGTCTTTAATTTTTTTATTTTATTTTTTGGGATTAGGAAATAAAATTCATTGCAAAGATCTATATCCTGACGTTGGATGCAGTCTTACGGACAGCACAGGGGTTCACTACTCCATTGGATCGGCTAGATTGGGAGGATCTCTCGATGGGGATTGAAAATATCAAATTCGTGTTGGTAGGCACGGAACTTCAGGAAGCAGTAGGGTATATTTACACAGCAGTATCGTTAATTGTCGATATCCTGAAGAACGAGCTTCTTGTAGATGCAGTTCAAGGCAGACTCGTACCTAAACCACGAATCGCTCGGCTTAATCCATCGTCATCAAAACAACAACGGATTCAAGCTGCTGGATCTATACAAATGGGAGCAAAACTGCCCCCCTCTTCTGCGAGCTCTGTGTCTACCATGTCGCCTACACGCTCTCCATCTCTTGAACATTGTTCAGAACACAGTAGCCCGTCGTTAGCGCCAAAATCTTCATTGCCATCACTTTCATCTTCGAAATCTCCTCCAGGGGCTCAGCCAAGAGTAGCAAAAAGCTTAGTGCACACAATGACTCCTGCTGTAAATCTTGGCTCATCTACAGCAGTAGCGACTGTAGCACCAGTATCTAACGACAACACATCCACATTATCTCCAGCAGGTGGTCGTCGCCCCTCATCAGTATCATCACAGAGCTCCTTAAGATCCGTTCGTGCCCCTCCTCCTCCTCCAACAAAACCAAAGTTGGAGGACGAAGACTTCTTTAGCATCTTGAATGGTCCCTAAGAGAATCAAATCTTTTTGGGATTAAATCCTTTTTTTAGCTTTCTTGCTTCCATTTGCTCTATTGTCGCATAATAAAGATACAAATTATATATACAACATATGAATAAGTCATAACATGTAATTTTATTTATCTATTTATTCAAACACTTTGAACAAACAACTAAGACTTATAAATAGTTCTATTATCAATCCGCCAGGGACCAATGTTACATCATCCATATAAGCCTTAACTATGCGAGTCGCCTTTATCTTTCTATCTTACACCTATTTTACACTTTCTTTTTCAGGTCAACTGAAAGGAATAGGAAAGGAGGTGAAGAAAAAAAAAGTCTGGAGGGATATTCAAATAAAAATCAAAAAGTAAAACTACAGGGATATGACTTTTTTTTTTTTTTTATCATAATCAACGAAAAAGGGTCAAGAACGCGAAACTGATTTACAAGCACTTAGTATCTGCCGTTCATGTTATCGTTGATCTGCTTCTTGGTGGGACCAGGACCAGCCTTGTGCTTGCTGCCGTCACCAGGAGCAGTGACACGCATCTTGTAAGGCTTGAAGTCAACAATGGAGATACCCTCCTTGGGCAACTTGCCACCTTTCACACCAGTCAAGTAAATATCAGCGCAGTTGTGGTAGTACTGAGCAAGGATGTTGGCAGTCCAACTAAACATGTAGAAAAAAGAAAATAAAGAGAAAGATGGATTAAAAACACGGATCTCAATGGTGAATACCACTGACATCAAAGAATAAATCAAAACAGAATACATACGACCAGACGAAGAGACACTGGTTCTTCTTGGTGCAAGAAGGAACGTTTTTGGGGATTCTAACGGGCCACTCGTAGTATGCTGAATGGGACATTTATTTAAAAAGAAAAAAGAAAAAAAATAAAAGTTAAATCAAATTGCCTATTATTTTTAAAGACATCAATGAACATGAACACGGTTTTTTTTTACCATCAGGGCAAGATCTGGTGTATCTACCGATAAGTCGGTATGTCTTTCCACCATCGTACGATAGCGAGAACTCGCACTAAATGAATATGATATTACAATAATGGTGTCAGCACTTTCTATGTGTGTACAGTGTATTTTATTATTATTGTTATTATTATTTAATCGTTTACTTACAGTTCCACCACCATGGCGAGCCTGAGAGAACTGGCGGTTAGGGCTCGTTAACTTGGGCTGGCTCTTTATGTCCTTCGCTTTCATACTAGATGCCAAAAAGCGTACAGGAATGACCTGTCCAGCCTTCATTCTGGTGACAGGGCCTGGAGGGTATCCGCCGCAGGGGAAACGTTGTGTCCAGGTCTTATCTTTGTAACCAATCCAGGTCTAAATAAATATAATAATAATATAAATTGTGATGATGGAAGGTTCGTTAATAAGTAAATTAGAAACTTGGTGCTTTTAACACTGTAATCAAGCCTAGCAAAGCCCCATGGTTGTAGAATAGATTATGTGCATCTCTGGGCGTGATAACGATCATTGATAATGCATGGGAGCAATGTGCTGTGTGAAGATTCATTGAAATATATCCCCAGATTTAAAATCCTTTTTTGAGTAATTTGGTGCCTGAATGACACAGCTTTGTTTCAGGAACCACAACCATCTCCCAGTGGCCCATAGAAGTACGATATTGAAAGCTACTTCACACCCCTTTCATGGTCAAACATTACTTACATGGACACGACCATTGTAGGCCTTGGTGCCATAACCACCACGAGGAGTGGGGTACAGTAGAGCTATGTGGGCGGTAGCCGAAGCAACGAGTGAAACGAGGATCAAAAGGGCAGCTGCGAACTTCATGATGAAAAAGAAGGGAAGAGGACGGAGATGTTTTTTCTTAGGGTGAGTGGGACAAATAAGACGGAGTGTAGTCTTTTCAGGTATGAGGGCTGGTAGTTGATGTCAATCAGGTGTGGGGGGCCAGCAATGGCGGTGAAGGGGTAGGGGGTAGGGGTAGGGGGGTAAGGGGCGGGACGGAGGGGTGAAGGAAGGAGAGTAAGAGTAGGTTGTGATAAAAGGTAAGAAGACAACGGTGAGAACCAGCAAAGAAAAAAAGAGAAAAAAAAGTGGCATCTCTCGGCCTTTTTATCTCGTGGGCTCCTTGACTGACCAAGACAATGGACGGCATCTTTTGCTGGCAAGGAGGGGAAAACATCTACAAACAAAAAGGTCAATTTGACACCAATTCTAAAGTGAGCATTTAATCAGTTACAACAAAAAAAGCAAACGGAAAATTAAATATGTTGGAGAGATACAGTAGACTGGAGCAAAAAACTAATTAATGAATCTGTCGGGTTGTTATAAACCCTATTCTTATTTTATTAGATCCTCCTATTCACGCACATTGCGGAATAAAGAAAAGATGTTATTATATATATATTTGATATATATATAATATATATATACTAGGCATTATACATGAACATGGGTAAAACTTGGTAAGTTGTATAAACGTGCGTGTACAGTAAGTACAGCACTGATTGTATGATATGAGCCATCCAATTACCCCTGTACCTTCCTAACCCTGCATCGTTCATTGTTCTCCTGGAACTCTCTGGGCCGCATTCTCCTCCTCAATTGTCCAATAACCAATGAGCTACCAGCCTCCTCACTGTTAATCTCCCGTCGCGTCCTCTCTATCTGTTCATCCATTGAGTATTAATGTCAGCTCATGGCATTAACAGATTACTCACCACATTTTGACCTGATGTGGTAAAGTGGTTAAAGCAAATTACCACTTTTCTCAGGAGATGCCAATGATTCACCAGTGATATTGATGAACCATTAACACCTTCATCAGTGACATTGATAAACCATTAATTCCTTCACCTGTTTCACTAACCACTCAATGAGCAATATTCTTTCTTTCTTTTTTTTTTTTTTTTTTTTTTTTTTTTGGTGGTCTGCAAATATCTTTTCCGTTAAGCAACTTGCTCGTCGAGAAGATTGATTTCATAAGTAGATAATAGCATCTTTTCTATTTCATGATCACATAAGTAAGCCGTGAGCCTGAATCAAACCTGGGGTATGGTGTATTATGCTTTGTTTGCAGGTAACTAGGCGGCGTCCTGGAAAACTGGTCTCAATGTCTGTGCCCAATGACTCGTTTCAATGAGAGAAGACTTAAAACGAATACCAACCATGAGTAAAGGAACCATTGAGAGAATAAGTATCGCAAGACATACAAAAATGAAGGAGGAAAAACCCGCTAAAGTACATGAACTTGGACGCGCAAGCTGACTGGCAAGCGAGTTTGAGAGCGAAAGTAGAAGCTCAAGAATCATTCCAAAATGTTCATTCCTGCAGCATAAAAACCGTTAATTGTAATTAAGACATACAAAATAATAGTAATAATAAAAAAAATTCAACCCACACAAGCCATTGAGATATAAAGATGTGGTGGCAAAGAAATGAGAAAAAAGGTAAAATATCCATTGCTCTCATTTTTTATCTCTTTCTCTCTTCTTGAGTGACAGAGTTATGCGCTAAGAAGAGCCTTTGTTTAACCCAAGTGAATTGTCATGTCAGAAAGAAGAGAAAGAAATCGAAATTAAAAGTGAGAGCACTTGGCTTGATCCCCAAGGGTTGTTTTTTGCGGATCAAACACAAAAAAAACAAAAGAGTCGGGTACCAAAAGTGGGATTTATATACATGTACTATACAAAGCAAAAAAACAAAGCAGACAGAGACAAACAGAGACAGAGACTAAGATTGGGACTGATAGGAAAATGAACAAAGCGAGAATGACTAGCTTAATCGTCCTTTTTTATTGTTTAGCCGACACCTGTAAATTCATCCAAAAACTGCCGCCATCATTCCTCTTTGTTTCTTTGTTTCTTTGTACACTCTGTCCATGTTGTACAAACGATTGGATAAATTTAAACTTGGTATCGCGTGTAATTGTGGAGCCTGTTTCTAGAGATGACATGCGGGATGCTGCTTCATATGGTTTGTAAGCAATTTTTTTATTTCAGCATTAGGTTTTTGCCTTTGTCCCTCCAGCGGGCCCTACATAGGCTTCCAAAATCTGTGCTTCCACTGAAGATATTATGAGCTTGCACAATTGCTTTCCACTCAGCTCCTATTGTTACTTTTGCATGTAATCAGTGTATACTAGACAATTGTGTTTGCGTGAAATATACTCTACCCAAGGAAAGACACCATTCAGGCTTAATTAAAACATTCTCCTGAAGGTATAATTTTGATGTATAAAGCTATATTAATATTACGTGACTATTCCCCGGGAAGTTGTTCGTTTCAATAAAGTAGTTTCTCCACGTATTCTGCAATAGCAAGCGATGATGTTAATCCTGGGCTCTCGATTCCCGCTAGATTCACAAAACCGCTATGATGGTGAATAATGAAATCGCGAAATTCTTCTCCAGGGGCAGCTAACTTGGGCCTAGATTTTTTATAATTGTCATTAATATTATTATTTTTAATGAGAAAACGAAGGTGTATATCAAGAATGATATTAGGACCTGACACAAGAGCCATAACCGGAATATTTATCTCCTCTTCCTCCCACCCTCCCCCCTCCAAAAAAAAGAAGAAAAAAAATTTTTTTTTTGTCAGCTACACTCTCTCCGTCGCTCTCTTTACCTGATGCCTGCATAGTCTGCATAAAGCGACGAGGCTTTGACGTCTGGCAAAAAAGTCCCGACCACCTTTGCCACTACTTCTAGCGAGGCTGGGGATCCAACCGTGGATGGATCGACAGAGTAGTCATCTAAGCTGTCAACATACAGTACATCGGGCCCAAAACGCATACGCCCTGCTAAATCCAACGTGAGATGTGTTCCCAGACCCACTAGAGTTTTGTCTGGGACAGGATAGATTAAACGCGAAACCATTGTCTTTCCAGAGTATCCATAATAATGTCCTTTACAGTAATGTAATTTGAACGGAGATAGAGGACATGAGCCTGCTTGATTGCTACTGCTGGAGTTTGGGGTTCCTGATGGATTCTTCAGCAAGTTATATACCTTATCCGCATGTAAACCTGCACTGTTGATCACTGTTGCGGCTTTGATAACTACAGGTCCTGCAGGCGAATTCATCTTGACCTTGAACCCTCCTGCCATTTCACCCTGTCCATCCATGCCTGCTTTTCGTGTACTAGTATATATCCGCTCCATACCTGTTACCTCACATTGTAAAACAACATCGCCACCATGCTCCACTATCTGAGCCTCTAGCACATGCATGAGACCATGAACGTCAACAATGCCTGTCCGTGCTGAAACTAGCGCTGCTTTACCTCTTACGTGAGGCTCTTCAATCAACATTTGCTCTTTAGTTATCATCCATGTTGGTGGTCCTGGCATCCGCTTAGTTGGCAACAATAACTTGTGAGCCTTTTTAGACAGGTCCTCCAGGTATTCAATATCGGCCTCGCTCTGACCCACGACCCACTTGGTCGTTTGACGGTGTTCAATATTGAATTTTTCGCAATAATCATACATTAGCTCATTACCCCGAATACATAATTTTGTCTTCAGTGAATCTGGTGGGTAATATAGTCCAGCATGTATGACCTCACTATTCCTAGAACTAAGGATATTTACAGTGTTTTGATTATAAAAATGCCAGTAAAGGATAAAGATCTGAGTAACAATGGAACCACGAGAATGTTTGACGCTTTGACACATTTGGATCCGTACGAGCCTTCTTCAGCTCTTTCAGTTGTACCTCGTCTCCTGACCAACTAATGGATTTTTATCTACTAACAACGTCGATCCGCCTCTAGAAGCTAGCCTCTCTGCAACGGCGAGACCGACCACTCCCGCGCCGATCACAAGATGATCAACTTCATATTCAAAAGGCTCTTGTGCAGGAAGTGAGGCAGAGGATGTTGACGATGAAGAGGAGGCAGTGGAAGAAGTGAACCTCCTGTTGTGGGACGAGATTGGCTTAGAAAACCACCAGTGTTGATCATTAATGAGCAAAGAGACAGTCGTAGAGGTCCTCTGTTGGCATATCCTTCTCCATGGTGCCCTCGCTATCCTCACAGCCACTGTGCGGCTCGTTAAAATTGGCATTGGTCCTGCTTGTTGTGTCCTTTGAAATGCGCGAGTCTTGATCAACTGGAATGAATTGCCTCTTGCATCCTCATCTTGACAAAGGATTGCGGGTGAATTACCCGAATGGCAGTCACCAACATAACATCCAGTATAAAAATCACATCATATCTGACACTTCACAATGAAGCCCATCATGATAAGGCTTCGGCTGCATGGAATAGATAGACTGGGTGGAGTAGGCTGTATTCATATGAATGGGGCTAAATGTGTCTGGCAAAGAAACATAAAAAAAAAGGTGGAGGATAGATATGAAATTCAAACTTTCATATGAAACTAGTATATGAACAGACGTTAACAACAACAAGACTACGTTAGCAGAGTTGCACTCGTTATCTTTACTGGCGCGGAAAGTGTGATAAATCCGGGGATGGCGAAGCTTGAAACTTTCTATAGATCGATCAAGACTGCAGATCACGATGAGGATTCGGAACGATAGTAACTCTCTAAAGGAAGGAAGGGTATTCTACATTGTAATTGTCTTAGAGTCTCATTCTCACAAAAAGACAACCCAACTATGGGTTGGAGGTTCATAGTGACTCAAGCAACTGCATCTACTTTATTATTGTGAGGTGTTCTGGTTATTCATTTGCCTAATTTCTCTTCTCGCCTTGTAAAGTCACAACAATCTTACGGCCAGAGGCATGGTTTCGGTGCTCACACAGCCATATACTAATACATGCAAGAGGAGGATATGGTTCAGAAAAAACTTCAGCGCAATAAAGGAAAACGGATAGGCGAAGTAGAACAAGCAATCCTTCTCTATATCTCTCTTACCCTTGCCACGTTCCCAAACTAAAACGTCCTTGGGTGATAGGAATGTTGAGGGATACTCCAAAGAGAGAACTCTTGATATGTCCAGGCATATCATCAGGGCCCTCATCTGCATGAACATATTCTCTAGATTCTGGCGCAACCTTGTTCAATGCCATTTCCATATCAGCTCGGACATCAGGATCCGCGTTTTCATTCAACGTCAGGGATGCTGATGTGTGCTGCACTATCATTAAAGGGCGCATCAGCGAAAATGAGTTATGTAATAGAATGGCTTTTGCCCTTATTGTTAACAGAAAAAAAAGTAGCCCTTACAAAATACGTTCGCCATGCCAACAGTGAAGTCTTTAAGTTCGGGAATCTGTTTCTCAATCTCATGGGTAACTAAATGACAACCTCGCGATTTTGCAGGAAGGCGAATAGTTTTCTGAGCCCAGGACATGATTTTATTATACTGCTGATGGAAATTGGTTTATGTGGTAAAATGAAGTAGAGACTAATCAAGAGAATGATTCAATTGAATGTACCATGCGGTTAAGTCATAATATTATGACAACATGATCAGTTGGTGGCGTAATGTCTTTTCACGACTTGAAACAATACCTAATTGGCACGGAGGGCAGTGTCAGTGATGCATCATGAAGATAAAAGAATAAATCACTCCGCTTGCTTTCGTACCAGATCTTTAGATCTCTTGTAGTCGCAATAGTGGTCTAATTCTGTGCAGTCAATTCGTTGAGCTTCAATCATGTTAGATTGACTCATCTTCTTGACAAAGTAGTCGTGCGCTTGTGCCACAACATCCAACTCGTCAAGCGAGAAATTGTATCTACAATAAAGAGAGAAACATGAGTCAGGGTGAGGCATACTATCCGCCTCTATGTGAAGCTATCCGAATCAAGGTTTCTTTGACGAAAACCAACCTTTTTTCCATTGTCAAGTATGCAATGCGGCCGATATCATGGCGTGGATGATCTTTTGGAAGCGGATCCAATAGTAGTTTTTCCAGACATCTAATCAACGCGTCCGTGAGCGAGTCATCATAAACAACTTTGTTGTTTTGATTATAAATAAAAAAGATAAATAAAAATATCAGGGTATTAAAAAGCCTTCCAAGTAGATGATAAACCATGAAGGAGTCCTTACCGTCTGCTGCAAAGATAAATGTGCCTCGGCTCCTCCATTGCTCAATCTCCTCTTTACTCCAGTCGAATCTTTCTGGCGTGGATGTGCAGGAGCTACTATCCATTGGATCATCCATCAACCAGTTATAGGTTCGGGGAAGAATGCGGTTATTAAAAAATGTTGAACCATCGCTTTCTGAAGTCTTAACTAGATGGCTGTTATTAATTACGTTCCGCTCACAATTCAATAAAACATCCGTGTCATAATCTATAGCCCAGGATCATTACAACATTAGCATTTAAATATAATTAATTGCTCTGGATTGTAGTACCAAGTGGCCAACATCAATCAGTCAAAGAAGCTACAATAATAAGATATTTGCATTCATATATACCGGTGCAGAATATCCGTTCGACCCCTGTTAGGAGAGAAAGAGCTATGCTGGTGAGACCTGTCCCTGCGCCAAGCTCGAATGCTACACTGCCATTCAGCTGATCCTTGATTGAGGACATCCAGTCTACCAAGAGGAAACTACCCATCCAAACCTGTGAGCCTGGAGATGTAAAGGAAGCGGTTGTCCAAACCATTAAAAAAAACCCCGTTGCAAAATACATCTTTGTATTCATGTGTAAAAAAGGGCAAAAATAGTATATACCAACACTTTTCAACGTTGTTCCCATGGCATGTCGTATTTCTACAGCATATTCCCACGACATTTCGAATTGCTCTTCTGTATTTGCCAAATGCCTTTTATCATGCCTCTCGACAGCTTTTCCGATTTGAAAGAGAGACACCATCCACCTCCCATCCACTCGACCATTTATTGGATCGATATGCACTTCAGATAAGACTATATCATCTTCATCGTCTCCCTGACTACTGTCCCCATCCTTGAGGCTTTCATCCTCTAGGCTTAGATTATTGTTATTATCACTGCCCCCATCTTCGATGTCTAAATTGTTACGGATGATTTTTTGGTTTTGGTCTGAGCACGTTCGTGATGAAGCGGGATCAGAGAATTGATTAGATAATGGTAATGAAGCAGTAGAGGACATCCCCAATGGACTATCAGCTCGAAGTCGCTTGGAAGGTCGCTCGCACTGTTCGTCTTCTAGAACATCCTTGAGTTGGGATGTATGGCGATGTGAGGTCGACATGGAATTACGTCAATGGAGATGAACTTTCCACATTTTGATTGTCGGTGGCTGTGCTAGAAAAACAAAAGGTAGTGCCCCTTACTTACTAAATTCATCCGATCATAGACCAGGAATATGACAAAAAAAGAAACGTCTTTGTCAGATCTGGTGTCACGAATGGAATAAAGCATGGGGTTGCTTGGGAATTATGTGAGAATACTCCCCTCATACATTGCTTCTCTACCCCTTTCTTCTCTTCCTCTTTTGCACAGCTTCCATTTGCTGCTCCTCATTTAAACCGATATTGCTTTGCAGATCTTCCTCTCCTCCTGTTCTCTCTCTCTCTCCTTGCCTCCTCCGTCCATTTCACCTCCACTTCTACTCATCTCAACATGATGTACCTACGCTCGCCTGTTGTAACAAATTCTTATAGGCAACGTAAGATCACGTCAGGCTGTATTGCTTTCTCTCTCTTAACCTGCTTCTTTCTCTTCAATTGGACTGTCTACCACTCCTTCTATTCCACCAATTCGTCATCGATAAATCCTCTTCCCTCCGAAAAGATACCCATATATCAGCAAAGCCCAGATTGGTTTGCACATTGGATACGCTGGAGGAACTTCAACCCCGGCCTTGCAACTCAGAGACCAGAATCACCCCGTTTTGATATTGTTTATACATGGGTCAATGGATCCGATACTAAGCTTCAGCGGATAAAGCAGGAATACCAATCTCGCTCCCCCCTGTTCGCACAGGTGGATTCAAAAGATGCTGAAAAAGTGACCGCCAAGAGGTTCCGTGATTTGGATGAGCTACGGTACTCCGTCCGGTCTGTTGCAGATTATGCAAAGGATATGCATCGCTATGTGTATTTGCTCACGACAGAAGTGGATGCTGATCAAGACCAGGGTCAAGTCCCGAATTGGCTTGATCTTGATCAGGACACTATCCGCCCAATCCATCACAAGACCATCTTTCAAAACACCAGTCATCTGCCTTCTTTCAATAGTATGGCTATTGAAAGTCAGATGCATCGTATCCCAGGATTATCAGATATTGTAAGTTGTACACTCTTTTTTTTTTTTTTTTTTTTTGCACCGGGTAAACGAGAAACAGATGAGCAGGGTTGGCGTAGAGTTGAGGACTGCATATCAGTTGTGCTATCCTCTTTTATTGTTATTACCAGTTTCATATACACTTGAATTTGATGTAATTCTGGTTTTGTTTTACGGCGAAGAAGAGGGATATTTATTGTTGATCACAGTCTTAAGAAAATGGAAGGGCTTCATCCTCTTACTGGTTTGCATGTTGTCTGCTGGTAATTTCCTTGGAGGAGAATAAAATAGACATATGGACATGGAAGACTAATATGAATGCAAGCACACTAAACCAAGCACCATCTTGAATTGTTCATAAACGGTGTCCCCGATAATAGTTCTTTTACTTGAACGACGATGTCTTTCTGGGAACCAACATTTCACCATCTGATGTCTGGACACCTCTATATGGATTTGTCTTCCATATGGCAGGCTCGCTGTTAGTTCCGCCGACTATCCGACCTATCGAAAAAGATCCGCTGAATATAGGCGAGTGGAGCTCATTACAGTACTCCAACTACCTTCTTTCACAGCGCTTTGGTCAACGCTACCGTGCCTATCTCGCTCATATCCCGCACGTTCTCAGCGTCTCTATCCTCAATGAGATTCATGCAGAGTGGCCAGAAGAGCTTGATCGGACGAGCTCACATCGTTTCCGAGGCGAGGGTGAGGCTCGTGACGTTCAGAGTTCGTTCCTCATGGCTCATTATGTTATGGAAAAGCTACGGGAGACTCAATTGGAGTCATATTGGTTCCATCGTCTGGATGAAAATAAAAATGGCGTACTAGACTGGAACGAACGTAAGCGCTTAATCCTCTTGGTCGAGGATTGGAATAGAAATGAACAGCTACCAGACGCACTCAAGGAGCATCATTCACGGCCAACAATGCTTACAGATCACGCTGACATCCTGTCAAAAGCCGGCCTTCCTTTGAGTGGATCAACTATTTATCGACTGGCAGGGCTGGATGGTTACCCCTTCCTCTTAAAAAATGCAAACACATCACAGACCATACCACTAGAGCCTGTTGTCAGTGCGGATGGGAAGCCACTTCAACCACAAATACCTTACAAAGGATATGAACAACCAGGCGTTAGGACATGTAAGCTAGATCTGGCATTTTGCTTTGGAAACGAGTTCTTGTCACCTGTGGTAACATCCATCCCGGTTAGTCAAGCCAGAGAAATATTTCAGCGCTTGGCCTTCAATGAGTTCCACTGCGGAGACTGTTTGCTAGAGATTTTAACGCAGCATCCAGAGGCCGGGATAAGTGAATGGATGCCGTCCGACGAAGAGTCAGAGGCGTTCAAGGAGGTAGTCCGCAAAGTCCAGCGATACAACTATATCCTTAGCACATCTGATTATTCATTTTTCGCATTATACAATGTCGCCAAAGCAAAGGCGAATATAGCAAATCTAATGAAGTACAGGAATAGCAAAGCCTTCTTTTGTATCAATGATGATATCGGGGACAACCCAACCCTCCAAAGCGAAATTCAATACATTTTTAGTGACTTTCTTCATCAGCGTTTCCCAAATCCATCACCATGGGAAAAGTCATAACGGCATGGTGGTAACTACACAAATAGTTGTACTTAATTATTCAACAATATTCTCTAGCCCTAGCCATTCTGCTGTATAGTGGTATAAAAATGTTTTATAAAATATGTAAAAAAAAAAAATGTTGGAGATACATTTATCTAGATGATACCATAGAGTTGGCTAATTAGAGCACTTGGTATAACTTCACAGCGATCCCCAACTCGATTTTAGTCGGCTGATGCATAGGAAGCATAAAAAGGACTAATCTCAGAGTTTGATATGACCCTACATGGATGAGCACACAACACACGTCTCGCGCATCCGATAGACCTACTTGATCCCTACAATCATTAGAACAAGAGCGTGTCGAAACTAAGAGTAGTTTAGACGTGTCTCGATCGACATGAGGAATCTACCCAGGCCGGGTCGTAATGATTTGTGAGAGTGATGTTTGTTTGTTGTGTGTCATTGCATTGATTCAATTGATCAGAAGGGACAAAAGAAGTGTCATAGTCTACTCTTTTTGGAAGGAATTCTAATCGTACGTTCCCATCCAAGTGAAGTATCAATTGGGTTGTGTTTGCACTTAAAGTCTAATTCACATCCCTCGCTCTCATCCTGCCTTTAGCTTCTTATTTCCATTCTCATTCTCATTTTATTCCCACTCTCATTCTCTTTCTTGACCTGCTTGTGAGCCATCCCTATGGAAGAGGGAAAGTAACAATTATAATAGTATTAATAAAAAATGTCGAATATCGAGGAATCCGTAAGTGAGACAACTCCATTATTTGGCAATGAACAGAGTGATCAAAATACGACCACACCTTCATTGCTCCACAAGGAGGACAGGCACAGACTCACATGGTACTGGCCCTGGCAACCGACTTATTGGGCAGCTATTCCTGTCATCTTCCTCGCTGGCTTGTCAGCTGGACCTTCCCTTGCTATGATGCCGCCCCTTATCAAGACTCTTTTTTGTGAACGAGGCATCCCGAAATACTTTCCTATCCAGGATGTCAATAACAACTTCACCATTGCTGGCAACAATTACATCAGCATAAACACACTAGCTTCCTTGGCTCAAACGAGCGAGGATGACAGTCGATGTGATTCTGCAGAATACAGCGCTGCCATTGCCAAGTTTGTTGGCATTAGTGCCTCTTTAGCTGCTATTGCTGGTAGGACTAATGATCTTCATTTTTTAAATCTTTTTATTCCATCTTGAGAAACGAGTGACACAGCGTGTTCATCTAAGATCTGTTATTCCCTTGCTTTTTTTTTTTTTTGTGAATGTTTGTTGTGTCAATCTTCTAGTCACATTGACGGTCCGCTTCTGGTCTTCTTTGAGCGACCGCATCGGACGCAAGCATACAATGATTCTTTGGGCCAGCGGATATGCACTCGCCCAAATCGTGCCCTTATCAGTCTATTATAATAAAAACTTGAGTCTCTACTTAATTTGGCTAGGGGGCATATTGGAGGGTGCTGTAGGCTCGCTCTTCACAGTCCACGTTCTCTCGCATGCTTACGCTGCAGATGTCACCCATCCCGAGGAGCGCACTGTAGTCTTTGGGCGGCTGCTTGCAGGATATTATGCAGGGTTGGGCTTTGGGTAAGGACATAAAACTCGCAATTATTATTACCATAATCATCGTCGTTTACTGCTTAGATACCAAAATGTTTAATTTTTTTTTTCTGGTTCTTTCATTTACCTTTTCAGGGCTGCACTAGGAGGCGCCGTTGTCAAGGGCTTCGGACTAATCGCAGTGTTCTGGTTAATGCCAACCATTGTTCTCCTGGACTTGCTTTATATTTTGCTGATTCCAGAATCCTTAACCATAACCGCATTGGCTAAAAACAATAATGAGAATGAAGATAGCTCTTCATCTTCAGCTGCACAGCTAACGAGCTCGCAGAGCCGGTCGACAGTGGTTGATGTGATTTCCTCAGACGAGCCTTTTGGATCGTCAAGACAGTCTCAGCAACAGCAAGCGAATAAGGGTGATGATAGTAGTAGGAGCAGTACCAATGATTCTGATGCTACTACTCTAGCGGATCCATTTGAGCAATTTGTCAAAGATTTTTTCCCAGAGCAGTTACCGAGGCGATTAGGTGGAAAATACAGTGTAATAATGCTTATGATTACTTGCTTTCTGACTCTCATGGCAGTGCTAGGTGTGTATGAAATGATTTATTACATTCCATGATTTCATGAAATGATAAATACCAACATCTTTAAGTTCATTCTCAGCTAATGTTGACCGTTAACTCGTGCCAAAATGTTTCATGCAGGCTGCGCTTATCAGATCACACCTTATCTGCTCTACCGCTTCCGCTGGTCAAATGCACAACTAAGCGTAGTTGGCACCATTCATGGCCTTAGTAGACTAGTATCTTTAACAATGCTTCTACCCTTGATCATGCGCTTCAGTCCGCATGCCTCCACGAATCCTGCTGCTAGTATCTACTTCAGCTTGAAGATCGTCTTTGTAGGTCTATTGATCGAAGTCCTGACCATGGTTCTTTACGGAGCCTCAACTATTCCTGAGAACTTTTATGTTGGTAAAGTATTTTGCTTGTGGATACCGTTGATTTTTTTTTTTTTTTTTTTTTTTTCAATATTTACTTTTTTTTTTTTTTTTTTTTTTTTTTCCATCTTCTTAGGAGGAGTAACTGGTGCCATTGGATCACTTTTCTTCCCAGCGACACGTGGTATCCTCTCTCAAGCAGTTGCACCCGAATTATTGGGTAAAACGTTTGGTACATTAGCAACGTTCGAGTCTTTATCTGCGGTAGTGGCGCCTTCGCTTTTCGCCTGGTTCTATGGCCTGACTTTGAAGACCCATCCCTCCGCCGTTTTTTACCTTTCTGCATTTGGAGTGTCCTTGGCATCTTTATTGGCTTTCCTGGTGCTTCTAGCCCATAGAAAACAAATGCATCAGTGTGGTCATGCTTAGTGTGTGTCGTCATCGCATGTATATATTAATGTATAGATTCGAAATTATTTACATCCATCTTGGATTCCCAAACATTCTTCGAAATGCATTTTATTTACAAATGATTGATGTATAAATGAAAACGTATGTGAATATGACCGTATCTTGCATAAGTCTCAGTAGCGATTCGCTCATTGTTCCCCGAATGATCTAGTAAATTACACTGTAGTCTCTAGCCTTAGGAAGACATGGCCGTCTTGGAAGGGCGCTGCTCCTCCAAGGCCAATTGACGCTTCTCAGATTGTTGAGCCCTATTATTGACGAGGCTATCCATTTCGAGCAAAAAAAAAAAAAAAAAAAAAAAAAAAAGTCAGCAACAAAAACCATTGCGTGTACAAAAACTAATTAATGTTTGCATGCGAGATTTACTATCGCGCTTACCTCAAGTATGCATTCCATGCGATACCAACGGCACTCACGAAAGGCAAACGAAGCTGAAGAGGCATCATACTAAAAAAATACTTGTGTTAGATTATGATGGCTCTTCTTTCTTATTAGAATTAAGCCCTTGTTATTTGACAATCCTAATGAGCAAAAGATTTTGGCCGTTACCTAAAATTCACAAGTTGGACCAATGGCCAGACCATGTAGTTGGTCTTGAGTGTGTCAACAAATGTCTAAAATAAACGAAGGGAGAAAGTAAACGGCATTAGCTCTTTGAACAAAATAAAAAATAAAAAAGGATTATTATGGAGAAATCCGTATTTCTCGTCTTTTTCCCTTACATTGTCCAACTTATGCTTAATTCCCTGAACACCGCCTCCTTCAAGGACAGTGAGACCACTGAACATGAGAACAAGACCAACAGGCGCAAAGAGAGCCTGGTCAGCTACCATTCTCTTGAAAGCTGGGGCCATAGTGCGAGCCACTCTTGAGCCTTGTGTAGACATGACCTTGCCTGCTTGACCATCAGCAAGAGGGAACTTCTTGTCCAAGAAGCTGTACCAGGTGTGGATAACTGGAGCAACTGAGAAGTTATAGAACATGAAACGACCTGTTCTTGCTAGGTCTTGTGACCCTGCGTCGGAAATGGATGATGACGAGCTAATCTGAGGCAGGTGTTCCTGAACACCTTCTTTGGCACTTGTGAGCATCTTTTCACCACTGTCCTTCAAGGACTTGGCCGAGTCTTTGGCTGAATCTACTGTATCTTTAACTTTGTCCTTTGCGATATATGACATCTCCTCACCGATCTTTGCGAAGCCCTCGCCCATATCCTTGGCTCCTTCCCAACCACGCTCCTTCACCTCCTTCACTGTTTGCTGGCCCATAGTTTTCGCGTGATCTGCACCAGCCTCGAGGGTTTCCTTGACATCCTTGACAGCACCCTTTGCATGAGCTACTCCACGGCCCATCATTGATTGAGATGAGTCTTTGGCAGCTTGAGAAGCATCGTTAGCATGTTCAACACCACGATCCTTCAAAGATTTAGCAGAGTCCTTGGCTGAATCCACAGATCCTTTGACTTTATCCTTGGCTGAATCCATCGAATCCTTAACTTTGTCCTTTGCAATATATGACATCTCCTCACCGATCTTTGCAAAGCCTTCACCCATATCCTTGGCTCCTTCCCAACCACGCTCCTTCACCTCCTTCACTGTTTGCTGACCCATAGTTTTAGCATGGTCTGCACCAGCCTCGAGTGTTTCCTTGGCATCCTTGGCAGCATCCTTTGCATGAGCTGCTCCACGGCCCATCATTGATTGGGATGAGTCTTTGGCAGCTTGAGAAGCGTTGTTGACATGTTCAGCGCCATGATCCTTCAAAGATTTAGCAGAGTCCTTGGCTGAATCCACCAAATCTTTAACTTTGTCCTTTGCAATATATGACATCTCCTCACCGATCTTTGCGAAGCCCTCGCCCATATCCTTGGCTCCTTCCCAACCACGCTCCTTCACCTCCTTCACTGTTTGCTGACCCATAGTTTTAGCATGATCTGCACCAGCCTCGAGGGTTTCCTTGACATCCTTGGCAGCACCCTTTGCATGAGCTACTCCGCGACCCATCATTGATTGAGATGAGTCTTTGGCAGCTTGAGAAGCATCGCTAGCATGTTCAACACCACGATCCTTCAAAGATTTAGCAGAGTCCTTGGCTGAATCCACAGATCCTTTGACTTTATCCTTGGCTGAATCCATCGAATCCTTAACTTTGTCCTTTGCAATATATGACATCTCCTCACCGATCTTTGCAAAGCCTTCACCCATATCCTTGGCTCCTTCCCAACCACGCTCCTTCACCTCCTTCACTGTTTGCTGACCCATAGTTTTAGCATGATCTGCACCAGCCTCGAGGGTTTCCTTAACATTCTTGGAGGCATCTTTGGCCTTATCTTTCAGATTTTGTCCCTCAGCATGTGAACGGCCCATGCTATCTCTGAGGGTTGCTTTGGTGTCTGCAGATAAATCCGCGGTCGATTCAGGATCATATTTTGTGAGATATTTTTGAGTGATAGTGTCTGACACACCAGCGAGCAATGCATTAGTGGTGCAGATGGTTAGAATAGGACGAGCATTGTACTGCCTATTGTAGAAAGCATAAGCAGGTCTAAAGAATGAGCTCATTCTGGATAGAGGGTAAAAGAAAGGGGAGGAAAGAATTATTTGTTTGATGTGTTGGAAAAAATGGAAGGAAAAACTATAAAAGAGAAAGAGCGGATGAAGCAGTTTATAAATTGTCTAAAAAGAGTGTTGTTTTTGCTAATGGTGATGTGACATTTCTGCAACTTTTTTTTTTTTTTTTTGCTGTGCTGCCCTGACAACATAGTCGCATCACTCAACTGGTTAACATCATCATGATTAATTGAAATTCCTTAATCTTTGAAACTATAAAAAGCTGCAGCTAGCCAATCACCTTTTGTTCAGATGAATTGGACAATTGAACAAACCGCAATAAATGTGTTTTTTGCCATTAATTTATTATTTTAGGTGCAGGTTTCTGACAATTGTTATTATCACATCATGATGCAGCAGCGAAAATGTGAGTGCTCCAGGGACACGGACCACTCTAACCAGTTAATTTATTTATACTCATAAACTGGTCATTTTGCTAATCCATTCTGTATATAAATAAAAAGTCGGTAGTCTTTTATCTGTCTTTGCAATCTTGGTTCAGTCTGAAGTCTCTTTTTTCGTAATATGTATCTGTACCATTCATCCCTTGTTTCATTCACTTTTTTGAATCCTTCTCATATCCGCAATACACATACTCATATACGCACTCTCATGCCTCTTCTTTCTTGCTGCTAATGAAAACCTTCTATCACCAGCTAGCTTTCATCTTTGGAGTGGTGTTGCTGGCTACTCTACTTCTCATCCCTTATTTTGCACGTTTCCATGTACTTGATGATCTCCTTAACCACTATTCAAACTCAAAGCCATCTGTTATTAATAACCACACAAGTCCAAGGAGCCAATGGGATCATACACGAAAATATTTGACTTACCTTCCTTTCGAGGGTATCTCTAATCAGTTTTTTTCCTTACAGAATGCCGCCACGATTGCTAAGCGGCTCAATCGCACTTTGGTAGTCCCGCCCATCACCTCAAACCGCCATGATCACCTCGCAACAAATCAACCCTGGAGCAACTATATGGATCTCGAACATATGGCTGTTCATGCTGGCGTGGACTATGTGGAATGGCACACTATTAAATTCATTGACCACGCTTCACACGCCATCATTGAGACTGGCTCCAGACGAAACAAACCCAAGGCATGGAAAGCTCGTGCAGAGCCATTTCCTTGCCAAGTGATCCGCAATTATGGACAGGATTACTTTTTGGGTGAGGAGGATTCGATTGGTGCTGATTTTGCATATCAATTCCTATTGGATCTCAAGCCCATACCCGTCCCTGGCTATTCTCTCCAGGATGACGAGCCCGTGACTTATGTTGGCGACATTGTGGAACGCAACCAAAATTCGACTGACCCTGTCATTTGCCTCACTTTCACCTTCACAGCTCAGTTTGCACCCGGGAAGAATCGATGGGATATCAGTTGGGAAGAAGTTGGGAAGCATATACATTTTTTACCCCAGTTTGCATCTCTTGTTGAGGATCTGGTCGCATTTCGATTTGGACTGTTGAAAAGCCATGTGCCCCATCCTTCTTCACCTACGAATATAGGCACATCGATTCTGAATATAGACGAGAGAGCAGAAACACCCTTTTCAAGCAAACTGCCTTATAAGGATTATATAGCAATCCATCTGCGTCGGGGTGATATTGGTGTTAAATGTGTGAATCAGACCATTAGCGACTGTGTTGTGCCGCTTTCTGAATACAAAGAACATGTCGATTTAATTCTGGATGGTCTGCTAAAAGATGGGGTCTCAAAACAAAAGCTACCGAATGTAGTGCTCGTCTCGGATACGCAGTCAGAGGTAGAGAAGGCAGAAATTGATGGTTATGGATGGTACCGTTTGGATCATACCAATGACCCCAATTTACTGAAAGCATCCGAGGTCTTGGGCCCTTTTAGTCCCGCACTGATTGATTCCGCAGTTCTTACAGGGCGTGGAGCTCGCTGGGTGATTGGGAGTCGTAGGAGCACAATGTCTTGGCTGGCTGCTATGAGGCTTTCATCCTGGTATAATACAACAATTATCTACCCCAAGCAATCTAAACAGCAAACTGCTCAGGCAGCTACAATGGAGAGTATGGTCATTTTGTCGTTTAAGCAAAAGGCTCGGCAGCAGCGATGGCAAACAAATGACAGTGCTTACGGCAGTATCGTCACATGGGATGAGGACGAATGGCTTTACTTTGAGCAGGTTGCACTATAGACATCTAAAATAAATGTATACTAGCATAATTAGTGGCACATTCAACTGTTATAATCATCTCGTAATTATAAATGTTTTATTCTTACTTTCCACCAATCTTTTATCCTTTTTTTCACTGGACTTTTGCTTAGTGTGCAGTTGCAACGCTTCCTTCAACCAGCTCTCTAATGCCATTGAGTTGGATAAGGTTAGCGCCAGTGATGAGGCGAGGGTTCGTGCTTGTACCCTATCCGATGACTTTAATTGGGACAACTTAGAAGCTCATAAGATTGGGGCATTTGATCCTGATAAAACTGGGCTAAACGTACTTGTAGATCTGACTAAAGGGGTTGCCTATCTCACCAAAATCAAGGACTCATGTGTTACTGTATTCCAATGGGCGACTTGCAAGGACGTCTACGCCAACGAACGGATGCGTGGATGTTGCTCTCTTTTCCGATGTTATCCATAGTAAAGGTGAACAAATCATTCCTCCTTGCCGTAGAGCCATCCATGTCTGGGCGATGCTTCCAGAACCTGGTCTCATGAAGCCCATCTACATGGTCGAGATTACTGTTCCTGAGCAGGCCATGGATGGCATCTATGGTGTTTTGAACAAACGTTGTGGCCACGTCATTAGTGAAGACCAGCGTCCACGACACTCCCATGTACATCATCAGAACTTACTTGCCCGTTACAGAATCCTTCGGCGTCACATCCGATCTGCGTCAAGCCATCGGGGACAAGGCCTTCTGTCAGTCTATATTTGATCATTGGAAATTATTGAATGGAAACCTTAACATAGACCCTAAACTTATGGAGCTGATTCTATGCATCCGTTCACGTAAGGGTTTCAAGGCCTAACTGCTCAAGCTAGAGAACCTCGCGGACAACTTTTAAAATGAATAAAAGGGTACTAAGGATGTTACTCTCTTGTCCTTATTTCCATTCGTTTCATCCTTTGTTGATATCTGTCAATAATATCTGTTCAGTCAATCTCTATTCTTTACACTCATCTCTTTTGGTAACCCTTGCTCGGTTTTTTCGGAATGAAATAAAAAAAGAGCGAAACGTTAAGTTGCTTTTACAAAATAATTCTTTTGTCGCCAGACCCTTAGAGGAAGGATGTCATGAATTTTACCAAATATTTATGATTAGCGGTGCCTATTGCCACTCACAACAGCAATAGTACATGCACGTGACGAAATATGACATATTCGGTTTTGTCTGGATGGTCATTTCACATTTGCCCCTATTTTTTTTCTGTCATAGTTGTCACAGACGAACAGACTGACTGTGCGTGCATGTATGTTTTTTGACTTCGGTTTGTTGTTCCTGACGACATGTCTCTCTTTCAATGGTTGTTGCTTCGCAAGGGTCTGTCATCCTGTCGTCGATGATGCGTGGACAGACAGTTGGGCAGCCCAAATATTTTAAATTAGACAGATTCCCTCTCCCTGTGATCCTCTATCAACCCCCTGGGATATTGCATATTGTGTAGAACCAGAGGCTGCTTTACTGCTTTACTGCTTGACTGATCCGCTGTGTCTGTCTTTTCTCTTCGCTTTTTTTTTTTTTTTTTTTTTTCTCCCTCTTCTCTTTTCCCTTCCCTTCTCTCCTTTCGGTATCCAATTGTGACTAATATCTTTCATATCCTTTCCTTTCCTTTACTTTCCTTCCGTATTTCTTCACCTTCATCCTCCTCAGGACAACCATTAAAGTACTCTTTGTTTTATCCACTTTCAGGAACCTGTTTCACAAGTTATTTTCTCCCTCTCCAAAATACATCTAATCCGCTTTTCTATAACACATTACAGAGTATGCTTAAAAAGAAGAGATTTTCTGGCCTCTTTGGCCCCAGTATGACAGATATTCCTTCACCCGGCCCAGAACATCAAATGGCTCAACAACAATCTTCTGTCAGTGCGAATGGTTCAGGTCTTAATGGGTCACCACAAATGCTCTCGAGTCAAGGCCGACAAGGAAGCATACTAACACTTGGTTCCACTGGAGGTATAGGCAACTTTATATCAGCAATAGGAGGAGGAACAGTAGGAGGAGACTCGGGCAATAATGGCAGTAATGGCATTGGCATGTCGCAACAGAACGATGAGGATAGTAGCGGGCTTCATTCACTGACCCGTATGGAAGTTCATCAATCTCTTGAAAGCCTTAAAAAGCTGGTCATCGCAGCGGAGTCGTACAGAGAGTTGACGACCAAGTTGGCTAAAACCACTAAGCAACTTGGTAAATGCTTCAAAGAATATGGCGATTCTAAAGGCATGGATAACACATACGGTAGGTTAAAAAAGATGTCCTATTCGATTTGTTGTTTTATTAAAGACTTTTGTACATGTTATTCCTCATAATCTCATGAGATTCATCATGAGACCCTTCAGACCAACTTTTATTGAATTTTGTGATCATTTCTCTATTTCCTGATGTGTTTGTTGACCCCTATTATTTTGTTTATGTGTAGTGATGTGCCTCAAGTCTTCAGCCAACTTTTACGAATCCTTTTCAGAGATGGAGAGTAAACTGGTAAGCAAGGGATATAAGACCATATAAGAGAAAGAATGATGTTGATAAAAAAGTTGTCATCTTTCCGATTTATAAAAGCCTTCTAATAAAAATTGCGCATGGTTACATCGAAACAGGCCACATGCTTGCAAAAGGATTTTGAATTGTTACAGACCACTTGGGAAAAGCACTCCAAACGAGTAACGGTAAATATAATACGCTGCTTGTACTAAGGCACACATTTAGTATCATTTACTTAATTCTTTTTTTTTTTTTTATTAGAAAGATGACAAGATTCATGATGAAGTCCTAGGCGAACTCGACGAGAAGATAAAGAAGATCAGCTTAAATTACGATAAAAAATCGAAGAAACCAGATCCAAGCACAGCACTGATGTCGCACGAGGTAAAGCGACATGGAACTAAATGTGTTTACCTGACAGTTCTTATCATCGACAAGACCCTTACCGACATCCCATATTATTCATTTATGTGTTTTATGCGATCATAGAAATATATATCAACGCTGTCCGAACTACAGGATTCAATTGCTACGGCCAAACGGGACCACAGGAATACAGTTGCAAGACGGGAGCGATACGCCCATTCAATGACAGCACAAATTGCCTGCCGTCTATCTGAAGCCCAGTTTTTAGCAGTAGAGCGGCAATTGCGTGGATCTGGGCCGAGTCTTTTGAAGATCAAGGAATGGGCTCCCTATGCAGGACATGACATGCCTCCACCAACCCTTGTCAGCAATGGTGACCCCACCATTGAGGTCCGTGGCGGCTCCTTTGAAGAATATATTGCTCGACACACCAATAATGATCGACAGCAGCAGCAAAAGCAACAGCCATCATTACCAGGAGTAAGTTGTTTTCCCTCTCCCTCCTTTTTTTTTGTCTATGTTTAAAGAGAGCGGCTCGTCATATCAACAACTCAACTAATTATTCGTTTCATATAAAACAAATATGATCTCAATAGGCATATCAAGCGTCTAAATCAGATCAAGGTCCTACAACACCCGTCTACACGATCACGGAAATGCCTCAAATCACACTACCACCTTTTGCACCCATGCAGCAGCACCTCCAACGACAACAGCAAGAGCAACAACAACAACAGTCAATGCCCATGCCCATGCCCACTCCCAAAGCAACAACATCCAATACGCCCACTAATCTACCAACTTCCATGCCTGAGCATAAACAATATATTCCACAAAAGCAGCCCACTGTCATGCCTACCCCCATGTCCATGCCAACTCCATTTCAGACAGCGCGTATCGACAAACCAGCGGGCTCAGTTCAGCCAGTATCAGGGCCAGCCCCAGGACCCATGGTGAAAGTCGCCAGTTCTGATCACAAGCTGCTCATTAGAGAAAAGCCTGCGATTACTGCAGGGACTCCCGCAACGTCAACGATAGTCGCTCCTACCACATCTGCCACTACGACTAAAGCCATCCCTACTGTTGTTGAAAAACCTACACCCGTTTCTACGGTTCCCACCGCCATTACATCAGACACTATCAATGTGTTGACAAAATCGTCTCCAACGACTCCAGGTGCATTTCCTGACAAACCAACGACCAATACGGCCACAACCAATAACGCTACAAACCTCGTAAAAGAAGTTGAGGCAAGGACTGGAGCGGCTGTTTCAAGATCAGAAGAGACAGATTCAAAAAGCGGGGATAGGATAGAAACAAATATGGCCAATACAGCAGCAGCAGGGGACGGGAGTTTTCCTGAAGATCAGAGATCTGTCAGCACAAAAGTAGGAAGCACGGATGGTGGGTCTACTCGTGGTGAGCGTATCAAGGGCGAATACCTTCAGGAGCTAAAGCTAACTCATCCAACCGCAGATGATGCAGCAGATGCAGTGGCTCTAGACCAATTCCGTCGTGAAAAGCTAATTGAACCATATCGTTATGCTGACGATGATGATGGAGACCCAACTCATTATAGGAATGACCTCAGACGAAATCGAACTCGTGACGATGATATGGATGGGCCAGTAATGTCGTCTGATGAACTGTATATGGACGATCCATACTCACCCATATCTGGCGGTGATCAGCTCTCATTCTATGACGATGGCGACGATGTATTGTCAAGGAATGAGCCTCGTCGATATTATGACGATGACGAGTCTCAGCATTCAGGCACGATTTCACTCCAACCTGGTGGAGGCGAGTATTTTGCCTCAAGAGGACGATACGATGACCATCCCCAGGACTATGATCGCCTCTACCATCAACACTACTCCTCTTCTATCCCTTCGCGGTATAGCCATCACCACTCTCAGCAGCAACAGCATCCTTACCTCACGGAACGAGAACTTGACCAGGCAGAATGGGCTGCTGCCCAGATGGCAGCCTCGGAGACCGCGAGCATGACCGGTTATGCACGGGAACAATATCCAGGCCCTCGCGATTATCCAACAGCTCGTCCGACCTTGGAGGATCGCGAGCGAGAGTTGGATATGATTAATCAGAAAGCCTCCGCTATGGCAGGTGCAGGAGCTGCTAGACCAACCTATGCCCGCCGTCCAGCAACTGCACCTGGAACTGTAGCCAATCTTCGACGACGTTTTTCGGATCAGAGCGTTTCAGACAGCCCCCCAGGCCCTGTGGTAAAGTCTTACATATAATTACTAGTATTTTTGTTGCTATTACCGCTGCTATCTGCTACTACTGAGCATTTACTAACATTTATAGTTGTCATGATATTTTTCCATGGTAACACAGGCCTCTTCTGGACAAGGGAATCGTGCGCGTGGGATGAGCGGCTCTGTTCTTAGTATACAACAGCACCAACAGCAACAACAGGATGCCATACGTCGTGACGCTCGCTTCCCGCCTCGATCATCGACACCTCAGAGTCGTCTTGTGGCCGCATCCGGCTATCGCCACGAGCGAGGGGTAGCTAAGGGCATGTCAAGCGGTCAGCTTATGGGCTCGGGCGTTGGTAATAATGGTCGATACAGTAGCGCTGGAGGAGCAGGACACATATCTGACTATGAAGACGGTGGATCTGGAAGAGTGTCAGTATTAGTGGGCGACCAACGCACCCGCCGGAGATGATGATGAAATAATGAAATGACGAAATGATAAACACCTCTACAATTAATGACAACCCGATAAACTTGTCCTAAATAAAAAAAAAATATATATTTAATTGCATGTATATAGACGGAAGTTTATTGAAAATACAACTTCTGCTAGATCAGTGGTTTTTTCTTGCGGCTACCGATCGATACGACGAGCCGTGATGGTGCTTGGCTAGCACTCTGGCTTGCTTGGCCTTTGGGCCGCGTTGGGGTCGCTGCTGGCTTACTACTTGAAGTTGCTCCTCCGCTGCTGCCAGAACTGGTTGTAGAAGCTGTCGCAGTCTTTGTAACCGCACTAGCTCTCGCCTTTGATGCAGGCTTTTCTTTTGCAGGGCTAATTGAAATACATATAGAGGTGATCGGACTGTCAATGGCAATAGTATAGGCTTTTAAAAAGAGACAAAAGCTATGCTCAATCGGTACTTTGTTCACAAAATATATGGTACCTCTTTGCGCGGGCTTTGCCCTTAGCCTTTGCTCCACGTTTCGGCAATAGGAATTCGTCCTCGTCTTCTTCATCCTCTTCATGATCAACGTCAATAGCTTTCTGAGGTGGTCCTTTGTCTTCATCATCAGTATCTAAAATCACATGAGCCTCATTTGCATGGGGAGCACTATTGAAGGCATGTGATTTTCCATAGTCATCATCATCTATGTTTCCTTCGCCTTCATCTTCGTCTTGGGAGTCCAGTGCAAGCACTTTGGCTCCAGATTTTCGGGCTTTCGCTGTAGTAGAAGATACTGCAGTCTTGGTCCCAGCTCCTGGAGTACGTCCTCTAGATGAAGCGGTTTTATTGATCTCTTCGTTGTCCTGTTCCTCGCTGCCAGAGTTCAGATCGACATCCATGCTCGTATTCGAATTAAGGGTAGAAGCTCTAGCTGCTGCCTTCCCTCTACCACGGCCCCGGCTAAGTTGTGTGGCGGTGGACTTTGTTGTCCCACGCCCCTTTGATGGCTTTGTAGGGTTCTTTTCAAGGATGGCATCGTTGTCTAAATTCTCATCATCTCCGTTTTGATCCAGGATTTTACCGCCAGATGTTGATTTCTAAGTGTAAAAGGCAGCAGGACTGGTCGCATGAGCGATAAAAAAAAAAAAGCATCGCTCTGCGCGGATGAAATTCATACATAGTAGATATAAAGTGGGGAACTTACATGGTCAAGAATTCCATTTGGGTGCTCGCGTGCATATGTTTCGGCCTGTATATCCTTTTCCCTGTTAATCTTTGAGCACAATAATATAATTACATGCCAGTAAATTCAGGGAACTGGTGCAATAGCAGTAAACTGAAACAATTGCATTACAAACCACGATGTCTTTCGTATTTACCTCTTTTAAGAGAGCCTCTTCGAGCTCGATATTCTGCTTTGTCCGTATAGCTTTTTGCATTCGGTCAAGCGATGTCAGTACGAAGCTGCCAAAGTATATAAAAGAAGCAAAGGATATCAATATGTGATCAAATGCCACATGCAACCATGCGGATATTGTTGCCAATGAAGGCTTGATCTCATAAAACATGCATCATACTCTTTTACAGCATCCTTCTCGTCCTTTTCAACATAGATGCGAACTGCATCTGCAAGCTGTATCTCTGGCAAGATGCTAAGATTCTGTGCTGAAAGATACTTCTGTACCAAATTTTCTACACGCATGGTGTCTAATTTTTCTGGCGCGGCTACATCATCCATTTCAGGCTTTGTCTTTGTGTCTAATTATTGAAAGGAAAGAACTGTAAGCTGTATGTCCCTCAAGATGACAGTAAACAAAGGGGAGATTGCAAGCCTGAATCCCATACTACTTTTGTTTACGGTCGTTTTGCGGCGGTAAAAATGTACAACATCGCGGGGGTTGGCAACCATGTCAACAAACTCTTGACCAAATCGCTGAGGGTTGAAAATTTCATAGCCTCCACTATACTCGACCTATTTCAGGTAAATAGCAAAATATTTAAATATCCAAATGGATAGCCAGTCCCCTACATCCATTCACAGCTTCTGCTATGAACCATCCCTTATACCATATCCCCTTTACCCTTAGTCTGATTAGCGGTTTCGGGACCTCTGGTTCCTGTGTTTGAACAGTTTCTTGTGCAGGCTCTTCTTCATCGCTGTTATCTTCATTATACATCCGCCGTTTGCGGCTTACATGGCCGTTTTTTTCGGTCCATTCTTCCTTTGCCTTCTGCACAAGCTCTCTGACCTACGTTGAAATAGGGAAGCTCTCCACTGTGAGGGCCAATAGCACGTAAAAGAGGCAAAAAAAAAAAAAAAAAAAAAAAAAAAAAAAACGTGTTACAAGATCAAATGGGGGCTTTACCTTTTCAGAGATGAATCTGTTAACTTTCTGTTGGTTTGTTGGGTCAAGGTCATGATCCGCTAGTACCACGTCGCTCATAATGAATGGACGCACAGACTGCAATCGTATTTTTTGGATATTGAACCTCCCTTTACATATTTTGAGGATGGCAACGTGTTTTTCCTTGGACTCCCCTTCCGACAGACTGGTTGCAACAGAGGAACCCGGCTGACTCACATGGAAGCCTTGTTGAGGATTATAGGTGGGGTCGATAAGACATTCATGTTCATGCCCCCAGATGACTAGGTTGATAAAGTCGTCTAAAAATGCTTCAGGAATGTAGCTTTTGGGGCCATGCATAACTCTGTGCCATTGGGTCAAGAAAAATTGGCTGTTAGAGTATTCGTAAGTTGATTCATCTGTTTATCAATCCCACTAGAAGTCATTGTTTTAGATAACATACCGATTTTGATGTAGAACGAGCAAGTTGTACCAAGGTTCTTCGTCTTCTTCTTCTACAGGCCGCATCATTTTGACATTACGCCGCAAGAAGGTTTGGTGCAGTCTTTCGTCGCGAATGTTGCCAATACCATAAAGAGCTAAACGGCTGGCGCCTTTCTGCAATAAAATAGGCTTTACAATGACATTATCGATCTCCTGCGAACGACCGAAGTAATTGACAAGACCCGTCATTGCTAACTGGTCCAGAGCACATAGGTTACCATCACCAGAAGGATCATCATGATTTCCATGGATTGAAAACACAGGGATCGCCACGTTTAAATTCTCGTCCATATAATTAACATTCTTGATACTAATTTGCAGTGAAGAAAATGAAGATGGCAACTGAGTATAATTTTTACCGCCTCTTTCTTCTTCCTCTAGAAAAAAAGGAAAAAAAGCAGCCTCTTACCCTTCTGGGAAGTTGTCTGTAGGATCACTCAAAAACTCAAGACTAACGGGCTTGTCGCCAAGACAATATTTGCGCAAGAGCTTAGTTGTGATATACATTGTTTTGCGCGACGGCTTGTTCTCATGAAATAGATCTCCTCCAAGCAAGATCATGTCTACCTTTTTTTTTGAATTATATCGAATTAGTAGTCGGATTTGCAACCATCCAGCGTTTTTTTTTTATTTTTTTTTATTTTAAAAGACCCTATTTTTTATTCATACCTCAGATTCTGCAGCCAGCGCAAGGATTTCCTCAAAAGCTGCAAAAGAGTCATCTCCCCGGATAGGATCTTTCTCCAGATAGCCTAGATGATTATCTGTTGCCACCAAGATCGAAAATGTATCCTTTTCCTCTATTTCTGTATCTCCTTCACTCCATTGCGAGTTAGGGTGGTGTTGCTGTCTAACAAATTAGATCATGTTCACATATATATACCAGCTGGTGAGTTGCTATTAGTCATATATACTATTGGAGCAGCAACTTCTATTTTTTCTTTTTTGGTGTAGACTGGCATTAAAAAAAAAAAAAAAAAAAAAAAAAAAGCTAATCGTCGATTACGAGTACGAAGGATTGTTTTCCATGAGTGCAAGCGACTGAGCCAAACGCTTGTATTCCTTGTCAATTGTTATTGTTGCGAATGAGGAAGATGTAAAAATACGAAGATTGTCAGAGAATTGCTTTTTGGTGGCGATTGTTTAAAAGCCCAAACGCGTCTCAACTGGTCACATTAATAACTGCGGGTAGTGCATACATGTTTTTTTATTTTTTATTAGAAAAATTATAAAAGTTTGGACAACTATGTCCCGGGATGGAATTTAAGGCTCATTTTCTTGATTACCTTCCTCTTCCTCAGGCACCTCCTGTTCAGGATCTGCCTGTTCCTCTGTGTTTCCCAAGTCTATATCATCCGATGTAAGTTTAGTAGCCTGAGAGATGGCTTTGGCCTGCTTGTCGTTATCAATATAAGTTTGAAGTGTAGCCTCCAAGGCTTTCTGTCTGTTCTCCATCCTTGCTAAGCTAGCCAACAATGACTGAACCAGTGTATCAGTCAGTTGTCCTTGCGAATGGTCAATTTCCCCAGGCGCTAAAGAGGAAGGACGTCTAGGACGGCCTCCATCCACGGAGGACGACGCCTGCTCCGCATTGGGCAAGGCGATAGTGCCAGAAATGGGTTTTCCAATTAGATCCTTCAAATGCTTGTCTCCGCTCTTCTTTGATTCTCTCTCGTGAATGCGACGCTCCCTGAAATCCTCGAAAGATTCTAGCGGAGAACGCGATGACGTCCAAAGATCATCTGTGCCTGCAGCAATTACACCCTCCTCTGCTCGAAGAATACTATTTGCCCTTGACCCGCCATTTCCTGCTTCACTTTCATTCCCCCCAAGTTCCTGGGTCGCCAACAAAAACAAGTCATCCACGTCCTCTGCATTAGCGTCGTCCTCAGTCAAATGACGATAAACACGTCGTCCGCCCTGAATCTTGTTTTCTTCATTGGTATTACTGAGATAAAGATAACGTCTTCGCTCAGCAAGGGCGATTATCAAGATAGGAATACAGAAGAGAGGACCCATGACACCTCGGTTTAACTTTCTGTAACTGGTCTTGGAGAGGACGTAACTAAGGGGAATGACGAAAAACACCTCGAGCAAATTGAAGGGAGCAGCGTATGGGAACTCATCTGGAGATTTGAGATATGAGAAAACTTTGAATGTAAATAGAGCCAAATACTCTTTCTCAGCAGAATCTGTAATGTTCGTATATGACGAGTTGAAGAGAGCAATCAACAGATTGAGGAGAATAATTGAGGTCAAGAAAAGGTAAAGTCCAAAGAGGAAGTTGCCATATCGTTCATCAATAGCCTCTGCGGTTTCCCAATCAGGATCCTGGAGGAAGCCTTTGACCAGGAGCATAGTCGATTTTCTGAAGTTTTTCTCCTCGTCTCTTTCGAGTGCATAGAAACTCTGAAAGAATCCAATGTAAACCCACGCCAAGAACCAGAAGAACATGATACCATCCTTGAGCATCCTTTGTAACACCATGATCATGGTTCCTAGTTTATAATAAAATAACAAAAACAAAAATGACATAAGATTGGTTGGACCACAAACAACGATATATATGCTATTGAGTACGCCGAACAGACATCGTTATAGTTATGATGACATCAACTCCTACCGAAATATTGAAGGCCATCAAGGAGAGATAGCGTCTTGATCCACAAAAAGATTGCAAGACAAGCCAGCAAGTCGTACGCAATGTCATTATACTTGTCAAAATTGTCGGAGTCAGGCATCAAATAGCATGCTGTGAATCGGAAAGCAAACGAGACTAAGAACATGGAATACGAAATAATATTGATCCAATGCCAGAGACTCCCAAGGAAGAAGGCCGTTCCACCTTCAAAAATCTAGGCACAAAGAAAATGTACATGCCAATTGAAGAGCATGCTCTGGTTAGAAATATAGGACAAATGATAACATTGGATAATTTCTGTATACTTTATAACTTTACAGGAGGCCATCGTGATGTCAAGCATCCTCCTTACCAGTCGAGCTTCCTCAAAGACGAAGCCACAAACGAAGATATACACTCCCCATTCAATGAACGATGGGTACTTTGTGCGGTCATTCACGACAATTGTATACATAATAAGGAAAATAATAAATATGGCAATTTTAATGTTATTCTGGTACCTATTTAGGGCAAGGAAAAAAATGCGATTAGAGCCATGACTCAATAGTTATGACAACAAAACGGAAAATATAAATAAAAATAAATATAAAAAATAAAATAAAAATAAAAATGACGCTTACTTTGGTACGTTCAATCGGCCAATATCGATCCATTCCCACAAAAGATGACGAGATCGTCGTACTCCGCTGTATTCGACAAAGCGCACACGACAATGGTCATCTTCTGTTTGTAAAATGAGACCATTCCACAATGCCTGGACACAGCGTTGAATCTCAACGTCGGCTAAAAAGTCAGTAGCATGTACACGAATAGCAATTTCGATGGCATTCTCGGCCGTATTAGGCTCTTCACCCACTGCAAAGAAAGGTCGAGTAAGAACGTGGCAGTATGTGGCCATCATGTCTTTGTCCACAAAAACCTTGGTAATGGCCACGGCAGCAACTTGAGCGATTTGTGCACGACGCTCCAGCAGTTTCTTACGGCCTACATCGCGCTCCCCTTCTCGCATGTAAGTCTCAACACAACGGAGAAGACAATACACAACTTCCTTTCCAAATCCGGCCATGAACTCAACGACATCATCTGTGACAATATCGTCCTCCACATTGACTGAATCAACCAGCGAATTGAGTAGGCCAAAGAGCCGAGGCAGAAGCGCGTGGATTTTTTTCGGAGACGACGGCGGCGTGGTATGATGACCATTTGGGATCTGATTCTCGATTACATCCCGAACATTGCTAATGACTTCGTGTGCACGAGTGTGAAAAGAATCATTGCCCTCTGGATTTTGTTCAGTTTGGCCCAGCCCCTGTTCGCCTTCTTGATCTTCCAGCAGAGGAGTTTGCTCGTGCGAGTCGTCGTCCGCCATAAATGTACGTTAGAATAAAAAAATAAAAAAGCAAATGTGTAATCTCAGTCTGTCCAGATGACCGTCGCGAAAATGCAAATATGCAAGAGGCAAGGTGGAAAGTTTGTGGAGGAGTACAGGGGTAATAGACAAGAAGAAGAGGAGCCTTTTATCTCTCGTCTGTGCAGTTACGCGGGTGGAGTGGAGCAAAAAACCAAAGATTTGTGGAAATGGTCTGGACCAGATAGCTCTGAATGGACTGGTCCTCGCAAAATCATGTAAGCACTACGATCATATTGGCTCTCACATTCCAAATCAGAAATAAACATCATAAACAACTGTCATCTTTATTTAATCCTACTCTCGCATAGTTGCTTCAGAACTTCTTGTCCTCCTCCTAATTTGCCCACACGACTTTCCCAACCCCGGACCGCATCCTGTTCCAGCGGTCGCTCTCGTCCATCCACGCAGACACGAAGGGAACTCTTGTTGGCAAGAGTTCGGCCACCATGGCCATTACATGTTACACTGCGAATAAATTGGCCTGCTCGCTCCAAAGCGTCGGCAGCAGAAGGTAGAAAATTGAACATGGGGAACACATGTGGCATATCGTCGTACACAAGCAGATGAAGTATCGGAGAAGCATTTGCATTTTTTGCTGCAAATACAATTGCCTCATCGCGCAACAATTCTCCATCTCCTGCGATCTATAAATTGAATGTAATACTGAGGGTTATAAACAAATGTTCTTATGGCTGCCAATGCATGGGCGTAAAAAAAAAAAGCAATGTTACCACCAGCATGGGGCAAGTGCCCTCTAGATTGTCTGCTACAAGAGGACTGACATAAGGGCAAGCTAGTAATGCATTCGTTGCATAGTATTGAATTTCTGGCAATTCTGGGTGGTTCAATAAGTTATCTTCCGTATCAAGGGTAGCAGCCAACGCTGCGATCTTCCCAAGCGATCCCTGCCCTCCTTGAGTAAAGCCCTCCTCAGGAAGGTAGTCCGAATTGTTGTTAGTGAGTAGCGAAGGCATAGAATGCAGAAGATCCAGCCATGGACTCAAACCAACCACACCACCAGGCAAAGGAAGCCCTGCATCTCGCAGAGCAAGCATAGTACCGAATGTCAGGCCTACAGATGAGAAAATAAAAAATCAGTTACTTGCTCAGTACAATAATATGAATTTTAAAGTTATGAAGGATGCATCTAGTGCGATTGCTCCCAATAGACGCACCTCCACCAGCAGAGTCTCCCATAATAACAACATTCTTTGGATCTATGGCAGTAACACCTGAGCCCGCAGGAGGGTATAGAAGATACAAATAGGCTGCGATGGCATCCACCAGAGCGGCTGGAAAGGGTGATTCAGGCGCCAACCTGTAATCAATCGATAAGACTTTGGCTCCACCAAGACGAGCTATTTCAGAGGTAATACACCGGTGCGTCAAGATTGAACAAAGAATGTAACCTCCACCGTGGAGGTATAAGACTGTACGACCGTCCATATGCTTCTCGTCGTCTTTTAATTTCATTTCTGTCCACTCCGCTTGCAGGAGTTCCCCAGCTTTGGGATCATTGCTCCAGTCCCAGCCTAGTTTGGCTGAGTCAATTTGCTGCAGATCCATCAATCGTTGAATATGCTTCGAAGCTTTGTCTCTATATGATTTTGGTATCGTGATTTGTGAAGCGATCGCTCTAGGATCGACAGGTGCTTCTTCTTCTGTCATTCTAAAGTTGGCTTGAGTCTGAATGATAGGTACATGATTCACTTGTTCCATGAATGATCGCATCAGCGCTACGGTGAGTGACAAGCGATAGGACCATGAAGGCTTGCATGGGCCATAAACGTAGTGGTTAAGTGTAGTGGCAGCGATTAGAGGTACTCTGGGTACCATCGCCCGAAGAAAGCCTAACAGCTTTTGAGCCATCTTAAAAGTAATTACGTTGATGCCAAATGGAGTGAAATGGAATGAAAAGAGAGCAACAGTCGGTCAGGTTCAAGTGACTAAGCATGAAGTCTACATGTACACTGGTGTACATATACGTGGACAGGGGTAACCAATGTGCACGGACATAAACAGAAACCGGTTTATGAAAGAATGTTTAGAATGTTTCGTTGCGGGAGAAGATCAGCCGGTCCACATGTTTTTATTGTTATTTATTGAATCTAAATAGACACGGAAAACTTTCTGAGAAAGTTAGACTATCGTAGGCTCGGCCCAACCTAAGACTACCGCAGGCATGGTGAGGATGAATGTGAGCTTGACACAGACATACGTGTGGATGGCATCTCTACATCACCAAACAGATCGTGCTTACACAGTGGGCATTGTGTTGACTTGCTTGTCAGCCAAATATCTATTATTATTTACCCATGGTTATTGCGCATCATCTTTCTCAGTCTCATTAGGCCAACTTCGCTTCATCTCTCCTATTTTTCCTACCTATGCATTCTGCATGATATTCGTGGTTGCAAGAGAGGGTACGGACCCGATCATCTGCCATGTAATCACACAAACAAATGGAACAAGAAACTTCTATTGGCGAGGTCCGTGCATTATAGGATTCAATTGAATGAATATCTAGTGAAAGCGAAACTGTTGTCGCCATGGGTGGATTCAAACAAATATTATTATTACTGCTGCCGCTGTTGCCAACGCTACGATCACAATTGCTGCTGCTGCTCTGATTGCGGTTATAAAACCACAGTTTTTTATATAGTGACCACTGTCCAAATCGCTGTTCTTTGAAGGCATTATGATCTTCTACGCCTATCCTGCCTATTGTAGAGTCGAGCTTTAATTCTTTAGATAATTCAGAAACCGCTATCATGCGGTTTTTGCTGTCAATAATAAAGCGTTGCTCTGACGGCCAGATGCGAACGGGAAAGAACTGGTTGATGGCTTCCTGATCAAGAACATGTGCTTTTTCGCCTTCTACTCTTTGCACTCTGGGATTTCGGTGACCTCGGTTGAAACGCAATAAGAGTATACAAGCACAACCTAAAATGAAAGAGGGTTAGGAATTGAAAGCAGCTTGCAATGCTTATAATCATTACTGAGCATATTGACTTACAAAGCCCCAGCAGCAAGAGGGAGACACCACTAAACGTCATAATCCGTCCAGCGAGATATGCCGCAGCCTAAAAATACACTCTCATCGTTCTATTGTTCTGATCAGTTGTGTAGGATGAGCAAGAAAGAGAGTCATGAATATTCAAAGCTGTTAACACACCTGATTATAGCTGCTGGTATTTGTACCATTCATATTTCCAGCTACAATAAAAATGGGGATAGTTGTGGGGCTCTGCGATAAGCATGGAGATTGAGTCATAGGTGCCATTAGCGTCGATTTTTCTTTTTTCTTGACAGAGAGAAGGGAAATAAAGAAATAAAGTCATGAGCGTTGCGAGAAGACAGAATGTAAGTGGAGATAAACCGATTTTCCTGGGAGTATCCGAACGAGACCTGTACACACCACACACAATACTACTGCCCATGTTTTAAAAAAAAATAAAAAAATAAAAAAATAAAACTTTTCTTTACTATTACATGCAGCTGGCACCGGCAACAGTGAGTCTTCCTGGTGACTCTCAAGACATCTGTTCCAAAATTATTTCACAGTTGATTTTGGGGCCATTTGGTGGCTTGCCTGGTAAAGCTGTAAACCATTTTCGCACGGAGTCATATCAGATTACTGCGGTAGGTGATACAGTACTTGAGAAAAGGCGCTTCACTCACTTGAATCAATAGGTAACGCTCATTCGCTTGAAACCGTAGGTAGCGCTCATTTGCTCGAAACAGAGAGTGATGCTTGATGTGCACTTCAGTATTGTGTCCAAATCTATTGGTCATGCCTTCATTCTCACGTTATTTTTTACTCACTATATTGCAAAAATGATCTAAACTATTAGCTTTGCGGACAGCCTTGCGAACAGAAGCTTCTTCTATGTCTGGACAACGAACGTATAATATCGGCCCCAAACAAATCCCATCTTTCCATATAACATTAGGGTCTTTCGGGAATTCAAGGGTGTCAATAGACTTTCTATGAACGGAAGCTCCTAAAACGAACATCTTACATTTGCACCTTTCAGCAACCCACCCCCCAGGTCCCGGGCCGAACACATGTTATGAAGATAGTTATCCGCTCGTGATCTTCCGAATGGGCCTTTCAAGTGTAGGTTGGACCATTAGGATCTCAAGTTTGAAGGGTATAGACCGGTTTTTAAGAGATGTAGTAAGGAGCCTATTTCTGTTATTAGACGTAAAGTTCGAGAGTGTAGAGCTGATATCTCATCGCTTCAGAAATGCTTCAACGCTTGAGAACTTTTCATTTATCCATTGAGATCACAAAGTTAAATAGCTATAGCAGTATTCAAGGATTTCAGGGTGACTGATATGGTTGTGCAGAACACGTGCAACCGCTTGGCGATTAGAATAAACTCGGCTGAGTGGCGGTTATGGGAAGAAGGGGAAGAGCAATGATGGTAGGTAGGTTAAACTGACGTGACCCTTCACTGTTCCGTTGAGCCAAACTTACAGACAAAGTCCTTTTCAGGAGCAAGTGACTTGAGATTAGTCGAGGACAACTATCGACGTTTTATCGATCCGGCAGAAGCTTGAAAAAAAACAGTAGAGCATGGAGGTGATCATAGTCCTTTTTTTATTCTCTCTTTGAACCAAGTTACACTAGTAACGCCAACCCATTTGTGCAAGACAAAATCTCGCTGTCGACAATCATGGAGAGTGCCACTATGAGCTAGACTGGCTGGCTGGCTAGTTATCTTGTACAGACTGATCCCTTATTTTTTTCCAGCCAATCAGGAAAATTCGACAGAGATTGGGCGGTTTGTTTTTTTTGATAAACTGGGGTCTCAAATAATCATTAGTGTTGATTCCTTGCTTTCCATTGTTTCCATTTTAATTGACATTGGACTCACTCCTGAACACCAACACCACTCCATCCCAAGCGTTTACTTTTAGAATCGCATAGCAATAACACTTTTTTACTTCCTTTCTTGTATTCAATCATTTTAGTTTTTATCATTAGCCTTAAGTTCAGTCCTAGAATTGCATTGTTAATTTTTTTATTTTTTATTTTTTGTTCCTCCTCCTCTTCTCTCTTGCTTTTGGGAATTTGTCATCGACCTCAATCCATTGCTTCATTAAACATTAACAGAGGTCAAAAGGAACCAGTAATTAGTGGGAAACAACATTCAACAACGAGGAAATTCAAGGAACCATAGGCCAGCAGACACTGGCGAGGATAAGACACAACAACTAGTAGCTGGGAAGTTTTGAACAGTGTCAGAGTCTGGCGAGCGTGAGTGTGCCTATCTTCTTCCCATATGGCCACTCATTGCCACTGACATTTCTGCTTTATTCTTAATCCAACAATAACAATCAATTATTCATCACTCAATAAGAAGCAAAAGCAGCTCATCTGAGGCCATTTGTCAACCATGGCTGTCTCGAGAGCCATGCGTCAGATCATTCTGATGGGCATCATCTGCTTTGGTACCATCGGCATGTTTAATGCTATGTCCTCCATTGGAAATGCTGGGAAGCACTCGCCCACTGCTCAAAATCTTGCCATCACCTCATCCTCCATCGCTTATATCGTCGGATTTCTATTGGCTGGAGGCACTCATAATATGATCGGACCTAGGCTATGTGTTGTCTTTGGTGGCCTCAGTTTTGTGCTCTATGCAGGATCTATGTTACTTGCAAAGGACGACGATCGCTCGATATACCCACCATTAGCAGGAATTTTACTTGGGCTCGGTGCTGGTCTAATCTGGGTCACACACGGCGCAATGATGATGTCTTACCCGACTGAGGATAATAAGGGTAAATATATTGCGGTCTTCTGGGCTATCTTCAATCTTGGTGCCGTCATTGGATCTATCTTGCCACTCGTAATGAATAGTGCTCCTGGCATGGACCCCGACGACGTCTCACCAACAACATACATCGTTTACATGGTCGTCATGGGCCTTGCTACACTGCTAGCCTTCTTCTTGGCCCGACCATCGACGATCGTGCGGGATAATGGTGAAGCTGTGAGCGTCGCAAAGTTCTCAGGTCTCCGTGCGGAATGTGTTGCTATCCTTGCAGTCTTTTGCGATTGGCGCATGTTGCTCTTGATCCCAGCATTCTTCTTCTCCAACTTTTCATACACATATCAATTCAATGACTTCAATGGCTTCAACTTCAATATCAGGACACGATCGCTCAACTCGATGTTGTTTTGGATTGCCCAGATCATTGGTGCCGTCGTACTGGGGTATCTACTTGATCGGATACCTGTCAAGCGCTCTAGAAGGGCTGTTCTAGGATTAATCTTGGTAGGGGTGCTATTTATGGCAACCTGGGTTGCAGCCTTGATGGTCCAACTTCGCCACAACTGGGAACGGAAGCAATTGCAGAGCAATGACTTAATAGATTATGAACACGGAAGTACGTATACAGGACTTCTAGCTATCTACGCTATGTTCGGCTTCTGTGACGCAGCATTTGCTGTGTACTGCTATTGGCTCATGGGCGCTCTCTCCAACAAGCACGACGAATTATCTCGATATGCCGGATTCTTCAAGTCAATCCAATCTCTTGGCGGTGCAGTGGCAGCCCCTCTAGATTTGGCTCAAACACCTCTTAAAGAATATCTAATTACCAACTGGATCTTGTGTGCACTCTCCATTGCTGCCATGTTCCTCGTTTGCAGGACAGTCACCGACACAACGATTGACGATTATGACGAGCAAGGAGATCAGAGTCAGGAATATGGCGAAAATGAGGATGAACCATGCTGCAATGCTTCCATAAACGAGGCGGGTGAGGCAGCAGCGCAAATGCAGTCCTCAAGAGACCGCTCCAGCCTCGAAGCGGATGTAACCACAATATGTGCCACAAATGAGGCAGGCAAAATGGGCCCGAGTATGTCTTCGAGACAGAATCCCTCTATATCACGCTACATGAACAGCAGGGTGTCGGGTGTTCAGGAGGATAATATCGAAGAGGAAAACCCCACACAAACAGCGCCGCATGAAAGCATGCTGAACTCAGTCGGTAATGTCTCTTTCAACCATGACATCGCCTCGTATGGCTCGATGAATGCCCCGCTACAAATATACCAAAATCACCTACAGGATTCATACCATCAACCGCTAGATCGCAATCCGTATTTTGTTGGTTCTATGCCTCCAATGGCGGAGATTCAGCATCATTCTTCTATCAGATTAAGACCAACATACTCGACAAATTACGTGCAATCAGAAGCAGAATCTTCAGGGGCATTTCAACAAATCTCACATCAGACATCAACGCTGCAGCCACCAAGCACATATAGTTACTCAAGCCAGTCATCGCCAATTCCAAACAATTTCCAGGCTGTGTCTGCACCAACGCTTATGATTTCAGACGACTCTACGCCCCCAATGCCTCTTTATTCTCCATATCTTCATATGCAGCCGCCCGCCGAGTCTCCAACGCCTGCGGTATCAAATGAAGCAGGAGAAGGAGATGCTAATATCGTACCGACTATTGCCAACCCCTCAGCAGTTGGACATCTTCAGCCTTATGGGCTTTTCGAGCAAGTAGTGGGTCCTGTAAGCAGTGGGAGCTCTACACGATATGATGACGAACAGGACATGGATTCTATTGACAGCCATTCTATCTCCTCCATGTTGTCGGATCACGACTCTATACCAGAAATGACAGAAATGTCAGAGACCACAAGAGAACCACATCTATGAACCAGTGACTTTGGACGGTGCAAAAAAAAAAAAACTATTCCTTAACCCTTGTAACATATATAATAATATCTACAAATAAAATCAATGAGACTCAGACATAATAATCAGGATTCATTCAGAAGTTAATTAACTATACGCTTTTTAGCCCTGACCGCATTCTAAAATTGTCATAAAACTGAATCATCTCTGGCGTGATTCGCCGAGTCATCCCTACTAGTGCTTGTTCAAAATGCCGTTTAGACACACAAGTTATGTCTAGATTCTCTTCCATGGCCTTCATTGCCGCTTCTTGACATAGTGCGACTACTTCGGCACCAGAGCAACCTTCCGTACGCTCAGCTAAATGCTCGATATCGACATCCACATCGCATGCCATCTTTTTAGAGTGGATCTGTAGCCTCAGAATCTCTCTTCTTGAAGCCAAATCTGGTGGCGACACGTACAGGATGCGGTCGATCCTTCCAGGCCGCATCAGAGCTGGATCCATGATATCGGGCCTATTGGTAGCTGCAACAACCGTGACGTTCACGAGAGGCTCGATCCCATCTAGTTCATTGAGTAACTGAGATAACACGCGATCTGCGACAGAAGAACCGCCATCGTCTCCACTGCCACGCTTAATAGTCAACGCGTCAATTTCATCCTAGGATTTAATTCAGGGAGATCAACCATATATTATATATTATTAATGATCAAGTATAAAATTGATGGTTATGGTAACAGCTGCTTCCGCTCCCAATCCAAATTAAGTTACTTACAAAAAACACAATAGATGGAGACGCTGCCCTAGCTTTTCGAAAGACATCGCGCACGGCCTTTTCAGATTCACCAACCCACTTGCTAAATAACTTGTAATTAATAACAATAATGCGATCAAAATAATAGTAAAAGCATTAGAGAGCAATACCTGTGGAGCTCTTTTTTTTTTTTTTTTTTTTTTTTTTCAAATCTCTTTACAACTTCCTAGACTTGCCTCGGGACCTTTTACAGCTATGAAGTTAAGTCCTGCTTGTGTAGCAAGAGCTTTTGCCATCAATGTCTTACTACACCCTGGTGGGCCATAGAGAAGGATGCCCTTTGGAGGCCTGATGCCCATACGAATAAATGCGTCCGGATGCTACAGTAGACCAAATTAGCTTACTTGACTCAAATATAATATCTCTCTGTTGATTTCTATTAAGACATGATGAGTCCAATCTTACCTGTAATGGCCATTCCACAGACTCCTTAAGTTTTTGTTTAATCTCTGCTTGACCACCAATATCTGTCCATAGAACTTTTGGCACTTCGATCATGATCTCGCGCATTGCGCTTGGTTTGACATCTGTCATGGCCGTTCTCATATCTTCCACAGATACCATCAATTCATCATGTTCATGTTTGGGTGTTAAATATCCGCCCACCAATTGGTCTTTGGATAAAGAGAGTGTCTCAAAGCAATTTTGTAAACCCAACACTTGGGGATTTTGCTGCCTTTTAGGATCTAGAACTGAAGCATTGATACCAACAGCTCCAAAATGTGAGGCGTCATAGTCAGACTTCCCGCTACTCAAAACCCTATTGATGGTCTTCAGCCCAGCTTCCCTGCAAACTGCTGCAAGGTCGGCACCAACATAGCCATGCGATATAGATGCCAAATGCTCTATCTGCGCGGCCGTGAGATTGTTAGGTATTTTCTTCAACAGGGCCGTCAGGATTTCATTGCGTGCTGAAGCATTTGGAATGCCAATTTCTATCTCGCGATCGAAACGACCAGGACGACGTAAAGCCTCATCGAGTGCATTTGGTCGATTTGTAGCGCCCAGGACAACAATCCTTGGAGAACTGTTGTTGTTGCTGTCGAGAGTAGATGCTGTGGTAGCCGAGAGATTGTAAGGATGGGTCGATGATGATGGGTTTTCAGTGGTAACAAGAGTCTTTTTTTCCGATACGCCATCCATCAACGTCAAAAGAGTGGCCACGACACGCTTCTCCATTTCACTTGCGGCCTATATCAGGTCCAAGGCTGACGGCTTTAGGAACATGGAGCTTGCAGAAGAAAAAGCAGTTCTGTTCAAAGTTTTTTTTTCCACATACCTCATCACGCTTCGGGCAGAGAGCGTCAATCTCGTCGATAAAGATAATAGAAGGCGAGTTTTCGGCCGCCAATTCAAAAATTGCTCTTAGCTATATATAAAAGGAGGATTAGTAAAACAAGGTGCTATAGTCATATCAATTTTTATGTATTTATGTGAGAGAGATAGTGAATTACTTTAGCTTCAGTTTCTCCATAGAACTTGCTAATAATTTCGGGGCCATTGATGACAGTCAAGAATGCATTGGTTGCAGCAGCAACCGTCCGTGCAATCAATGTCTTTCCAGTTCCGGGGGGTCCAAAGAGCAACACACCTTTAGGTGGCCGAAGACCAAATCGAGTAAAGATCTCTGGGTTATGCAGTGGAATCTCCACCATTTCGCGCACAGTCTTGATCTGAGCGCCTAATCCGCCAATTTGATCATAGGCGTGGTGGTTCTTCTTCTGTTGCTTTTTGTCCAGCTCGACAATGCTGTTGTTATTAGTGGCTCCTGCCTCCTTGAAAATCTGATCGTGTAGCTCAGCTTGAGAAGGAGTAAAAGGAAGCACTTTGACGACAGTGCCGCTGCCTACTGCAAATATTGATAATCCATTGCTGTCATAGTGCTCTTTACCATCTAACGTGATGCCCGTCACTCTAAATCTCTGTGGTTTCCCGTTATATGGAAACTCAACGTAGTTGTTCTTGATGATAAATCTGATCTCAACTACGCATTGCAAAAAAGAGTAAAAATAAAAATAAAAAAACTAGCTTAGCGTCAGCTTTGGCGCCGATTCGGCATTGTACCAATATCGTATTCGAAATATAAAAATAAAAACTACTTACTCATGATCTCCTTTGTGAACATTGTGAACAAGGGATTAGATACGAATGGTATGGGATGAAGGGCTGATAGAGTGATCTGAGATGCCTCATATATAGGGCTACTGATTAATTCGATCTCCACTGGATCACCGATAGCAATATTGGCATTGAGTCTAGAAACACTACTCATTTGGATGTCTTTTTTTTTCGAAGCAACTATTCTACTTTAGTGTGCAGATGCTCCAACGTTCCAATAATGCCAATTATATTCACTATACTCCATTTGCACATACGGTTCTCTGATACGGTGAACGAGGGCCATGCAATGACGACCGAGCCCTAGTAGGGACGTTGTTAAAAACAAGAATCGATATTCGGTTTTCAACATTCTGTCTTGAAAAGAGAACAGCTCTTATAGTCGATTCTTTATCCACCTCACTCGTGTTTCCTCTGCTATCTTTATTATTATCTTCATTATCCCTCTGATCTGTGCTAAAAAATAAAAAATAAAAAAGTCCCTCACCGGCGAATCCTCTGTATTGTTTTCGGTGTTGGACAAAGCTTCTTTTTTACGAATGAGAATATGGTCCCCTGTTGCAAAACGAAGGCTCCGCATTGTCTCGACATTGAGAAATGCTCTCCTGACTGCGCGCACATTCCTTGCAGAAGGCGATTGTTGAGCGAGTAGTTGCATTGTGGTAACGAAGAGGAACTCAGTAACTGGTTCCATAGCCTTTGTTTTTAGAAAGTTGTGTGACTGTGGAGGCCAGGATAATTAAAGATATCCTGTTCCTTTATTTTTTATCTCCCCCTTGTCCGCCTCACATTCATTCATTCAGTCATTCACTTATTCATTCATTCACTTATTCATTCATTCAATCGCATTAACCTTCTTTTATTCGACTTTCTTCTCTATCAGCTCTCTATTTCATACCATCTTCATGACCAAACAGACGCTCATCACAGCGAAGGTCAGTAACCTCACTACACGTCGTCTCACTTTCTTCTCTGCGGACATACCATGCAATTCTGCGACCCACCTCTCACATGTTTATTATTATTATTTTCTCCTTTCTGCTCCACCAAAATAGGTCTTTTTGGAAGATGCAGTGCGCTTAAAAGATCAGCCTGAGCAACTAGGACTAGTTGTAAAGACCTGGCACGACTTTGACTCAGGCGATAGCGATGAAGAGGACGAAGACTCGATTGGACCTGTAAATTTTTTTGATGCAAAGTAATTTTTACTTTAGTTGCAATCTAGAACCATATCTGGACAACCAAAATGGCTAATTAAGCTTCTATTCAACATCGATCTTCTTTTCTTACTTGGATTTAGCTAAATCTCCAGCATGTGGTTGTCCATTGGGCTGATGGATCTGCGCCGCAGATCGTTCACGAAGATGACCTTATTGTAGAGGATCGCTCATTGAGTCATGGAGATGTTGTCAAACGCTCCCCGAATGATATTATTTCCGGCACGGTTATTGACGTCAAAGTTGAGCTGGAACTGGAAAAGGTCTGCCCGCCCATGACCCGATTCACTGGAATCGATGCCAAGCACGTTGATTTTGTTCAGCAATTTGTTGTCAATAATCATGTCATTTATGATGGCTGGTTGGGAGTTATCGAAGAGGTAAAAAAAAGGTGGATTCGAGAGCCCTGTTCCTGCTCCTGATCCGGTCACTCTCTCTGTACCAGAATAGAATTTTACATACATGATCTTGCAGATCCAAAAAAACAAGAGATTGTAACGCTCACAAGCTCACTCTTTTCTTCTTTCATTCATCTATAGGTTAATGATGAGGTAACAGTGCTACTGGATGACACCAGTGTATGCGTGGTTAAGGATTCAGATGATTTAGACCTTCGCGATAAGATTCACGATCAGTCATGCTTCTTTCCGGATTCCCTTGCGCCTGGCCATGTAAGCCATCGCTCTTATACACAGTGAAATAGCTCTAGCGGGTGAAATCAGCTTGTATTTTAATCTTTCACTTGTGTCTGCGTTTTGTTCATTAGAGGGTCTATGGATCATCAAAGGTGTTCAGGAATGCCGAATACTTGGTTGGGTCCTATTCCAATGAAAGGCAGGGATATGTATTACGGACTGAGGTTGTCTCCATCACTGTAAATTGGTTGTCATTTAATCCATTGGCACTAGATCAAACCCCTGGTGTCGCTCCACCACCGCGAGTATTAGATGACTTTGAGAACATCATTGTGTACAAGAGTGCCGAGCAACACTGTACCTATGAGCTGGAAGACCGCGTCAAGGTTGTTGATCAAGATGCATTGAAGGGTAATTTTACTTACAATGCCTTTCTTTTATTATTAATAATAATAATAATAATAATAAAAAAAAAAAAAAAAAAAAAAAAAAAAAGGCAATTATGACAAGCTTATAACGAAAACCGTTACCTGCCATTGCTAGCTTTACGCATTAGTGAATATTGCCCATATCTTACCAGTAAACCAATGCGGCTGCGCTGCCCTAATCCTGCACACAACCATGCTACCAAATTTGCGACGGAAGAAATGGTAAAGCTCGAGCTTTAGGAGTTATTCTTGAATATACATGATTGAAATTGGATACTCACACACTGCTATCCTATTGCTCTTTTTTTTTTTTTTTTTTTTTTTGTTGATACAGAAAGTTGTTGGAACAAAGACACGTGTGACGGTGCAGTGGCAGGATCTTACGGTATCTGAGGATGTGATATCGACTTCCTTAGTGCCGTATCTGAATATGGATGATCAAGATGTTTGGCCATCAGATTACGTTTTGCTCAAGCCCGGCGAGGTGCTTATGGATCAGCCAGGAGGCGTCAATTTTGACAAGAAAAAGTCAGATATGCTCGGTATTGTTCAATCCGTCAATGCCAAGGAACGCACAACTCTTGTAAAATGGTTCAGTGAGGAGCGCGATCAAGGACTGGAACAAGAGGCGGAGGAGTATTCATTGTACGAGATCATGTCACACCCAGACCTTAAATTCAGTATGGGAGACTTAGTTGTCATCAGTCGTGAACGGGAACAATCACAGTCATCCGATATCGCCCCTCGGGCGCCTAGCGTCGACAATGTCGTCCAACTTGTGCGTCGTGGTCACGAAATCTACCTTGAGCTTCTGGATGAACAACGTCGGCGTTTCAAATCAAAGACATCTACTGGAGAAGCGGATCCCAAGAACATCGAACGGAATGGGAAGAACCTTCTTGGTCGCTACGGAGTTGAAGGAGTGGAGGCCTTGGACAGATATTTGTCAGAAACTAACAAGATGGCACATAGAACTGCTTACTGGCTCGTCAATCGAGGAGATCATTTGAAACCTCCCATTCCTGAGGACGTCTTGGCAACCCTCTCAGACCAGGAGAGGGATTTAGAGACCATTCGTACTCGGTTGAACTGGGTAGGACAGATTTGGAAGGTGTACCAGGATCGTCCCTCTGCACTTGTTCGTTTCATGGATGGAACCTCTGAAGAAATTCCTGTCGGAAGAATTATGGTCGTCGAGGACGAAGATGATGAAGACGCCGATGACGATGATGAAGTGTTTGAAGAATACGATTTTGATCGTGGTATTGAGGATACCTCTTCTGTAGATAGCTGGGAAACAGATTCCGAGCTGGATGATGATGCAACGAGTGAAAATGAAGCAAATGAAGAGACCGGTGAATCAGATCAAAAGGAAGATAATCTTGCACATCCTGAATCAGAAGCTGTGCCAGATACAGGTGACAATTTAATTGCGCTAGATAAGTCTGAGGGCTCTGCACCATCAGTTCAGGAGACAGATGAACGAGACCCGTTGCTAGAGCCTGAAGATATTGGTACAAGCGAAGCTGCTGCTACATCATCGGAGCTTTCACGTCCAGAGCACCAAGACTGGAAGAGCTTCATGATTGTAGAACATACCCCGGCTGACCATCATTTCTTGAGCGCTCAGCAGGATATTCCTCATGGCGACAGAGCCTGGATCAAAAGGATAGCGAAGGAACATGCAATCCTATCCTCGTCTCTTCCTGATGGAATTCGTGTCCGAGCATTTGAGGACCGGATGGATTTATTGAGGGTGTTAATCCAGGGACCTGACCACACACCTTATCGGAATGCCTTGTTCCTTTTTGACTTTAAGCTTACAAGCCAATTCCCAAGCCAGGTATGCTTACAATTAATAGTACCCCTTGGTGTCAAATCTCGCTTATGTATTAATATCTAATTATCAACCATTACATAGCCTCCCATTGCATTCTTTCATTCGTGGACTGGTGGCGTAGGAAGGATTAACCCCAACTTGTATGAGGGTAAGTACCATCACGTTATATAATATTTACAAGACATTTTTCCTTTGATAAATATAAGCACTCTAACATTGTCTCCTTGTTCATAGATGGAAATGTCTGTCTAAGTCTTTTGAACACATGGCATGGCAAAGACCAAACGGAAACATGGACTCCAAGCTCAAGTATTCTTCAGGTACAATTATAAACTGGAGCTGGTCGAATTTCATATTAATCTTTGAAACCACGGATTGACAGATTTCCCTCCTTTCTTTTAAAAGTTACTTATATCCTTGCAAGGACTTGTTCTTGTGTCTGAGCCCTACTATAATGAAGCCGGGTAAGCCGCTATTTTGAAAAATATCTATTGCACCCGGTCGTATTTTTCGTGATGGGACTCTAATATCGAATCATCAAATCTGGCTCTTTATGTATATAGGTTTGAGAAGTTTCTCGGGACGGAGGAAGCAGCAAGGAACTCAGAACTGTACAATGAAAAAGTTTATCTCTTATCACTCAAGGTATTCTTACTTGAACTGATGATCTGCTCTGGTATCCCACAACGCATGGATCCACTATAACACCTATATATTTTTATCTTTTCTATTATTGTTTCTATTTTTTCGAAGACTATCCAAACCATCTTGAACAACCCTCCAGCACCTTTCCAAAGAGAGATTCGACGCTTTTATTTTACAAGAGGCAAGCTGGAGGAGACGGTGATTGAAGGCCTAGAGTTAATCGCTCGATCGGAAGCCGCAACAGAAACAGAGGCCGAACGTGATGATGCCAATGACTCCGATAGCCCATCCAAGCCTGGTCCCGTTCTCAAGCATATCAGCAAAGGAGCACTAAAGATGCTCAAAAAGCATATTGACACTCTGAGCTTATCTTTGGAAGAATAAAAAAATATACGTGCACGTGCCTGGAATAGGAACAAGGTGAAAACTTTGGACTAAACCGTGGGATAATTAAGGAAGAACAGAGGTTTTTCAATGAGAATCTGACTACTTTTTAGAGCACAATTGAATTGAGTGGTATAAGCAAATATTTCTTCACTTTTTCACCTGGATGGAGAAATAAAGTTTGTCATTCATGAAGGTCTTTGAGAGCTATGCGACAATAAATGTCTGGACTACACCATCAAAAGAATAGTCAAGCAGGAGAGGGCAGAACTGAATGATATTTGGCTCCATCGTATAATTCTCAATCGCACTATAGCTGTCATCAGTGTCGATTAATGACGCACTGGAAAGGACACTCTTACGTTCCTGGATTTCAGCCTATGTAAACAATGTATGCAAACTAGATTTAGTAGAATATTGGTAACATGTACAGACATTTAACATTTGAAATATTGTTGCCTTCTTTACACAACCATACCTCAATATATGATAATGTGGTCGATCCAAAGCTGCTCCTAAGTACGCAATTAGCTCAGGTCTCCATAAGACCGACAATATCTGAGGTAAGGCCTACAACTTCTCCTTGACTCTGTAGCGGAATCTTTTTTTGTCTCTGTAGCCTATTTCAGAAGTAATTGTCCTTACAAAAAAAAAAAAAAAAAAAAGGCCGTGGCACATAATTCGCTTCATCGGTATGGTTAAGCTGGATTAAATGAAAGCATAAAAGCAGCATCTTTTCAGTTTTTACTTCTTTTGCCCTTAACCACAACCATTCCGATCCCCTTTTCATACTACCCTTCATTGCGATTCAACTGCAACCATGGTCAAAGTTCTTTGCAATATTAATGGAGAAAACCAGATCTTCTCAGCTGTCGTCCCAGAAGACAGCACTGTCAACCATCTTCAAAGGCAATCACTAACGCAAAGAGGAACCAGTAAGTGCGAGATTAAAGAAGCAAGACAAAAGTAATAAGGGTAGTAAAAGTAGGACTCCTTTCAGCATCAGGAATGATGGTTCTGCCAGTGTTGCTATTGGAGATAATTCAGACTTTTAACTTCAAAATCGTTCTGCTCTGATTTTCAGCCTAGTTCACTAAAACTGACACTCGACCTCAAGCCCCACCCTCATTAAAGTGGTAAGAGATCCTCATTGCTAGTTTTTTAATAGTATATGTTTTACATTGATCGATCGATCTGAGAGACAACTTAAAGCAACTTCTAATTTATAAAAAAAAAAAAAGAAAGAGCGAGAGGAAACAAGCACTGGGTTGTTCCGACAGAATAATGGATGCGTGGGAGCGATCGGACCTTTTTGTGGTCAGTACGAGCATAGCATAGCTCCCATTAAAGAAAAGATGCAAAACAAATCTTTTTTTGCACAGCTGCTTCGCCCATTCGTCCAATAATTGATCATGTGTGCTTGCACGTGATTTTAATTTTTTATTTTGATAAAAATAGTCCTGGTTCACATCTTTTCTGCATTGTTCCTTTCTTTCCTTTCCATCTTGAAGCTGGTTCTCATTGCGCGGCATTCGACGTGCGGATTTCGTCTTTTGAAATTTCTTTTATTTTTAATTGTGTTTCCGTTTGTCATTCTGACTAATTGTTGGTTGTTTTGCATACTCAACTGATTCATTGAAAAAGAAATATTAATTTAAAAAGACGACTTTTATTACGATAACAGCGAAAGAGGAAAAAAAGAAATCCATCCTTCTCCACCCACCTTTCTCTCTTTTACTTAATCTTGGGTTTTACAAATACTACACTGAACCGCCCTTCATCGCATCAACTGTGCACATTATTACTCTACTCTATCCTCCTTACTATTCTTTTATTCAATCAGCGTTTTCCTATGGCCGCCATGACAGTCTCACCTCCTACCCAGCAGAGGATTGTTGACCTCAACATTCAACTGATGTGTCCAGGTGAGTAGGAGAGAGAGAGAGAGAGAGAGAGAGAGAGAGAGAGAGAGAGAGAGAGAGAGAGAGAGAGAGAGAGAGAGAGAGAGAGAGAGAGAGAGAGAGAGAGAGAGAGAGAGAGAGAGAGAGAGAGAGAGAGAATTCAAATGTGCGATGCAAATGAAAGCCATGTGTTGCTAAATTTGGAGAAAGTAAATAAAAGAAGAAAGGAGTAGAAAGTGATAGAAAAGAGAAAAAGAATTAATGTGAGCAATAGCAATAATGATGATAAAAGAAAAAGAAAAAAAAAGGATACAATCCAGCTATCAAATCGTCAAATCAAGGAAGAGTTTCATTAGCTGATTTGATCTCTCTTTACCCTTGCTTGTAAAAAAAAGATTGCAAAATTATGCCTCCCAACATCTCGGAGGAATTTTCATCAGGGGACCTGGTCTGTGCAGACTGCGGTTTAGTACTAGGCGACCGAATCGTAGACACTCGATCTGAGTGGCGTACGTTTGCCAACGACGAGGGTGATGATCCATCCCGTGTTGGTTCTGCTGCTAACCCACTCCTGAATGGACCGCAGCTTGATACTGTCATTTCGCAGCGAGATGGTGGTTCTGGAGCAGCCAGAGAATTGAACAGAACACATGGTAGGGTGACCGCTGTCAAGGGTGAGCGCAATCTACTTCAGGCATATAAGGATATCTCAGCCATGTGTGAAGCTATTGGTTTACCCAAAGTGATCGGTAAGGCTCTTGTTACTATTCTTGCCCTTGATTGTGTCATTGTGAGTCCTCAGTTTTCTTCAAAAAAAAAAAAAAAAACTAAGCATCATGGTAACTATTATTACAATGGCATATCGTATATTGGCTTTACTCCTTGTATCAACAGCTGATATCGCCAAACAGCTGTTCAAGCGTGTTGAGGATGAGAAGCTTTTGAAAGGAAAGCCGAATGAAAGTATTATTGCCGCATGCATATTCATCGCCTGTCGACAAGAAAGTGTTCCACGTACGTTCAAGGAGATCTGCACACTGACTCAAGTGCCCAAGAAGGAGATCGGCCGATGTTTCAAGGCCTTGAACGATGCATTCCACGAGACCAAGGTGCAAACTATGACTTCACAAGATCTCATGTCGCGTTTCTGTTCCAACCTCGGACTGCCTATGGATGTACAAAAGTCTGCTATTGATTTAACAAAAAAAGCTAAGGAGGTTGGAGCATTAGCCGGCAAGTCCCCTGTCTCTATTGCTGCTGCATGCATATACATGGCCTCGACCTTGTTCAATCAGAATCGGTCAACTCGAGATATCAGCAACGTCTGTGGTGTTTCTGAAGTGACTATTAAGAATGCATATAAGCATCTTTACAAAGAGCGAGCGAAATTGGTGGATGAAAAGCTGACTGAGAAACAGATTGAGTCCCTCCCTTCGCCTTAGAAGGAAAAACTTCTGCTCTCAAGAGCTTCAGGGCGTAAACTAGACAGTGTAGCAGCATGCTTTTTTCTTTTTCTTTCTTTTTTTTTTTTCTTTTCTTTTCTTTTTTTTCTTTTCTTTTCTTTTCTTTTTTTTTTTTTTTTTATTTTTTTTTTTTTTAAAATAATATATATCCTATGCCCATTGATTCAGCCACAGAGACCTGCAACAGAGGCTTGAGAGATTTGTCATGAATAATGAATAAAATTCAAACCTGCATGTAGTGTTTTTCTTTAAACATTTTTCTTCATTTCATTATGAGCGGCACAGAGGATCGCATGAGAGTCATTCTTGGGTACGCGTGTAACGAGTCATGTTTTTTTTTTTTTTTTCTCTTCAACGAGATTGCTAACGCTCTTTTTTTTTTTTAAGCTGCATGACCTTTGGTCGTGAAGGGGGTGGTGCCCGTGTGAGAACGAACGAAGAGGCAAGCGAGATTATTTCGACATTCCGTCAGTATGGCCATAATGCATTAGATACGGCCAGGATCTATGCTGATGGACATACAGAGGAGATGATGGGTCAGCTTGATCTATCAGGTCTGACGGTGGATACCAAATGCTTTCCGTTGCAACTAGGAGGTCTGGAGCCACAACGGGTCAAGAAATCACTTTATGAATCACTGGAAGCGCTTCGGGCCGACAAAGTCCATGTATTTTATTTACATGCCCCCGACTATGCAACACCGATTGAGGATACATTGAAAGCTGTGAATGAGCTGTATCTAGAGGGCAAGTTTGAGATCTTTGGATTATCAAACTATCCAGCTTGGGTTGTGACTCAGATTTATTATATTTGTAAGAATGAAGGCTATGTGTTACCGAGAGTATATCAGGGCATGTACAATGCTCTGACTCGAAGCATTGAACCAGAGTTATTTGCCTGTCTTGATGAGCTGAACATCAAGTTTCATGCTTATAACCCATTATGTGGAGGTGTTCTTGCAGGTCTGTACACATATGACCAGAACGAGGTAGAAAAGGGATCGAGATTCGACCCCGACGCGAAGCAAGGTATTCGGTAAGTTAATGCATGAAGTTGTAACAAAAAAGAATATTAAAAAAAGAAAGAAAAAAGCATAAACATTTTTCTTTCATTCATTCTTATCCAATTTCACTTTTAGTTATCGTGAGCGATATTGGAAGAAAGAATACTTTGAAGCGATTGAGGTTCTTAAGCGTGTCTGCGAACCTCATGGACTTAGCCTGATCCAGGTTGCCTTTGACTGGTTGCAATTCAATTCTAAAATGCGTGTTCCACGCGGCGATGGTATGAAATTTTTTAAAGAAAAAGACATCTGAAATATACCGTAGTAATAATGAGCTTTTATTTATTTAATTGCCATAACAATTAGGCATCATCATCGGTGCATCCTCTTTGAAACACACAGTACAGAATTTGGATGCTCTGAAATACGGCAAACCCCTGCCCCAGGACGTGTTGGAGGCTGTAGATCATTGCTGGGACATCACCCGTGAAAGTTCCCCACCTTACTTTAGAACAAAAGACCAGATGATGGGTCCACGATAAAAGATATGTTTTTTAAAGACATGTGCTTAGAAAATAAATGCTTCATCTAGTCACCATCTATTCTTTTTTATCATTACTATTTATTTATTTAAATTTCCCATTTATCAAGCAAGTTATCATAGAAACGTAGACCATTCACAGACTCATCACGGCAAATTAGACCGCGTGCCTCCGTCATCTATGAAAGTAAATAAAAATAAAGAAGTATTAGGAGAGTTACTAGTCAAAATCATATATAAATATATAAAGTAAAAAAATAAAATAATATATATAAGAGCTCCACTTACCAAAAGCTGTTCTTGCGCAAGAACTACACTGATTTGGACAGCGCTCGCAAGCTCGATTGCATCAAGGCTAGAACCGGGAGGTAAGTTCTTGATACGACTTAAAATCGACTCTGAAACCTCATCATTGCTATATCGAGATAATGTCTGAAGAACCAGTAATCCGCTATCAAATTTCCTCAATCGTAAAGGCAAATTTAGTTCTGGGAACAACTGGCATGCTGTATGAAGATCCTTAGGTGAAATGAGCTCTGAAATAAAGAAAATAATATATAAAATAAAAAATTAGTGAAACTGAAAGGCTTTCTTTCCCTTTCTTATCATTAAAATTTAAAATATCTCATGTCCATTACCAACGCCTCGAGCACGATTGAAGACACAATAGACATCCATAAGACTCATGGTCCCTCCTTCACGCTCAACTACAGGCAGAATAAACTCAAAGAGTTCGCGTGCAAGCTCCTTATGGAAAACAACACCAGCAGTATCCCTGAAAGAAAGAAGGGAAAAAATGAGTAAGAAAAGGCTCTGGATGAATTTGATCCGCCACAGAGAAAAAAGAAAAAAAAACAATAGGTAGTAATAACAGGAAATGCCCTACTTAGTGACAGGCGCTGCAATACCCATACTAAGCAAATAAGCTTTAAATGTTGCAGTCTCCTCATTATTCATTGTATTAGATTTTGCAAGTCCCTTCGATATGTTTTCTGCCAAAGTCACCATTTCTGCAGCTTTGTCTATCAACGCCTCAAGATCCTGAAATGCCTGCGAAAGCGTTTCATCTGTCGCTTTTTGGTTCGTCTCTACAGAACGCATGATCCCGCCTAGAAATGAATGAAAATGATAAGATTAAGATCAGGGCTCAAAAGTCCTAAAAATTTCTCCTTTGTGCGCTATCATAATTATCAAACGTAATGAACTTACTGATACCGCCAACTTTAATGACGGGAGTTGGCGCTGCATTTGAATTCAAGGCCAAAGCCATAGTCCTGTCTTCTGGCTGCTGTTTCGGTATTGACTTTTGAAGAAATGAAGTGGATTGTCGTTAAAAAAAGCAGTTTACTGTCCTGAAACCGCTCATGATATATATATATATACTTTTTTTTTTAAAAAAAAAAAGGTTATTGTGTAATGTGTCATACCTCCCAAGCTTTTGCTGACATGGCTGCTTTTAGAAGAGTATGAAAGGCACCACTCCCGCCTCCCCTAAAGGACAGCTTAACGCTATTGGCGTCCTCTGATGACTTCGTTACACTTCCTGAATAGAGACTGGTCACAGATGTAAGGAATTTCCCGGCCCCTAATCCTTTTCCAGTACTCACGTCTGATGCTGGAAGATTACTAGCAGAACCATTCATGGCGGATGGGATGGAGGACGATGAAGAAGATCCAACGTCAATTGTCGAGGGGAGCTGTCGAATCGATCGCTGGTGCTGCTCCTGACGATCCAACATAAAAGCAATCGATTGTGGGTCCTGAAGCTCCGTCTGGCATATTTCACATTGGATCATGAAGGGATCATTGTGGAATGTGCACGCTGGACAAGCGATCCCCGGCGCTGCATCATCGCCACCGCCTGCTTTGTTATGAGGATGGCTGCTTAGGTCCTTGGGTGCATTCAGCAGAAATGAATCCGATACTGGGGCCTTTACAACATGAGTGTTTTCGTCTCTCGCTGGCTTTTTGACGCCACACACGGCGCACTTAATAAGACTCCCTTCATTGCTGTGGTAGCATATTTTGCATACCCATGAGGGCTGAGATTTCAGGGATAGAGCGCCAAGCGTTTTATCCAGTCCAGATACCCCGGAAATTGCATCCTGATTAGATAACGCATGCAAATCTACATTGGAAGGTCGCGGGTAGAGCTCCAATGTAATTTTAGGCGATGATGACATGAACCCGCCCTATTAACGATGCAACATGGATAAACCATGGCTGTTAAAATAAAGGAGTTCGTACAAAACGTCGAATAAATGAAATTGCTAGAACACCTATGCAGGCTGAATTTATCCTACATAATGATGTATACCATGAATGAAGCGTAATGGCAGTCCAATTGATTTCCTGACAGGGTCTTTGCTATCAATATATAGAATGCGATGGTTGGTTAAGTAGACAGTGCCGTTAGGATAATCCTCTGCTTTGATACGACTATCATTTTAGAAAAAAAAAAAGAATAGAAATCTCAAGATGAAATTAGTAAAGCTTTGTACTCTTTCAGGCTATCTCAGCCGTGTCAAAAAACTATCGTAGTATCATAGAGACTTGCCCATCATAAAGTCCAACTTGATCTTGCGTGGCTTGAATTATCTCCTGCGGTCCGGGAACAGGGCGATGAGAAGGAGTGAGTTGGATGGGATCCCAGCGGTCCATGAGCTAGTCAAGTTGTATGCCTACTGTCTGGCGGTGTAACAATACAGAAAACGTCTTTTGGTTTGGTCGCTGTTCTTAGTCGAGTCTTTGGTTTCGTCTTATTGATGGTGGGAATTTGAGGTCTAGGTAAATGTGTCTGACAAGAAATGTATGCATGAATGTCAAGTGTGACACCAAAAGGAAGCTGGTTGGTGTGACTGTTGCAGCGAGAAATAAGCTTCCATGCCCGTTCCTGTGGTTATCGTTTCCTGGATCCTTTCCATTCATCCTTTTGCATTGCAATATGGACTCTAGAAAGAGGGCTGCCGTCTCATTTACTGGTGGAAAGGATTGCACTTTGGCCTTGTCTATGACTAGGTCTACGCATGATGTTGTTTTACTTGTCACCTTCGGCCCTAAGAACTTCACATCTTTCAAAGCCCACTCACTCGAGTTTATTCAACTTCAGGCGAAGGCATTGGACATTCCACATATCCTAATTGAGGTTGGGGAAGAAGGAAAGACACATCTCCAATGCTACCGTGAACAGATCGAACGAATCAAACAAGAATATAATCTTAATCTTTTAGTTACAGGTAATTCTTTTTTTTTATAGAAATGATCAAGGTATAGTTTATCGCCGTACATAATTGATTGGATCCACAATCCTTACAAATAATCAATTATGACAGTTATGGACATGAAACTAATATCTTATGTCCTCCGTTGTAGGCGATATTCTCAATGTCTGTGATAACTTCATGGCCAGGGCAACAGAGGGTATTATTGAGTTATCCTGTCCGATCTGGGCCATTGATCGCCATAGACTTTTGGACACACTCTTTGAACGTCAATTCCAACTGCTCATAACCTGTGCTTCAATTAAAAAACTGGGTAATGATGAGGATTTGGCTAGGAAATTCGTTGGGTCACGACTGACACCGGAGTTTGTGACAAGTATACTTGAGCCCAGGGAAAATGAGGTCGATATGGGAGGCGAGCTAGGTGAATTTCATACAATGGTCCTTACTGTCCCTGAACTGTACAATGGATACCATATAGAATTTGATGGCCATCAGGTTGTTGAAGGCGAGTTTATGTATATGGCCTTTGACAATATCAGGCTAGTCCGGGATACGTAAAGTTGACAGGAGATCAAGCAATCAACTGTCGATTAGACGCCACCAAAATGCTTTAGACAAACACTCCATCTCAAACCGGCAGGCACACTCATGCTTACCTCTATAGACTACATGATACAAAAAATTATACTTTTTTTTTTTTTTTTTTTTTTCTAAGCTACGCCCCTTGGGAATGCTTTCCCGAATCCAATAGATAAATTTTTTGTCCTCCCACTGTGTCTGCTTTTTTTTTTTCTTCTCTTGAAAGGTGTGCCAGTCCTGTTCCTTGTACACCTTCACACCATCTCAGCCTTCGCACTTTGCTTCTTATTTCCCAATGTCGCAGGAGAGTATTTACTCCCAAGGAAGGTATCGCGGTGGAGCCAGTAGCAGATCAGAGACGAATAGAAGTAGAAGTAGCACCATCAGCACCATCAGCAAACATGAAAACTACAACACATCCCTAATTTCTTCCCCCTCACAAGACCATGACTCCACACATCCTAAAGCTGAATTGCCTTCAGCTGAATCAACTTCGCTCCTTGGTTCTGTATGGAACTTAGTTCGGGATGCAAAAGAACTGGCTGCAAGAGAAGTGGACAAGCTGCTAGAGTCGTTTCCTTACAGGAGCATCTCTAAAGCCAGTACCGCTTCCCAGGTAGACACTCTTCAGGCAGCATACATATAGATAAAAAATGATTTTACTGGAGTTGAATGTTCTTACACTCGTTTTTTTATCACCTTCATACCGCTATACCATTATGCTTTACCAGTCAGGGATTCATGATAAAATCAAAACACGGGAGTCTTCATTAGCTGTTAAAAAACCTCGGGTTGGCTCAAGCTCTGAACCACCAAAATCGCTTTTAGGACGAGGACCCCCTGTCAAGGTACGAGGACAGCACTCATCTCACATCAAAAAAAACCATGCTCTCTCAAGGAAACTACTCAGTTCAGGTTTGTAGCTCACTACATAGCGTGATAGTTGCAATTGAAAAAATGTTTTCATTCTAATTTCTCTTTCTATCTTTTTTTTTTTTTTTCTTTATTTTTATTCGATTGTAGATGTCAAAGATCATGTTAACGATGTCTCGCCATCAGTCCATTTACGCACACCATTGCCCATGTCAAAGCGCGTATCTGGGATCAGTAGTAGCATTGAGCCAATCAAACGAATGCGCCATTCTTCTGAATTTGAATTCGAGCTAGAGTCGAGCCCAGAACGATCACCACCCATGCAATATAGAAGAACGCCTTCTTTAAAGCGAGACCTATCAGAGTCTTCCCTGTCTTCTATCCAGGCTGGGCAAGGCACAATCCATGATTCTGACTGGACATCTTCGGAAGAAAGGCGACGGCAAGAACATATAGATCATAGTGAGTACACCGCAAAGAAACACGATCGAGATACGGAGTCTAGTCCTAGACCAAATTCTAGTCCAACGCCATCCATAACATCTATGGCTAGATCACTGTCCATTGTTAGCCATTCTCATGCGCACACAGACTTGCCTCATCGGCCACATAGTCGGCAACGGCTTCACGCACCACACAGACGACGGCCTCACTATGTCCATCATCAGCGTCACAACTCAAACACTTCGCCTGTGAGGAATTCACTTTTAGGAGGTCCACTAGAAGCAACTAGTAGCCATGATGACTTTATAGAGCCAGTACCAGCACCAGTAGCAATATACCCATCCTCACCATCTATTAGTCGCGAAGGATCTGCCATAGAGGGCAAAATTGATTCGATGCCAATGCTTTCATCTACATCCACAACTGTAGGCTCTATGAATAACCCATTCGTTGTGACTAAAGGGCTATCACCATTACCACCATCACTCCTTGCTGACACCACGCCTGAGAGAACTAGCGGGTCGCCTAAAATATCGTCCACTCCCGATAATGACAAGCTTCAAGAGTTACAACATGAGCTAGCTTTAATCAAAGAACAGGTATATGGCGGCTGAACTCTTTCTGATATTGCAAACTATCAGAAGACGTCATGGTACTAACGTTTATGACGTCTACAATTGAATGGTTTCCTAGCTGGCATCATTAGTATCCGCTCGGAATGGTGAAATAGGACGGACGCAGTCATCACCGGCTTACCTCAATTCCTCAAATCCTCCGCCACCGCCACCCCCACCGCCATTACAATCCAATCAAATCAATCCAAAAAAATGGTCGCCTCCAAACAATCAAGCAAGCCTCTCAATGATGCAAGTTCTGAAAGAGTTGAGCTCTTCAAAAGTTCAGTTGAGGAAAACTGGCAGCCCATTTGTGAGGTAAGGGGCTGTCTCAAACGCCATACATGAAGAAGCATTCATATAGCTATAGAGATGTACACTCAATAACGGTCGACCATAGAGTAAAGAGGAACACTTTTGTAAAAGTAACATTAAATTTTTACTGTTTATATTAGTCAAATTTCAGCGGCCGTGGATGGCGCATCTTCATCTGGATACACTAGTCTTGCTATACGCTCAAAAGACGAATTGGTGGCAGGACCAAATAAGTCTAGCAGCCCTACTACGCCTATACCATCGACTTCTATAAATTCAATATCAAAATCCTTTCCATCGAAAATGAATCCTAATACTAACCCAGCAACGTCTATCGAGAGCAAAGAAGATGACTATATTCACACTACAATTGTCAAGGACCCTCAATGGCCCAGTTCAGTAACATTACGAAAGGCTAACTCTCGGTTGGATCAAGCTGGCAGGGAACTACTGGTTGGAAACAAACTTGGCAGAGAGCAGACGATAGATTTGTTTTCACCATATCCAAGAACATACAATGGCAAGTACACGGATGACCCCGAATCTTTTGATCCGTCACCTTCCTCTTCCAGAGGCTCAAATAGGACGCAGAATATAGCTAATAACGACAGCTCACCAAACATACCAAGTGGAAGTTTCAAAAAAAATTCAACCACACCCACCAACACAACAGCAATAATAGATTCTAATGGCCGCACACGGGCAAGACCCCCCTTGACCATAAATAAGAACGCTAGACCTGCACATCCACGAACTCGTAAGATTCAGCGTTCCATGACAGATCCAATGCAATTGACCCAACATTTGCAGCCTTTGAATGCTAAAGAGCCTAACGGGTCAAGGAAACATGTCTCATTTGAATCCGCGGAGGAAGGCGAGGATGAGACTGACGATTTTAACAAAGATAACCATAGATGGTTTCGGGGACCAGACATTGATAGTTGGCGTGTTGGCAGTTGAAAGTATTTGTATAATATAAGTTCTTTTCTTTTCCAATGTAAGATCAGACGATGTTATATTGTGAGTTATGAAGCCGCCTCAATAGTGCGCGAGCCATTGGATAGCTAATACTAGTTTGAAGGTTTATTGTATTTTTGGCTGTATTCGAGGGTGTTGACTATTCAGGGTGCTTGTTTATGTCCCCTGTTTCTATCCATGCATAGGAGGAGTGCTGGCTTCCATGGATCGAATGTCTTTTTTCTTTTTCTTTTTCTTTTTCTTTTTCTTTTTTTTTTTACAATGATTTGTTCATGAACTTTCTCTTTTGGAAGCACATCCACCACTTTCCTGGCTTGTCGTTCTCGTAAATGCGGTTAGGAAGACGTACAGCCATCTCTTGACGCAGCTGAGACAAATACTGACGCAAAAGATCTATAACGGATATGAAAGGATTTGTGTCGGTATTGTTTAGGGTTAATTTAAAAAAAAAAAAAAAAAAAAAAAAAAAAAAGCCTATTCCGATGATCCGAGTCGAAAACTTACCGGCATCTGTTTTGTTTGTAGGAGCTGGGTAGAGAGCATTCAAAGGAAAAGTAGCATCGCCAGGAATAGCAAAGTTACCCAAAGCCAAAGTACCAAGAATCTTTTCAGCTTCTCTTAAGCTGGGGTTCCTTGTAAGCTTACCGAGACACTCTGTGATGTAGAGAATGAGGTAGATCAAGAGACGGTCTGCGTCGCCTTTGATCTCAAAGTTCCTGAACAAAACATTGGCGCGGAACAAGTTCAAAGCTTCGTCAATGATGTCTTCAGCATTCGCATCGGCTAAGTAAAATATAATAGTAAAAAAAAAGAAAGAGAGAATAATCAATAAAAAAGAGGCTTTATCATCATTTATAATAGATAATATTGCCGAGAGCAATTGTTTAGTCAACTTTTGAGTAAACGTACCAATAGGAGCAGGACCACGAACGCGAGTTTTGATGGGTAAGAAGGCTATGCCTCCGATGGAGCGAAGGTCTGTTACTTCATTAAAAGAGGAGTGATATGCCTATTTTATTGTTCAAAGTCATGCTTTATTGGTTATTCATTCTTCGTTCTTTTTTATTTTACTGACTGGCTTGCAGTCACTGCAAATTCAGCCTCCATCCTTGACGCGCTCATAGGTTTTAAAGCCTCATTTCTTTTTTTTTTTACAAAAGGATGGAGAATGAGCATGCTGTATCGCTTACAGGCATGATGTATCAAAGCGAGGAAGGACGCTGTAGATGGAATTAAAATTGGTTTTTTTTTAAAACAGCGTCCTAGCAAATGCGAAGGGGTGGGTGATGAAGAATTGATGGGAAGTGGGAAAGAGGAACAGGCTTTGCAAACGGTGTCCCAGACGGGCGTTTTTTATTGGGAGAAATACGTCACAAGTGAGTTTGGTTCAGGGATCGATTCCCAAGGTAAGCAAAAAAGAAAAAATTAACAATTGCCAACTAAACGATAAACACTGCGGTAAAAAAGGGAGCCTTTACAATCTGTTTTTTTTTTTTTTTTTTTTTTTTTTTTCCCTATTAACATCTAATTCTCTTTCCTTTTTTTTTTTTTTTTTTTTTTTTTTCTTCTCTCTCTCTCTCTCTCTCGTTTCTTTTTTTCTCTTTCCCCTCCAATACATTTCAGTCAGTCTTTCAGCGTTATAGACATTGTAAGTCCTACTAAGCTGATGATCTGAAAGCTTATATGTCCCTCGCACTAACCTACAAAAAGAAAAACGTGGAAAAAAAAATAACCTTTGAATTGCCCCTGCCTGCTATTTTTTTTTTTTTTTTTTTTTTTTTTTTTTGCTCATGTGTTCTCTGTATAACAAACCTCCATCAGCAATCTTTTACTTTTTTTGTTATAACACTGGTAATAACAAAGAACACTTGAATTAGCCATTTAGGAGCCATCAACAACAACAACAACAAAAATAGTGGAAACAATTTAAGCTAATGATCGCTGAAGATCCTAATGCTCAAGAGGATGTCAACTCCTCAGCCTCGTTTGCACGTTCACTTGCGTCTGCTCCGTTGGACACTGCAAATACAATCCATAATATCAGTGTAGCACTAGGTAGTAATCAGGTGCAGGGCAAGGACACAGATGTACTCATGATGGATCCCAATTTTGGTAACCAACAGCCCGAGTCCCATATGGCTGTAGCAGAGCTATTGGTCTCTCTCTCGCACAGCTCAAATGTGTAAAGCATCAGAGTAAAAAAAAGAAAAGAAAAAGAAAAAGAAAAAGAAACAAAGGCTACGTATTTGATTGTATAATATTAACATGCATCGTTTGTGAGACGAATACTGAAATCGAGGTTTCTACCCACTACCCTTTATCGTTGTTGCTGTTACTTTTCTTTTTATTCTAATAGTCAACCTGAGTCTGGCTCCGATCCCGCTCCTTCTTCGATTACTACAACTCAATTGGAAAATACAGGAGAATCTTCTCAACCTTCGCCGGTGTACAGGAACGCCGTTGACTACTTGGAAGCAGTTAAAAGGGCGTATATCACCAGGGATCAAAAAGTTTATGCGCAATTTTTAGATTCTCTGGCGCAATATCATAGTGGAATGTAAGTCAGGCACTAGCTGAAAAACTTTCAAGTGGCAAAGAAATATAGTATAAGCCAGGAACATCTCATAGCTGATCTGATTATACTCTTATTTATTACGTTCCTTAGCATTCCATTGGGTCAACTTGTCCAAACTGTAATGGGTTTGTTCCAAGATCAGCCAGAGCTGCTCATGGGCTTCAAAGACTTCCTTCCAGAAGCACAAAGTTTAATGAATAATTTAGTTCCGGTAATTATCCCGCGTCTTATCCTAAATGCTCTGGTCCTATTACATGAAATTTCATATTGACATTTACTCGTATGTTTTCTTCAATCTCGGCCCGTTATAAAAAAATCGCCCCAATAGCCCATGATGTACTCAGAATATGGGAATCGGATAACACCAGCACATTCGGATATGCCACCAAATATTTCGATATCTGGTATGATCCACAATCGTTTTCAGATAGTTCGCACGTCTCATCTTTGATTGTATCATAATCAGCATGGACTCTAATTTTAAAATATATATCTTGGATCACATTAGGCTTCAAACGTGCACGGGAATTAAATGAATTCTGGAGCGGGGATGCAGCAACAGTTTTTTTGAGCCAAGTCAAGGAGCGATCACAACTGGAGCCAGATATGTACCAGCACATGATTACTTTGCTCCGCAAATTCCAAAAGGACCATTCATATTCATCAGTATGTTGGATGGATTGACTCCAATGATAAAAATAAACGCCCTTTTATATATATGAGAAGGTAATCAATGGGCTAATCCCTTTTTCTGGTTTCTTTCTTTAGCTCTACTTCTATATGTCGATCATCCTACGGTACCACCCACATCTTCTTCAACGCTTTCAGAAATTCTTACCCGCCGTACCCAATGACACAGAAGTAACTGAGCCCAAAGTCATTTCAAAAGCGCCACCAGAAGAGCTTGTTATCTCCACAGACTTTATCGAGGCCAAAAATTTTGTACAAACTGTCAAGGTATGTATCAAATAGTCAGAGGCCAAGTTTACAGACTGCTTATATGTCGATATGATCATTTGAATTCACATCCTAATAATTACCATTTATATCGTTAACCACAAAAAAAAAAGCTTGAAGCCAAAAATGAAATGTCAATGTATGATCGCTTTATTGCAGCGCTACAAAAATATCAAAAAACAGGCTGGACCATTGATCAGGTTTACTCTGAAGTATCTCTAATCTTCTGGAATAATCCTGAGTTGCTCCAAGGATTCAAGAAGTTTATCTCCAGCGTTTCTCAAAATGATACTTCTTCGTTAAATAGACGATATGTTAAATAGCTGAATGGTCGTGCACACAAATAATAAATGTTTGCATAGACAGTCACAAAGGCTAGAGTCCCAGGTGACGTGGCTAATGTATACGAAGGACGCGAAAGGACGCGCAAGAATATCTCTGTGACATTACATTCTCTTCTTAACCTTTTCAAATACATCCATCGTCTTCAAACTTGCCCCCATTTACCTCTTTTTTTATTTTCCTCAGCAGATAAAAACAAGGAACATCCAACATGTTTATGACACGCTCAGAATACGATCGAGGAGTCAATACCTTCTCACCTGAAGGTCGTCTCTTCCAGGTTGAATACGCTATTGAGGCCATCAAGGTTCGAGGAAAAAAAAAAAAAAAAAAAAAAAAAAAAGACATTTCCCAATGTGTCTCTGAAGCCTATTTTGCTTTTCAGCCTTATATCTCTTTAGACGGATAAAAGAGAAAGACAATGAAGCAAATTAAGAAGACGGGACTCTTTTATATTCATGCGCTCACTTTGTATTTTTTTTTTTTTTTTAGCTTGGATCAACTGCTGTAGGCATCAAAACAGGAGAAGGACTAATTTTAGCGGTCGAAAAGAGAGTGACCTCGTCGTTGTTAGAGGCAGCCTCGATTGAAAAGATTTTTGAAATCGATACTCATATTGGATGTGCTATGTCTGGACTCACTGCCGACTCTAGGACTATTGTTGATCATGCACGAATTGAAGCGCAGGTTAGCAGAAGTGGGAAGGAGATAGTGACATGACTTTTTTTTATTTTATCATTTTTTAATCAGCTTTTCTCTGTTTTTTCAAATAGAACCATACATTCACGTACAATGAAAGAATCAAGGTTGAGAGTGTGACACAAGCAGTATGCGACCTTGCTCTGCGCTTCGGAGAGAGTGCGCGAGGCGAAGAGTCCATTATGGTGCGTTTAACATCAAGGACCTAAGAAAGATCTATTCATAGAGTTTTAATGTGGATAGAACTTATATGATACTATATGATCATTATCATTGTGGAAGCAAGAAAGAAGGAAAGAAAAAGGGAAAGAAACTAACGCGCTTTTGTCCTTTCCTATTCCTATATCATATGGGTTATAGAGTCGTCCATTTGGAGTTTCATTGTTGATTGCCGGTATCGATGAGACTGGGCCTCAATTGTAAAGTTTTTTTTCTTTCCCCTTATACCTAATTGGGCAGATTATGATATTTCGACAAATATGGTTGATGTATGGATATTGACGATAAATATATTTTGTACATGTACCTTTATTATTATTTATTGTATCACTGCTTATTCGCAGGTTCCATACGGATCCCTCTGGAACGTTTGTGTCCTATGGTGCAAAAGCCATTGGATCTGGATCGGAAGGTGCAGAGACAGAGTTGCAGGAGGAATACCATTCGTCCATGACGCTAGTGGAAGCTGAAACTCTGGCACTCAAGGTACTGAAGCAGGTAATGGAGGAGAAGCTCAACTCTACCAATGTCCAGCTGGCTTCAGTGACTAAGGAAAGTGGATTCAGTATTTACTCGGCCGAGAAGTTGCAGGAAGTTGTGAATCGTCTTTAAAGAAACAATTACAATCGAACATAAACATATATCCGATTCACGAATAAAGTGGCATATATTTGTCTCCAAAGGTTTTTTTTTTTTTTTTTTTTAATTAGCTAGCGCTGCCTATAAACTAGTTAGAGCGTTTTTTTTTTTTTTTTTTTTTTTTTTTTTTTAAAAAAAAAAAAAAAAAAAGACTACAAGATCACATTTTGGTGCCCGCTTTTTATATACATATATACAGCTTTGCTTGTCTCCTAAAATCGATCTTGCTCGTGTAACTTAGGCAGCTCGGTCCTTGGCCAGAATTTCTTGAACCACTTTGACCTTGTCTTCCATGTTCTGTTCAGCTTTGTCAGTCCTTGTTCCAATACGAATGCTAAAATATTAACGGGGAGTTTAATTTATGAGTCAAAAGAAAAAAAAAAATACGCCCAAGTTTACAAGATTTTTTTTTATTACGCAATTTGTTGAAGTTTTAATGTACCTGGTGGAGACTCTTGGGCATCCCATAGCATGAACAGCTTCGTGGCATTCTTTCATAACTCGACAAACAGCATCCCAGTCACCCTCAATATTCTTTTATTTTTTTTTAAAAAAAAAAAAAAAAAAAAAAAAAAAATAGTAATAGTAATAGTAATAGTAAAATTTAACATGGCTTGTTAGCCCTTCTTCCTCCTTCTTCCTCCTTCCCCTTCTTCTAGACTATGAAAGCCGTAATGATTGTTGTTTTTTTACTCGAATTATTATACAGTGTACTTACAGTGCCGTAGGAGTGCATGCTAAACTTTAAGCCTAATGAACGATTATCAAAAAAAAAAAAAAAAAAAAAAAAGTAGACTCTCCCTGAAAATTAGTTTTTACAAAGTTTTCAGGAGTCTAAGAGGAGGAAGAGGAGAGGAAGAGGAGAGGAAAAGGAGAGGAAGAGGGAAGGGGCGTCGAACTTGGTGTAAATAAAAGAGGAAAAAAAAAAAAAAAAAAAAAAAAAAACGGCTATCGCCGTTATTGAGAACAAAGGGCTTCAAATAAACATAGACGTTACCGCTCTTTTCAATAACCCGTTGACACTCTGCAATATATTCACTGACTGAGGCAGTGACGCCCATGGGAATAACGCAAAAATCAGCGATTGTGTGCATGGCTGCTTTCTTTTTTTGAATGAATGGATAAGACTGAAGAATTAGTGAAGAGTGAAAGAAGGAAAGAATTGAATCGAATCGAATTGAATCGAATTGAATTGAATGACCAAATGGGCTAGTTATTCATTTCCCACAGTCGTGAATATAGTTTGATCAGAGATCACGTTACCCTCCCAATCTCACGAAAACCAAAAAAACGCGTTTTCATAAATTTAATTTCGATATTTCCTTACAAGTCTAAAATATACCAAATGTTCGGAAACAACAGATCTGGCCAGTCAAAGGAAAATAACTTTTCCTCTGTCTCTCTCTCATCTCTTATTGGGGAAGATTCCAGAGGATTCTTACCTTCAATGACAACACTTGCTTTGTGATATGCGATTCATTTATTTGTTTGTTTATTTATTTCCAATGTGTTTCTTTTGAATACCTCGGTAGAGACGGAATCGAATCATATCTCTTTTAAGGATAAAGAAAAAGAAACCGGGTCAATCACATTTAAAGTCAATTCGTCAGTCAAATTGTAAATCCTCGAGAATCCCTTTATGCCCAAAATGTCATTAGTCATTCGATATAGTTTCTTTTATTTTATTAGTCGCTCTATGACTGATCTGGGTTGTTGTTACAAAAGTGATGGGATTTTTTTTTGTTTGTTTTTTTTTTTTTTTCTAAAAAACAAGCCCTTTAAAAGAAGTGGCAAGAGAATTTGTATAATTACAGAAAGTTTGTTACAAGAAAAGAGGGAAAAAAAGGAAAAGAAAGAAAGGAATGTATATATATAGGATGATGATGACAATGATGATGGTACAAATAACTGCTATAAACGCGTCCTCATCTTGTGAAGATTAAAAAAAAAAAATGGTGTGACATAAAAATTACGAGAATTTGTCACAAGAAAGTGTAGAAAAAAAAAAAAAAAAAAAAAAAAAAGCAGATTCAATGTACAAGAGCAAAACCGCGGAATGGCCTTTGAGCAAGAAGGCAAGAAAAAGAAAAAGGTTGATTACGTTAGATGAGGAAATCTCTCATCCTCTGTACCCTTCCCCCTTTCTCCTTCTCTCGTGATCCCTATTATTATTATTATTATTTGTGCTCAGGCAAAACATGGCATGTTTTCTTTGGACTGATGGAGATGGCTGTGGCGATGCATCATGACACTGCCATTCTTTTTAACGCTAAAGGTTGGACCATCTTGATCGTATTCATCCTCGCTGCCAGGACTACTGTTACTATAGCCGGCATTGCTGCTGCTACCGCCAATAGCCACACCAGAAAGACCTGAAGACCTTGAGCTTCGGGACACAGGAAGTCGTTCGTCTGAAGAGTAACCATCATCTGAATCCTGCAGCTGTTGTTGCTGTTGTTGTAACTGTTGCTCAATACGCCTGTTCATCTCCTGCTTCCAGTCGATGCGAAGTTGCATCAACTCTGTAGCTTCAGAGAAGGTCAGCTTTGCAGGCTCAAGAGCAGTACGGTCGTATTCGTCACCAGGATATGTGAATGAGATTTTAATGAACCTTGAGAACTGAACTGATTTGTTGTGAGCTCCGTTACTGCAAGCGTTGATATTTTCTTGTGACATTTTTTTTTCTTTTCTTTTTTGAGGGGGCGGGAGAGGATGTTACTGTTGGTTGTTGCTGTTGTTGTTATAGTTGTAGTTGTAGTTGTAGTTGTAGTTGTAGTTGTAGTTGTAGTTGTAGTTGTAGTTGTAGTGTAATGCTTTTTAAATATTGAGATCAGATATAATGATTAAGGGAAAGGATATTACTGATTTGTTTGAAATAAGAATGAAGAGAGAAAGAAAGAAAGAGGGAAATAATATATAAATATAAATGTATAAAAAATAAAAATAAAAAAAGTGTTTGAAAGAAGGTGTTTAATTCGGACTGATGAATTTTGCTGTGGTCCTTTTATAAGCTGCCGATTGATAGGATGATTTTGGCTGACTGGACAATTTCTGGATTGCTTATTTTGGGATTGACTCTTTGCTGTTATCCAACCTTAGTGCTGTTTGCGATGCCGTATGACGAACGTATCCGTGGGCTCGTGTACAGCTCAATCGGGAACGTACAATGACAGAAAAAAAAAAAAGAAAAGAAAAGAAAAAGAAAAAGAAAAAAAGGGCGCCAAGGGTCTTGTTGCAGATGGTTACAAGACAAGAGAAAGAGAGTGATACGATACGGAGCAGTAATATGAGAAGGAAAAATAAAAAAGATAAAGAAATAACAAAGTGGTTGGGCGAGAGTGGATTCAAAAAAAGGGATGTTAACAGGGGGGCTGACAAGAGTGCACCAGTCTAAGGAGCTTCTTGAAAGAACAAGAAAAAAGGGGAAGAGAGTAATAGAAATAGGATTTGAAGGTCCTCGTGCAAGTCGACTGACTGGAAGCGTGGGTGGAGGTGTGATAGGTTGCCAAAATGGGATTGCCTCTATCCTTTTGGTGTTTGAGTATGGGCTTTTGCGTTATGGGTGAAAGCTGAAAGTGGTAAAGTACTTTGGGCAATGCTAATGAAAGGATACAGAAAGAGAAAAAGAGTGAGTTGTAGAAAGAGATAAAAAAGAGAGAAGAGGGGAAAAAAAAGAAAAGAAAAGAAAAAAATCGGGGGTTACAGAGCCAAGTGGAGGGGGTTTAAGTAGGTTTTTCTTGTACATGTAGTATTGTACGCGAATGCATTTGATGGATGACAACCTGCAAAAGAGCTCTTCCAGTCAAAAGCGAGAATATTCCCCTTTGTTTGTTTGTATTCACCAGCAGGGTTGTAAATAAGAGAGAGAGAAAAGAAAAATAGAGAGCACAACTTACTCCAGCTCCAGATTGTGTCTGTTAGTCATATCAATCTGTTCACCCAATTCACAAGAAGAGAGGGGAGCATGCTTTGCATATTCGTTGGCTTGTGCGACCATGCGAGGAGAGGGGAAATGGCATCAAACTACAACAACAAGTAGCAAGACAGCTTATACAAACACCCAAAAACGGACACAAACAACCATGCTTATGATACACAGTGAGCTCTCCCCTTTCCCTCCTGGGTCTCGTCCTTGTCTCTTTTTTACACCCTTCGGTGCTCTGTGCATGTCCATGATGTGAAAAGAAAAACGTTGCTCATAATAAAAAAAAAGAAATCTAATCCAACAGCCTCCGCATTGGCTACATGAACTATAAACATACCAGTTTTGCTTACTCGCCTCTGTTTTTCAGTTCACAATGTGGGACAAAAATAAAATAAAACAATGGTCGCCAGGTTAACAAGCCTTTTTGCAAAAAATATACTAGCATGTATTTGAATAATTGATCCAAGGAAAGAAAAACACCGACCATCCTTAACATAAAGAGATACAGTATATACATTTATACAAATGCATGATACACATATATACATTCATCTATATAGTCTATACGATATCAATCTGAACAAGGTCACCAACACGATTGAATTGTGGTGATTGATGGGGCGAGGAATAAGTTCATAACACCTAAATGCCTGTACATCCTTTCATTCTTTCTCTCCTTCTCCTTCTCCTTCTCCCCTCTCTCCCCCTTCTTTCCCTCTTCTCTCTCCTTCTCTCTTTCTCTCTTTCTCTCTTTCTCTTTTATCTTGTACGAGGATGGAACACGGAACAACGTTGATAGTCTAAACCCTTATAGTAAGTATTAAAAAGATCACCAACTACACTAGCTAATGACTTCCTAAAGACAATCGAGCCCAAGACCTTATTCAATGAAGAGTCTGATCCCAGAACCCAACAGTCTAGTGAAATCTCATATCTGAAACCATATGATTTAAACAAGGACGTGTTGATAATGAACGTCATAAAGTGGCGGGAAGAAGAAAAAGGAAAAAAGATACTGTGCTACAGTACAATACTGAAAACGCAATGAGTGGTAACATCTTGCACCACTCTCTGATTCTGTTTACTGGAAATAAAAGGAAAGCCTGATTCCCGTCCACCATTTCAACTTTTTTTTGATAAGGTTTTTCTTTTCTTCTTTCTTTTTTTTTTTTTTTCTGCATCTTCACGCACGCAACAATGTATATACATTTGTATATAAAAATATTCATATACTCTGCTTGCAGAAAAAAAAAATCATATTAGGTTATAGCTAAAGAGTCCTATCAGTCCACAACTTACTATAGATGTAGATTGGAATGGGAAGCACAGCACTGAAAAAAAAAAAAAAAAAAAAAAAAGGATATAATGAATCGGTATAAAGTCGCAAAAAAGAATGTGAAAGTGGAAAGGGCAAATAGGGGAATGATAAGGTTGTTTGCGTTGGAGTAAAAACGCACATGTAAAAAGAGGCGCAAACTACTACTGCTGCTGCTGTTGTTGTTGTTGTTGTTGTTGTTGGAAGAAAGGAAGGAAAGGAAGAAATAGGGGAAGCAGGAACAACCGAGCATGATGATGAAGGTTCGGGCCACGGACAATGCACATTTCAAAATATTCCTGACTATGTCAGGCACAAAAGAACAAAAAGATTGACTATTTGGAGTCATTGCATGACATAAATAGCACTGTTCCTCTCCTCGTCCCTCTCCCCTGGCCATTGTGCTCAGGTCGATCATTTCGAGGAGTATTACGAGTATTTCGAGTATTACGGAATACAGCAGACAGAACGATGACTGTGCGCTCAATCAAGCTCTAAATGATTATGCTTAGGAGCCATGGCTTTATTTTTGTTTATTGCCTCATTCATTAATTCATAAAAAAAAAAGAAAAAAAGTGTAGATCCTAGAGAGCCTTTTATTTTGATATGAATGGATACAAAACAAAATGAGTATTAGGAACAAAACTAGGAGCAGAGGACTAAGGTCGTGACCAGTCTCGATTGTGTTCTTTTTGTCCATTATGTCGTTTGATACTGTTATCTCTACCTATTTGCCTACACCTTTCTACGCTCTATCAATGGGTGCATGCATGAGTGCATGTATATTTTTTTTTCCCCCTCCTATCTGCACTCTCTACCAAGAGCAAAAAAAAAAAATTATACGTTTATACATTTGTGAACCAGCTAATCTCATCCTTGCATCCTTGCTTTCATGCGACATAAACAGCGCTACGCTCTCCCTTCTACCTAGAGCACTTGTTCTAGCTTGTCTCTAGGCCCATAGGCATCTCCTCGCTCGATTATTCCTTGATTGCAGATTCACAATTGAAAAAAATGAGATTATCAAGTGTTCCTTCCCTTGTACCTGTTGAAAAAGCATGGGGGTAAACTTTTTCCTTTAAAGAACTTTGTGAGTTTATGAGTTTGTGTCGTTGTTATAGTACATACACGGCTCGGTGCGTCGTTTCCAAGTGACTGATTCATGCAACATGCATATATCGTTTATGCACAAAAAAAAAAGATGGGGCCACGTTGTGCAACTAAACTATTGATGTATACATCCATTCAATTATATATATATATATATTATCTGTACAACCTTTATTTTATTCAAAGCCTTTTTTTTTTCTGACAAATATTTGTTTGTGCATTATGTTTATTCATGCCATGGTTGCACAAGCGTATCAAGAAAAAAAAAAATTCCTATCCAAACTGCCCATCGAGCTCTTTTTTCCTCTCAGCTCGTCGACTCTTTTTTTTATTTTCATAGATGCAAGAGAACTTTGGGAACGCGTTTTTCTCTTCTTTTTTTTTTTTTTTTTTTTTTTTTTTGTTGTAGCTTCATACAAGACCATAGAAGAAACATATACCATACACTGGCCATAATTATACTAGAAACTCCTTGTAATGAGGATAGATATCGCATATTCAAACGGCTTCTAGTGTCCCTTCAATGCGTATGTTTTTATGAATATTCAAGTTCCCGTTGCATTGGGTTTGTATAGTTACAAGTATAAAAAAAAAAAGAGAGCTTATAAATATACCAATCGTGGATGTATTTCATGAATATGCCACTATTCAGGGGAAAGAGAAAGGGGAGAGAAAGGAGAGAGGACAATGGGATGGTTGATTGTTGATGTTTAAATATTACCAAATAAAAGTAAACAGCAAGTGTGCTGTTCCTTGGCAGCAGTTTTTTCCCACAGTGCCTCTTTCATTCACATCTAAAATCTGACCGATCTCACATGCTTTCCTTGGTTCCCGCTGTCATTCCAGCCCATGCAATTATAGAATATATAGGTTACTTTCTGCCGTCTTCCTTCAATTGCAAAACGCTTTGATGCCCTTCAATTCATACAGTTCCAAGAAATTCTTTTTATTTTTATTTTTTTTTGATAACGAGAACCTACAGGGTCATGCAAGATCCGCTGTCAGTGTTGATTAATTATTAAATGGATTATGTATACCATGCCAATTTCTAAATAACTTTACATATACTTCCTTCTTTTTTATATTTGAGAACAAGCACTCTTAAATCTATTTTTTTTTTTTCCTCCTGGATAGCAAGCACCCACAAGGTCATTTAGATGTTAGTTCTATAAATTTAAATCTATACAGTAGCTTGCAGTTGAGGAAAATCGCAAATAAAAGAAGACGCGACAGCTTTTTTTTTTTTTTTATTTTTTTAATTTTTTTTTTTGGCAACTGGGACCCACCCGGTCGTGAGGATTTATAAGAAATAGCCTCTATAAATCAGTAAATGGGTTGCCTTAGAAGACATGACAACTCTTTTTACCACAAGTAAAGCAGTTGTTGTAAATAGTAGGTGTATCTTTGCTTAAGGGACAAAAAGATAGACACAAAATCAGGAAAGGATAGTACAAAGAGTGTCAACAAGAATAACAAGAGAAAATAGAGGCAAATAACCTTGACGACAAACAGCGCCATAGGATGCCAAAAGAGAAGATGGGAGCTTTATAGATGAGCTCACAAACTGAGTTACCGGAAGACGGGAAAAGATAAATGGCAAGGGTAAAACTAAAGCTTATGGGTACTAAAGGCCTGTGGGTAAAACTGAAGACTTTATTGAGGAAGAAGTTTGGCTTTTATAACTTACCCTACAGGCCTGACTGTGGTGCTTTCTAGGTGAGGTGGACTCACCTATAGCTTAAGGCTTTGCACAAAGGTTCTTTTTTTTTTTTTTTTTTTTTTTTTTTTTTTTGATAACAAGGACCCACGAGGTCATGTAGGAT